TAAAAGGGGCCCCCTATGAGGGTCGATTTGAAAGGGGCCCCTATGAGGGTTGATTTAAAAGGGGCCCCCTATGAGGGTCGATTTGAAAGGGGCCCCTATGAGGGTTGATTTGAAAGGGGCCCCCTATGAGGGTTGATTTGAAAGGGGCCCCTATAGTGATTGAAATAAAAGGGGCCCCTATAGGCGTTGATTTAAAAGGGGCCCCCTATGAGGGTCGATTTGAAAGGGGCCCCTATAGTGATTGAAATAAAAGGGGCCCCTATAGGCGTTGATTTAAAAGGGGCCCCCTATGAGGGTCGATTTGAAAGGGGCCCCTATAGGCGTTGATTTAAAAGGGGCCCCCTATGAGGGTCGATTTGAAAGGGGCCCCTATGAGGGTTGATTTAAAAGGGGCCCCCTATGAGGGTCGATTTGAAAGGGGCCCCTATAGGCGTTGATTTAAAAGGGGCCCCCTATGAGGGTCGATTTGAAAGGGGCCCCCTATGAGGGTTGATTTGAAAGGGGCCCCTATAGTGATTGAAATAAAAGGGGCCCCTATAGGCGTTGATTTAAAAGGGGCCCCCTATGAGGGTCGATTTGAAAGGGGCCCCTATAGGCGTTGATTTAAAAGGGGCCCCCTATGAGGGTCGATTTGAAAGGGGCCCCTATGAGGGTTGATTTGAAAGGGGCCCCCTATGAGGGTTGATTTGAAAGGGGCCCCTATAGTGATTGAAATAAAAGGGGCCCCTATAGGCGTTGATTTAAAAGGGGCCCCCTATGAGGGTCGATTTGAAAGGGGCCCCTATAGGCGTTGATTTAAAAGGGGCCCCCTATAGGCGTTGAAATAAAAGGGGCCCCCATAGGGGTTGAATTAAAAGGGGCCCCTATAGAAGTTTAATTGAAAGGGGCCCCTATAGGCGTTGATTTAAAAGGGGCCCCCTATGAGGGTCGATTTGAAAGGAGCCCCCTATGAGGGTTGATTTGAAAGGGGCCCCTATAGTGATTGAAATAAAAGGGGCCCCTATAGGCGTTGATTTAAAAGGGGCCCCCTATGAGGGTCGATTTGAAAGGGGCCCCCTATGAGGGTTGATTTGAAAGGGGCCCCTATAGTGATTGAAATAAAAAGGGGCCCCTATAGGCGTTGATTTAAAAGGGGCCCCCTATGAGGGTCGATTTGAAAGGGGCCCCCTATGAGGGTTGATTTGAAAGGGGCCCCTATAGTGATTGAAATAAAAAGGGGCCCCTATAGGCGTTGATTTAAAAAGGGGCCCCCTATGAGGGTCGATTTGAAAGGGGCCCCCTATGAGGGTTGATTTGAAAGGGGCCCCTATAGTGATTGAAATAAAAGGGGCCCCTATAGGCGTTGATTTAAAAGGGGCCCCCTATGAGGGTCGATTTGAAAGGGGCCCCCTATGAGGGTTGATTTGAAAGGGGCCCCTATAGTGATTGAAATAAAAGGGGCCCCTATAGGCGTTGATTTAAAAGGGGCCCCCTATGAGGGTCGATTTGAAAGGGGCCCCCTATGAGGGTTGATTTGAAAGGGGCCCCTATAGTGATTGAAATAAAAGGGGCCCCTATAGGCGTTGATTTAAAAGGGGCCCCCTATGAGGGTCGATTTGAAAGGGGCCCCCTATGAGGGGTTGATTTGAAAAGGGGCCCCCTATAGGGGTTGAAATGAAAAGGGGCCCCCTATAGGCGTTGATTTAAAAAGGGGCCCCCTATGAGGGTCGATTTGAAAGGGGCCCCTATAGGGGTTGAATTAAAAGGGGCCCCTATAGGCGTTGATTTAAAAGGGGCCCCTAGAGGGGTTGAAATAAAAGGGGCCCCAATAGATGTTGAAATAAAAGGGGCCGTTTTAAAGGGAGGCCTTTATTTTACCCCCCATCGGGGCCCCGATATGGCCAAATCTCTATCGGGGCCCCTTAAATTTTTGAGACGGTTTAAAGTCGGCTGTTTCGAAATTTTCGTTTTTTGAGGTGTTTTTCAATCTAAAAAACTCTTTTTCTATGAACCTTCCAGTTTTTTTTTTCTGGCCGTAGGGAGGGAGGGAGGTTGGCCAATTTTTAGGAAGTATTTTTTGTTTCTAGTCATCGCACTATAGAACGCATTTTCAAAATTTCTTTCCATTGAGAGGATTTTGTGTCTTTTTTAGATTAAAATAGACGTGTTTTTCTGCTTGTTTAGGTTTTTTGCCTCCCCAAGGCATACCATGTTTTTTTTTCTAATATTTTCAGGTTTTCCGGAAGTCTCCGCATGGAGAAACGTCTACAAAATCCGGTTTCATCCGTATCTTTTCTATTTTTCGTCTTATTAATCATTTATTTTTCGTCGCATTTTTTCTGAATAATTTTCTCGTGTTAAAAGCTGTTTTGCTTTTTTAACGCTTTTGGAACAAACAGTAGTTTTCTCCGAATACAATTTTTCCGTATCTTTTAGAGAATCATTTTTTTTTTATTTCGAAAAAGAAATAAAGACATTTTTTCGAACAAAAAAAATCAGTCAAACAAAAAAGAAAAACAAAAAAAAATTAACTAGGTCTATATATCCATAAAACCAATAAAAAATATACGGGCGGGGAATAAAAAGGGGGCTCGCACTGATTTTCCAGTTCTCAACTAATATTTTTATTTCTCAGGTCGGCGACCGGTAGAGGAAATGCAGATTCAGACGATGCTGTTTTCGAAAAGGATTTCTAAGTTATAACTGTGCTTGATATTTTCTTTCCGTCATGTGTTTTTTATGTTCTTCAAGGTTTTATTCGAAAAAATGCAAAAGAAGGCCAAGACAATTAAGGTCAATGAGATCAGTTGAAAGTTCAATTTTTCTTTCCGTTTATTTTTTCATTGGTTTATTTTTTTATTTTGTATTGGTATTTTTCATTGGTTCCTGTTTCACTCACTATGATGAACCTCAATTCGTTTATAATGTATACGATTAGAAAGCCGACAATGAGACTATTTTAATGATATGATCAGATGAGCTGTAACTTCTCGAGATCGAGATATGAAGTCGAGGTGAGATATGAGTTAAAATTTAAAGCAAACTTGCGCTTCGAATGAACGTTTTGTGTCTGAGGCCCAAGGTAGGTCGTTTGCGGCCGATGAAAAAAAAAAGGGTTTGAGGTACATGTGCCATTTTGAAAAGCTCTTTATTGTCTATCGAACGCTATATTTGAAAATGTACAAAAGTTCCTTTTTTCGGAGAAAAAGTTATTCAAAACCGCAGTGCAAAAAGTTTGAATAAGGGCGTTTAGCAGTAAAGTTGCTCTATGGACAACACGTATCGCCATTTTTCGAATTTTCGTTTTTTCATCGTTTTCTTTTCGCTTCTCAATTTTGTATATTGTTAATGGCGTGTTCATCGGACAAAACGTAAATTGCTTCGAAACGCAAAAAAGTTGCCCCTTAACAAAAATTAGTACTGTTTTGAAGCGACTTTGGCGCGCCGATGAACACGATTTTTCGTTTTGTAGCATGTTCCTTTTCTCCGATGAACACGCCATAACAAAGTTCTTTTCGTCACAGAAAACTGCTATTCATGTATAATTTACTAAATTTGATTGCAAAATGCTTCTCTGGAGAAGAATGATGATTTTTACAGCTTTCGGATATGAAATTGATATGTTGCGTTTCCTTTATTATCCGTGTTTGTTTTTTTTGTCTCAATGATTTTTCCAGAAAAGAGCCCTTGTTTGATTGAATCCCGTTTTTTTTTTACTGCCTTTAAACAGGCGTGCTCGCTAAAAGGGAAAAGCTCATGCCGTGTTCAAAGTGACTTCGCGAAATTCAAAAGAGCCGTCATAGAAAGAGAAAGATAATTAAATTTTGGAGAGTCAGGGATATTTTTGCATTTCGCGAAATTTACTTTGAAAACGGCATCAACTTCCGGTATTTATACAGCTTGCCTTATGTAAATTGACAAGAGATTTATCATTGAGACACAGACGTGCTGCGGGCGTTTCTGAGCAATTCAAAGGGTCATTCAGGAATACTGACGCTACTTAAGGGGTCACTAGAAGTAATACCCCAACACGTCCGATTCACAGTACCAATGTCCGGTTTTTCTTTTCTTTTTGGGAGTTTTTCAAGCCCAGTGATCCGCGAAATTCAAAATTACTTTAAACAAGGCGTTATCTTTTTTCGTCATATTTCATTCTTTTTCGATTTTCGTTCAATGCTTGAAATCTTGTCAGTTCAAGAATATGACAGGGTAAAACGACCAGACGTGTTGAAGCATCCCCAGAATTACTAAAAAACGTTCATAGCGCTTTCGTTTTTTGTTAACGAGGTCTTAGACAGTATTGTGCGAGGGCCGGTTCATCTGCCTAACGGTTCAATCAGCTTGCCTGAGCCCGGGCCGAAGCTTCAAGCATGATCAAGCCCAAAATGCTCAAGATTTTTCCAAGTCGAACATCAGCTTTTTTTTTAAACGAAAAGTTATAAAATGTCTCTGGTAATTTTTTTTACTTGAAATTCAACATAAACAAGTATTTGAAAATATGCTTTTTTTTGGTGAGAGATTTGAGTCTGGATAAAATTTTTACATAATGAAATTTCAATTTCTTTTTTTTAAAGCCTGGCCTGACTACAAAATAAAAACTCGCGAAGTTTTTCCGAGCCAAACGCATAAGCCCGGACCTCGGTACCGCAAAACGTAAGCGCCCCGGAGCCTAAGACACGTCCGAGGCGAGTTTGATTTTGCGTTATTGAGGCCCGAGAAATTAAAGCCCAAAGCAATAAAACTTGCGCGGGCTCGGACTAAGCCAGGCTTCAAAAAAAGTTCTCAAACTTCATCAAAAAAATGTTCATCCTAACTTGAAATTTTTTTACCCAAAAAAATTAATTTTTCACTTTTTATCAAAGTCTATCAAAAGTTATGGAATGTATTGAGGCCGATAGTTTGACAATCTGGACCTCGCACAAGCCTGCTTTAGCCAGGTCACAAACAGTTTGCCTTCGAGGCATTGTGAATTTACTGTTATTTATTCTTTCCTTTGCAATTCAACACGGAACAAAAAACCCTCAGCTGCTTTTACGAGCATTGGGCTGGTACCTGTTTTTGTTGAGCCGACCTTCCAGTTGATCGACTTCCGTCTCGAGTTTGAAACCGTCGTCGCCACGTTGTGTAAGGAAGGCGGAGTTTTCGTCATCGCTGTTGACTGAATTTTCGAAGATAAAAGGCTTTCAAATGCGGAAAAAGAAGGATATACAGTGGCGAAAATGGGTGAGTATTTTTTGGTTTTTCGTCTGTAACTTTGTCAAAAACAATCGCTTTGACCTGAAATTTGGATGTTTATGATGTTAGTGATGATTTGAATTAGATTTTTGAACCGATTCCAAAAAAATAACTTCGAAAAGATTCTTTTTTGAATATTCATCAAAACGTTTTACTTTTGAAAAATCTCAGGCTCAAAAAATCCCTTTTAACAAAAAACTTCTTCAAAATTTGAGGCCAAAACAATAATTTTCAACAAAGTTATAACCGAAAAAACCAAAAAAAGCATAATCACCCATTTTCGCTACTTTAAATACAAAAGTTGAATTAAAAAGAGCTGCTCGTATAGACGATTCACGGCTAGCTTGGGACGCAAAAAGGCGTGGCCTGTCTGCACTCTCCACCAACAAGGCAGTATTCTCTTTTCGTGGCAGGACCCTTTTCAAGATGGTTCAAGCCAGCCGTGAATCAGCTATTAAGGAAATTATTTTTTTCCGCAGCCAGAGTGTCTGCGGCCTTGAATCATAATCTATTACTAATCGCGATCGCGAAAAATGTGCACAAACTGTATAAAAACCCCCGAGTTTAGCCTGAGAGTTTCTAACAACCACTTTTTTCTAAATGTTTATATATCTCGGGCAAAGTCGAAATGGTAGATAATGGCCGTTAAAAAGAAGAGAATCAAAAAAGGCCGCAAAACGGCAGAAAAAGGATCCCTTTATCGAGCCTTCCATTGTTTCTGGAATCTTAAGGGCTCAAGAAATAGTGTAAAAAGAGAGAGGCAGCAAAAATGGTCCATAAGGGCCGATGAAATGGCGCAGAAATAGCAAAAAGGAACCTTTCTCACCCTAAAAGGAACATTTATATGTAGCTTTTTTTCACCCTTTCCGACTTTGCCTATGATATCGGATCAAGGTTTTTTCTGGCTTTAATTCAGTGTTCATAATGTCAAGCCCTTTTTTTTTCATCATAAAATTTTTAAAACATTCAAACCTCGTGTCAATTGTTCCATTAATAGTTGGTACATTCATTTTCCAACTTCATGTGGTTTGGTCCAGGCGTTTTTTCTGAAGAAAAAGTGATTGAAAAATAATTGCTTAGATATCAAACTGCACTATTTGAAGTTGTCGTTGAGCCTCCATGGACTGATCCTATCAAGTTCGTTGTGAGCTTCCTGTAATGAGTTTAAGATTGAAAAAAAAAGTCGATTGCATTATTAGAATCACAATTTTTCGACTGATTAGCTATGTAAATTCTCAAGTCAGTTAGAAAACTAGTCAGAAGAACTAACTAGGCGGTGCGCTAGAGCTCCGCTCGGCCTTGTTATAACTAATCCTAGACGCCGAAGGCCGTGACGGCATTTTCCGCGGGGGTCCCATCATCGCTTTGTCAGTATCGCGCTGCCAACAGTTTCTGCTTCGGCCACAGGAATGGGCTTCAGCTTGACTTTGCGTATCCTTTTTGTAAGCAAAAAGGATCGGCACTCCGGGAGTCCCGCGGGCCTAACCTACTAGCGCTTATAACTCAGAAAACTATTTTGGAAACTAGATCTTTATGAGATATAAAACTTATCTTAACGTTGAAGCGGCGAGACGGAGTCGTGTGGAAAGCAGAAATGATGATTGATCCCAGGTCATAAAATAAGAAATGACACGCTGCCACGTGGTTTATCGTGAAGGTTATTTTTTTTTCGATGTCAAGAAAATGGGTTCACGTTTTTTTTTTTCAAAGAATGAAATTTTTTTTTGAATAAAATTTTGGGTCACATGACGCAAAAAGGTAGAGCTAGTGAAGACACAAAAAAATTTTTTTGAATTCTAAATTTTTTTAATTTTTTTGGGCTCTCTATTTTTTTCCGCGGTTTTTTTAATTTTTTTGTCTTCTTGTAGAAAAAAATAATTCGCATAAAAATAGAGCCAAATAAAACTTGCTGCTGAGGTTTGAAATAATCTGAATTACATTATTTCTTTTTTGAGGGTTTTCCGAATTTAATTGAACAATCAGAAATTGAAAAAAGAAATCTGAAAAATCATTAAGGCGTACAAAAATTGAATAGGCTTCTTCGTTTCTTTTAAATGGTTTATATATAGTGATCTATTCTCAATTTTCGAGAGTTCGTTTTTCTTACCGAACTGAACTTGTATCATGTGCAGTTGCAAAGTTGCCTTTGGCTTTTCGAGGATGAGAGCCGGAGCCAAAAGGCGTTGGAGTGCGAAAGATGAGCCGCGGAGGTTCCCACGTGCGAAGAGCCGTCGCGACGTCTTCCAGACCTATCGTCGAGTTGAGGGTCATGCTCCGGCCTGAGGTGCCGTGCCTCGTCTGTGGCGATCGTGCTTCAGGTAGCCGTTTTCTTCATTGAAAATTCTGCTCGTTTTGAAAGTTAGTGGTGCATGTTCAGTGTGTGTCAGTAGAGCGGTTTCGACGCAGATTTAAATTCTCCGAGTTTTCGAATTTTTCCTGTCAATGAAATTGCTCAAAACCCATCAAATACTTTTCAAACGAAATGCTTTAGCCTTTCTGCAGGACGAATTAAAATAATTTCCACAAAAAAAAACGCGGCGCAACCTCTCTGCAAGAGAACTGCAAGTGGCGCACACTTCAATTCATGGCGATTCAACTACATTTATTTTCACTGGACTTTTAGGCCGCCATTACGGAGTTTTGTCTTGCGATGGCTGTCGAGGATTCTTTAAAAGGTATTTTTTGAAATTATTTTTAGTTACATTGACAAGAGATGGAAATTTCTATTTTACTTTTTTTCGAGTTTTTGTTCGGGAACCTACACGAACCCCGGCAACGAAAACCGGACGTTTCTGAGCAATTCTAAAAATCACTTGAGAGTACTGACGCTACTAAAGTGGTCACTAGAAATGCCGCGACATGCCCGATTCGTGTTCGGTTTGCGTTACCAAGGTCCGAGTAATAGTCCAGTTAAAAAAATGATTAACTGTCATATTTATGAAAGCATGAATTTTTGCAACAAAGCTCTTTGAAGACTGTTCGTTTTGAAATTGTTTTTGATTTTTTTCTTCGGATTTGTATACCGGTTTAAAAATTTTTTTATTGATCCTAGAAAAATTTTTCTGTCGTCAAAAAAATATTGGTTTTTGACAAATTTTCGATGGAACTTGGAGTTATTTCGCTAATTTTATATTATCTCAATCTTTTTCCTTTTTGTTTTTCTGCCTTGATTTCTTGTTTTTTTATATTTTCATATTTCTTTCAGGTCAATACGACGAAGTTTAAAATACACCTGTAAAGAAGGTGGTCATTGTATTGTGGACGTGGTGAGGAGGAACCAATGTCAAGCCTGTCGGTTCAGAAAATGTCTGGCAGTCTCCATGAATCGCCACGGTTTGTGTCAGTTTCCGTTTGAAAAAGGAGTGATTATCATATTCTATAATGAAAAGCAGCGTTCAACTTATTTTTTCTCCAGGTTTATTCATACTGAATAATTTTTATTGAATATTGAGAGAATCGCATTTGTTCCTTTTGCGAAGCGGTCTGTGTAAATGGAGCATTTCTTCGATTTTCAAGCAGAGATTTTTACAAAAATTAAGATTGTACATTTTAGCATCCCTCTTTCTCGCTTAGAAAAAAATTTTAATGTGTGTTTTTCGAGGGCTTTTCTGTACCTCTCAATGACCAGAAAAGAATATGAATTTCAAAATTCGATTCAAAAAAGGCGTCTCCTTCAAGTTCTGATACTCTTGAGCGTAAAACCGCTGAAAGGGGAAAGTTGAGTTTTTAAAAATACTAAAAATTAAGGTTTTTCAACCGCTGAATTTTTGTTAAAATGACATTTTCATACCTTTTCCATATGGAAACTGAATATTTCAAATCTTGGACGCCAAGAAAAACTGAAAAGAGATCATGACCTCACTCGTGTGGGCGGCTGGGGGGGCTCACCAGCGGCTGGTCCCACGGTTCGTTGCGGATCGGCAACACGCGAAAGTATCAGGTTACGGTAATGTCGATGGGGCGCCGTTCACACGCTCAATGACGCCGACGCGGCCGAAAAGCCGATTTGCGTGGCAAACGGCTTCTGGGGGCCGCTTCTTCTCGAGTGCGACCGCCGATCCTTGGGGTCGGATTAACGGAAAAAAAGAAGTCGGCTGCGTTGCGATTTCGTTGAAAAAAAGTTTCTTGGTTAATTTTAATCAGCAAATTAGTTCATACCTCTTCGGCATTCTCTTCAAAAAAGCACGCGCTTAGGAATTTCAGAGTGGTCCCTATAGGGGTTCGAGAAGCAAAAAGTCCCTATATGAGCCGAAAAAGGGGTCCCTATAGAGTCTGACCCCTTAGCCCTATCGCTCAAGTGGTTCCTATAGGGGTCTTTCAACTTCTATCAAAAAAAGGCTTAATTATTTAGTTTTTAGCATAAAAATGCTTCTTCGCATAGAGTTTATAACAGTGGTCGACGAGTATATTCCCTATAGGGTGACTAAAACCTCTATAGGGACCACTTTTGCAAGCTTTAGTGGCCCCTATAAGGGTTGGTAAAGTTGTCCCTAGAGGAGACCGTCCAAGGGCCCTAATGTTGCCCCTATAGGGACCACTCTGGAGTTTATAAGCAAGGACAAAAAAGAAAGGGAAAGAAAAGAGGACGCAGGCAAGCTAAACTTTTTCTGAGTTTCAATTATTTGATGAATCGTTTCCCCGCTTTCTGATTTAATTTTTACTACTTGAAGCGAAAGCGCTTACAGCAACTTTTTTCTTCCAGGTTCTAGAAAAGAGACGTTTCAATACTGTACCGTGTGGGGATAAGAAAAACCATATTTTGAAGTTTTTTGGGCGCCTTCCATATTCTGGCGCACAGCGCCTTCTTGTGTGGATGGTGAATGTTTTTGAAATGAAAAACGAATTTTGTTTCGTCAGAAAAACCAAATTTTCCGATGAAATTTCGGGTAAAAGGACTCTTCCTTGCAGCAGTCCAACACGAAAGAGTGACCACCGAGAACACCCCACCTGATGAACCGAAAATGGCGTCCTCCTCGGCTTCGTCGACAGAACCCCGTGACTACAGTATCTCCAAGCAATTTCCAAATATTCACCGGAAAAACGAACGTGAGGAAGATTCAAAAAAATGATGACCATGAGTTTGATTCAGAAGGAAGTTTCTCGATATCCAGATTAGTGGCATCGGGCCAAGGGCCCACTCCGCTTCTCAGCTCTTTATTGCGCTGGTGGAGCGCCATGCCTCCGGCCAATGCGATGCCTGTCGCGGATCGAAGGGTCACTTTTATATATCTGATTGAAGGCTGGCTTAAGACATCGAAAAAGGGTCCTGGCACGAAAAAAAATGGAGGGAAAGCCTGAGGTGAAACCAGACACGCCCCTTTTCGTCTCAAGCTAGCCGTGAATGGACTAAACATTTGTTTCGTCTTCATTGAACTTTTCCGATTCCAGATTCTATTTGGGAACGCCTGGCACTCGATCTTCCTATTTCATGTCATATGCCAACAGGAATTGTCATTAATAAATGGTATAGTTCATTCATAACAGCTTCTTTTTTTCATCCAACAAAAAGTTCATTAGTTCATAAAAAAATTATTTTTCATAGATCGAAATATTATTGATTAATAATGAAGAAGATAATAATGAATTTCTTGTTCAAAAATTTTAAGATGCGATAATTTTTGAATCCGCACTGAACCGCGTCGCGACCGCTTCGCATTCGATACTCATATACCTCCTCTCGTAATGGCCAGGTGTCTCAACGGGTGTACCCGTATTGATCCCGTTTTTTTTTGAATCTCAGTTGTGTTAAAGCGGGGAAACAACGGGCGTAGGAAAAAATAGGTGACCCAGCTGTGCTAGAGTGGTGTCTCGGCTGGGGGGAAAATTGTCAAAAGTTCGAGCAGCTCTGCTCAGACGGGCTTACCCGGGTACACCCGCTGATACCCTGTGTTAGCCCGGTTGGACCACCCTCATCGCCACTTTTTTTTTCCAAAATTTTATCCCCCCACGAAATTGAAAACATCTATTAATTTTGGGAGTCAGAGATAATATTGAATTTTGTGGAAATGACTTTGAACACGACTTCACCGTAGACTTCAAATTATGAATTTCCAGATGCCACAAATGAAAGGCTGAAGCTGATCGCAAAATCGATACGTTCTCTGGTTCTGAATCTCATTGAACAATGGGCGATCACAGCGGTCCTTATCTACAAACCTGGTTCAAATTTTTTCCAAACCCAGTTCAAAATTAATTTTTTTTTAGAAGATGGAAGATTAGAAAGCAAACAAGAAGTCCGGCAAACTCAGTGGGGAGCCGCTCAGATGTTGGCCGATTGCCAAGCCGCGCGAATCACCTGTGAAGGAAGTGAGTAGAGGAAGTTAGAGTAGTCCCTAGAGAGGTTGAAACTTAAAGGGGACTAGAGGAAAACCTTCAGAACTCTTATTGGTCAAAAAAGACCGAAAAAAAAGTTGGAGTAGCTTTAGAACGGCCCTCAATTGACTACTAATCGTCGTTACTTAAGTGATCCCTACCCTACAGGATCCTAGTGGCGTCTATAGGAGTTGAACAGGCGTTTCCAGACCTTTAGAACTATTGGGAGTCGGAAAAAAGAAAATTTTGCCTTAACTCAAGTAAATCCCTCAAGTGACTACTGATCGTTGATACTTAATTGATCCCTAGAGATTCCTAGGGATAAGTGGCGATTATAGAAGTTTAAACCTTCAAGACTTGGTGAAAAAATTGAATTAGGAAACCCCTCAAGTGACCACTAAGACTTCAGTCATAACTAGCTAGGAACAGAAATTACTACTATAAGTCTGAATCTCTCCTTTTCTAATACTATTTCGTTGATTATCTGACTCTAAATTGGTTGAAATCCTCAGAGTGACCACTTACAGATATTATTAAAACCGAAGGGACCGCTTAAAGGCAAAGTTTCTTCTTTCAAGGTCTCCGAGGAGCGCAGCTGATTCTGGTCCCAACGGCTATCGTCCAGGTGTCCGCCGAAGAAGTCCGGAGCACATTTTTCAACGATAAATCAATACAGGAAATGGAGGCACTTTGTAGATCTTGTGTGCATTGAAATGAAACTTTTATATTTTCGATTTTTTTTTAAAATTAGGCTATGAACAACTGATAACAAGCAGAAAGAAACAACGAAGAAACGATTTAGAGAAAATTCATGGCCGCATTTGGAATTGTTTTGGTCGCATTCCAAATGCGACCAAATTTTTTCAAGCCTTTGGCTAAAAGTTCTAGATTGAGCAGTACAACCGGTTTCAGTCAATATGTGGTCGGAAAGGGGTTTTGGACCTTTTTCTGATTTTTCGATTCCGAGTTTGTCCAAAAAAATCGTTTCTTAAAGCTTGTCTTCTTTGGGAAGGACCGACTCGACGAAATCGACGACGTGTTTGTCGCCAAATTTGGGAGGTCCGATAAGCTGTTTGACGTCTTCATAATTCAAAACTTCTCGTTTCAACAGTGCTTGGGCTATCTTTAATATAAAACCTTGATTTTTGATGATATACTATTTTACCGTTTCAAGCTTGTCGACATTGTCTTTGAGCACCTGTGTCGTCGCTTCATAGGCCTGTCTTACTATCAAGTTCGCTTCCTGGAAACTTTGAAGTGAGTTTCGATAAAAGGAGCTCTGAAAAATTGAGCCGCGGATAGAATAGCTCGAAAAAGGGCTATCGCTTAATGTGATTTCCTTATTGACCTTATACGGCTAGTTTAAGATGCTAGGGGGCGTGGCCTGGTCTGCGCTCTCCACCAACCTAACACTATTTATTTTTTCTTCGTGTCAGGACCCTTTTTCGATGGTTCGCGTGAATTGGCTACAGCAAATTAGTTTTAAAAAAAATCTAGAACCGCGCGAAAAAATTGAGAATTTGAACTCGGTATTGGCGCCAAAAATTTTCCTATTAAAAAAAAATATGCAAGCTTAAAGTTTTTTTATCGAAATGGGTGGAAAAGCTCATTTTTTGGGAGTTTTAAGAAACGGAACTTCGAAGAAACATTCAAACCTATCCGCGGCAAATTTTTTCTACACTTCAAACCTGATCAAACATGGCGCCGAAGTGCTTGCTGTAGGGTTTGATATCAAATCCGTCAGTGTTTGGGAAAGATAGGGGGCCGATTCGTTCATTCATTCCGTAGATCTTTACTTGGGCCGATGCCGATTTGGTCACCTGAAAAGGATAATTTCAATAGAGTTGACCAAAATGGTACGCAGTTTTCTCAGGGTTGACTTGAAAAAATATCCAAAGAAAGATAAGCGAGATAGTGCGCAAAAATAAGAGATTTAGACGTCCCTACAGTCCTTTTTGTCTCAAGATAGCGGTGAATGGACTACGAGCCTTGAGAAAGCAAAATTTTGATCGTCTTCAAAAAATTAAGAAAACAGTGTGAGAAAAGAAGAGGTTTAGACGTCCATACAGTCCTTTTTGTCTCAAGATAGCAGTGAATGGACTATAAGCCTTGAAAAGACGATATTAAAAACAAATTTAAAAGATGAGATAGTGTGAGAAAAGAAGAGATTTAGACGTCTCTACAGTTATTTTCGTCTCAATAGAGCGGTGAAGGGACTATGAGCCTTGAGAAGGCAAAATTTTGATCGTCTTCAAAAAATTAAGGAAACAGTGTGAGAAAAGAAGAGGTTCAGACGTCCCTACAGTCCTTTTTGTCTCAAAATAGCGGTGAATGGACTATAAGCTCTCAAGAGACATTATTTGAAACGTCTTTACAAGATTGGGAAAACAGTGTGAGAAAAGGAAAGGTTCAGACGTCCATACAGTCCTTTTTGTCTCAAGATAGCGGTGAATAGAGAATACTGGGAAAATTTTTAGCGGCCACTATTGAGGCTCGCCAAGGACTACTTGAAGAGGACACTAAAGTGGCCACTAATTTGACTACTATAGTGACCACTAAAACGCCGAAACCATATAGTGACCACTGAAAACTTCCCAGTACGTCTTGAAAAGACATTATTTGAAACTTCTTTTCAAGATTAGGGAGAAAGTGTGAGAAAAGAAGATTTTTAGACATCCCTACAGTTATTTCTGTCTCCAGAAGGGCTGAATAAACTTTGAAAAACTTACTGAGATGTAAAAAACAAAAAATGACGAGTGGAGACAAGAAAAAAGGATAAAATTATGGTTTTTATAATACTGAACCTTCTGTAAATCGTCATGAGCTCCAGTCGTAATTCTGCCAAATTTGAGGCTTTCGGCGGCTCTACCGCCAAGCATCATGCACATTCTGTCGAAGAGCTGGAAATTCGAAAATTATTAGGACGATAAGCGAAAAAAATAAATACTTCCTCTCTGGAATAGAGTTTCTTGTCTCTTGGGTTGTACTGCGCGAATCCGAGGGCAGCCGAAGTTCTCGGGATTATGGTGACCTCAAAATTATGAGTTTAAGTTTTGAAAAGTACTTTATTCGAAGCTGGCTTAAGATAAAAATACTACACAGAAGTCCCCAAATATTTATTGAGCGAATTCTAGGTTTCTGTAGATAAATGTAACTTGAGAAACGTAGATCTTCATTATTTTAAATTTTTTTTCTATTTTTCCGATTTTTCCTTGAATTTTCATTTTTTTTTACTTCTGTTCTTATAAACATCTATGTTTAAGCTACCGATTTCAATCGAATCACAAACTATTGCTTTACCTGAAAAGTATCAATGATATATGAAAGGTAAGCAATGCAAACTTCAATTGCTCTTTTCCTGTTCTAACTGCTTGTCCAAAACACTTTTGAGATAAGAATATGTAGCTGAACTTCTTGATAATACTGACTTCAACAAAATCTACGTCTTCAACTATTCCTCCCCGCTTGAAACCTTCAAAAGAGCATCAGTATGCTCCAGCATCCAGCCAACAAGGGCGTGTCCGGCTTCATGATAGGCGACGATCTCCCTTTCCTCCTCTACCAATGAGCGGGACCTTTTCTCAGCGCCTTGAAGAAATAACTTGTTTTCAAATTTTCATAAATAATCCTCTACCAGCGATGACCCTATCCAAGGCGAACTCCAAATCTTTCAGGGAAACAAGTTTTTGGCTGTGAGAAGCCGCGTGGATCGCCGCCTCGTTCACAACATTCGATATGTCGGCCCCTAAAAACTCGAGAAATGATAAAAAATTTGTTCAAAATAGGTTTTAATGAGGTCGATTGATCACCACCACCTTGCAACTTGAAAAAATGATTTTCTAATTAACCAAAAAAGCGGAAAAAAATAACTAGAGTTTCTTGAAACTGCATTAAAAATGTACTGGGAAAACTTTTAGTGGCCACTTAAGCGGTTAAAAAATGAGTGGCCACTATAGAGGTCTTAGTGCTACTACTGGAACACAAAAAAAATCTTAGTGGCCACTCTAGGGGTCAATGGATCAACATAACTGGTCAGATCTGTTTGTTTTAAAATTATCCGAGTTACTGGAAGGAATACTGGATGAAAAACTACTGAAGTGACCACGAAGTAGAGAACCTCTATAGTGGCCGCTAAAACGAAAATAGTGACCACTATAGAGGCGGGTTTAGTGGCCTCTTTAGTGTCCTCTCCAAGTAGTCTTTGACGAGCCTCTATAGAGCCACCACTAAAAATTTCCCAGTACGCAGAAAAAAAAACATTTTCTCCGATTTTTGGAACTAGAATTAAAAATCAATCTAATGACAGGTTAAGAAATATATGAAGAAACCATCAGGGAAAACAGTGATGCAAAACAGGAGAGCTTAGAAAAACTAACAACTTTCCGTTGCCACCGTTTTTTTCCTATTGAAAGACTCAATTATAGACGAAAATAATTGAGCATTTTCTATTGAAAAAATGAATTTCACAGGAAAACAACGTATTTCCAGTTCAAAAAACTTGAAAAAAAAATGAATCGAACCAGAAAATCCCGGAGTCATCTGGGCCAATCGATAGGCATGCCGGGTGGCCGGATGGTCGAGTTTCACCCGTTTCAGGTACAGTTCGAACATGTCTTTCCTTTCCGAAAGCGTCGGCAAATCGATGGTGATGTGACGGTCGAAACGTCCCGGACGGAGGAGGGCCTGAACCACTTTTTGGAAGGTGTATTCGTTGATAAGTCTTTCGAAAAAGGAATCGAACCATAACAGGGAAAGATCTTGGGGTTAATAATCTTCTGAAAATCGGCCAAACCACCCCTTGATTTGCTAAAAAATGGTCCCTAAAAGTTTCAGCCTGAAAAAAATTTATATTTATTCGGAAAGAACCCATAAAATCTGTAAAAAAGGGGCATTTCGAGGCATTTCTCGGAAACTAGGAATTTTCGCAGGTTGGGACTTTCAGAATATTCTCCTGGAACATCAAAAAGTGTTCTACCCAAGTTTCGGAGAATTCCCAACCGCATGGTAAAATGACCTTTTTTGTAAGATACACTATTTTTGCAGGAATTTTCTGGTTCTAAGCGAGTGAATTTTAATAGAACCCAAGCAGATAGGTGAGACAGTAGAAATACAGACCTTATCCAGAATATCGCCACGATTCGTGCTTGCCAAAACGATGACGCCGTTATCGGATCCCATTCCGTCCATTTCAACAAGTAGCTGATTCAAAGTCTGCTCCTCCTCTCCAGAGCCGCTGACTGAACGAATGAAAATTTTTTTCCATAAAATTTAGCTGAAAAGTAAAACAAATTGACAAGAAAAGAAGCTGGAAAATCAAAACAACCTGGAAAAATAAGGATATATGTATCAAAATGCTCGAAAACATCGGAAATCATTGAACTTCAGTTAGAGAAGTAAGAATATGGTTCACAAAGTAGCATAAAGACTGATAATACACCGTAAAAAGCGCTTTTCAGTACGCTATTCCGTCTAAAATCAGCTAATCGTTTCGAAAAAAATATAATATAACGATACAAAATTCATCGAATGATCAACTACAAGGCTGTATAAGGAAATCGGGAAAGTTCTCAAAAAGTTCAAAAAAGTCCTAATTAAAGTCTTATGAGCTCCTTTTCCTAGCTTCAAAAGATATTTTTTGAGTCCCCGAAATTTTTTTTGTTGATTTTCCGTACCTCTTTTTATTATTGGTTATGAAAAAAGGAAAAAGTGATATAAAAGTCTGTAAAGGGTCCCTAGAAGGCGTTCATATACGGGGTGCTATCCCGTTTTGCTCAAGTTAGTTGAGAAAAAAAAAATCGCTAGAGGGGCTTTAAAATTTAAATTTCCGCATTCCCTCACCCCCAGACTTATTCCCCTCGCTCCTTTTCCTTCCGATCGCGTCGATCTCATCAATATAGATGATACAAGGGGCCTTCTGACGAGCCTCCTTGAAGAGGCCTCGGATTCTGGAGGCGCCGAGGCCTCCAATCACTTCGACGAACTCCGATCCATTCATGGAAATGAAGGGAACGATGGATTCCGCGGCCAGAGCCTTGGCTAGGAGGGTTTTCCCGCACCCGGGCGGACCCGTCAGCAGGGCTCCTTTCGGGAGTTTCGCGCCCAGTTTCTGGAAAGCGAAATTCACGTTATATATTATTTTTTTAACAAACAGTAAATCGCGTGGGATTCTTGAGATAGTCGACAAATTCGCGGATTTCAACTTTCGCTTCGTTGAGACCGGCAACATCCTGAAAAGTCCTTTTTTTCTTATTCTTTTATTTTCTAAAATCGGATTTCTGTACATAACGACCACTTTTATTTATTTATTTAGAAATATTTGAAGTCCGAAAATCGCAAATCTTGAAAATAAAAACAAATTAGGAAATCCAGAGTAGCCCCTATAGGGGTTAGTGGGGAAAAAAATCCCTGCAGGGGTCGAAAAAGCGGTCCCTAAAGGGGTAAAACTAAGGTGGTCCCTATAGGGGTATATTGTTTGACGGCTTAGCCCCTAAAGCTCAAGTCGACCCTATAGGGGTGTCTCAATTTTATTAAAAAACGCTTATTTATTCATTTTTCCTATGAAGCATGTCCCCTATAGAGACCGCGAACTTTAGTGACTCCTATAGGGGTTGTTGAAGTGGCCCCCTAAGGTTGCCCCTATAGGGACCACTCTGGTAAGAAGAATTCGTTTTTTAGAAAAAGACAATGAAATGAATACTGTACAAACCTTGAATTTGACCTTCAGCAACTTTTTTCCTTCTGGACTGTGGGGATCAATAACAGTGTACTTTCCCTTGGTCATATTGGACTGAAAAAAATCATTTTAAATTTTTTTCAACAGCTTATTGATTTATTTTAAGACTAAAATGGTCTCAGAACTCCTCAAAAAGTTGTCCTGAATCGACTATTCCCCATTCAAACCATGATATCGGTCATGTTGAATCCCTTCATTTTCTTGAAAGCGAAGGCCAATCCGGCAACGATACCAAGTAGTGCCAAGATGAAAATCCACTGGCTTCTGCAAAAATAAATATTTTCAATGATCGAAAATACAAATTTACGTGTTTCCAACACGTCGGTACTGAATCTGAGTCCACTGGTCCGGAGGAAGGCCAAGGGCTTGTTCAGCCGCTCGAACTTCCATTTCGAAACGAGAAACACTGGGAAGTCCCATTCGATACCTTGTCGCGAACTGAATATTTTGAAATTTCCACTTTTAAGTTTTCTTAACGCCATTTTAAATACAAGAAAATAGTTGTTTATGTCTTTAAAGTGTAGATAATCAAAATAAAGTCCTAAAAAGATCCCAGAAAGATTTTTTTAAATAAATAGAGTACCTTTTTTTCAACTTTCTTTCTAGAATTTTTTTCGTAATCATTCTTCTTGAAACTTATCTACCTTTTTAAAAAAACCTTTCTATCAAAAAGCTGGAAAGGCCTCAAAAAAAGTCATTTTTTTCAAGAACACCACTCGTCTTTTTCAAGGCTCAAAATTCGATTTACTCTTTTTCCCATGACTGTTCTTCATCCCAGTATCATACAGGAAAACGTCGGCTACGTCACTTTCAGGATACACAATAATTCGATACACCTAAAAAAAGAGAAAAGTATAAAAATTTTCCTTCTCAAAAACCTGGCCGCTTGGTAAAAGCTCAGCGACGAAATCGCTCCACGAAAGACTTTCTTGGGCTTCCTCAGGTGCCGCTGGCCTGAAAAACTCAAAACTACTCGAAAAAGACAATATCAAATAACCCCAATATGATCAAAACTCCATAGGTGAATAGAGAAATCGCCAAAGCTCTTTTCATTAAAGCGATTAGCTTTTTGCGCATGTCTTCTTCCTCATTTTTGTTCCCTTTTCCATCCTCTTCCTCCCCGGATCCCGCACTCGGATGTCCTTTGCTGTCTGAAATCCTCTAATTTAAATAAAAACGACAAAATCAAATAAAACGACCATAAACAGGGTGATCACGTGGCTTGCTGCTATTTTCTTTATTGTTCCGTGGTCTGACAGGAAATTTTCTTGCTGAAAAAAAGAAATCATGAAAATTTTAGTCTAAAACATACTTAAAAGAAGACTGTCTTCAATCCGACTCAAAAATGATGCGAGTGAGGTGGAGGAGGCGACGCGGAGATGATGCCGATTATAGTTTCCTGCCAGGAGAAGAACATATTTTCTTGAAAGATGAGCAGAACTGTGGATAATTCGAATCATAGAAGGATAACTGAACTGAATTTCATCAAAATAAACAACTGCCGTAGAAAAAAAATAAACTTTGGGAAAGTGTGCTCCAGTGGACTTGCGAACTTTTTCCTTGGACCCGCCGATCGGCGGCGTCTCTGAAAAAGAAGGGCTTTTCGCTTTATTTTTTATATTCTGGCAGTATTTCTGTTTTAGAATGAAGTATGAGATAGATTGTGAGCTAATCAGGAAGTGTAACGCCTCAGAAAAATTCCAAAAAGTCCATTTTTTTGAATTCTAAGCAGGACAATTTTTGATTCCGGCCTGTGTTCCAGCTTTTGTCTTCTTTCTTTCCGCTTTTTAACTTTGATTTGTTAAAGTTCTCTCCGTGTTTCACGAACTCTTTCCAGACTCCAACTTGACAATGCCGCGGGCCAGATCCAAGCGAAAGATAGCAGGTATAGAAAAGTTATTTCATTTTACCTCATATTTTTAATTCAGAAGATCCTGAGACGACGGCTGGGAGGAGTGGAGTTGCTGATGTCAATAATGATGTAATTACAGTGGTTCGAAATTTTTTAAAGCAGCAAAATGTTTTCCAGGACTTGCAAGTTTCATCCGATGAAGACGCGATTTTGGTGGGGACGAGTTTTGGGACAAATCAAGATTCAGTGGTATAAAAAATATATATTTGAAGAATGAAAGAAGGTTCGGTTCAGACTGAAGTTCCGAAGAAAAAGAAGAGGACTCGGAAAAGGTCACTTTCGCCATCGTTGAAAAAAACGCGGCAGAGGAAGAGCCTGCCAGTGTCAATTTTCATCAGAGTTCAGGTTGGTTTCATTGTTCATTCGTGGAAACGAATAATGTCCAAAAATTCGGAGATGTATTTTTTTTCCCGCCTTGATGTTGCTCTGAAACACATTTTTAAAAATGTTTCTCGTTTTGGAACGTTTTTCGCGTTTTTTCGATTGAAATGCTCTCAGAAGATTTTTTTTTTGAGTAATGCGTAATCAAAAGTTGTTAATCATATCCCTTTTACTCGATTTGAAGGTTTTGAAATCATATAACGCAGTCAAGAAGAATAAAAAAAATATAAAATGATTTTCTGTTCAAATTTAACACGCTGCCTGGTTAACTGTCAAGAACAACGTTTATAGAAAAAAAATTTTTTTTTTTGATTCTGATTAAACTTCACCTACTGTCATAACCCATCATTAGAAATTCGGACACATCTTTTTAAGCCGTTTCCTGTTACTGTAGCCGGGTTACGGTAGGCAGGTGGTCACCTGCGTATCTAAGTTTTGAAGAGTTTTCACTAGGCAAGTAATATATAAATCGATAGATAATCCAATTTTAGGAACTTTTACGGTACGTATTTGCTTGGGGGTTACTCTAGGAATTTTTGAGTTACGGTACTTTTTGTGTTTGTAAAGTCGGTTTTTCGGTCACCGTGGCCTTCGGATTTAGGTCGATCGTCATTTTGAATTTAATTCACATTTTCACTTTCTCATATTAATGTGTTAACCCGTTTCATTTTTTCATAATGCCAGCCTTTGAATACTTTTTTGAACAGAAATTTCCTGTCAAAATGCAAAAAAGAACACTTTTTTAGCGACGGCCTATTCCCGATTCCAACCCGCTCATTGGAACCCTCAATATTTGTACCGATTACCGACGGATATTGTGTTGCACGCGATTCGAAGAAATGGAAACGAAGGAGTCGGCCGGGTTGAGGTATTCATTTTTCCTAAAAATAGCCAAATGTGGTCAAAGGTTGGCTTAGATCATTCAGAAGTGTTAAAAAAATGGGATATTTTCGAAATTTGTTTGGGACAAATAAGTGAAATCTGAGAAGAGTAGGGTAAAAAAATACGAGTTTTTTTATAAATATAATGAGATTGAGTTGAAATTTTCTTATATCATTCGGATAAAATCGGCTCATTTTTCTCTTTTAAATCTTCAACATCGCAAAAAAATCTACTTCTAATTATTTAAAAACAAACTTTGAAGCGTTATAACTGGAATAAACGCGAAAAAAAACGTTTAGTAATTTTTACTCTGCTCCAGAATTTGTTTTTAAAACTTTCAGAACGAACTTTGATCGGATTCTCAACCGGAACATGTAAGAAAAAGTATCAAAATTTGTATTTTTTTCATTTCTTTTTATTGAAAAAAATTGTTTAGTAGTACCTTCATTGACGTTGAAATTGATAAAAGGACCGTAAAACTTCAAAAAAATAAAATTCCCATCAGATCGCCCAAATTCTCGGCATGGACGCCTCAACAAAATCCGGAAATCGTCGAGTTTCCGCGTTCATCCAAACAGTTTGTGCCGAACATCCGAAGGAGGTCGGCCAGTTTCAAAAAATGGAAGGCAAAGTGCGCAGTTTGAGGTTTTTCGAGAGGAATTTTCGCAAAATTGAGCAATGGTTTCTATTAGATATTACTGGAAAGACGACAATCAGCCGGGACGTTTCGATGAATTGTACGAGAAATTTTCGGCAGAGTCCGGCGGACCGTGTCCTTTCAAAATGGGAGAAGTCGTCAAATTTCCCGCTCACAAATTGAGTTAGTTTGAAAATTGAAAAAAAGGTTCCGTGGGTTTTAGGAACTTTTTTATTAGTTACAGCTTAAAATTGAGATCTTTAGCATTCTGAAGTTAGTTTCTTGAAAGAAAATAAGCGGAGACAAATTTTGGGATGGTCTCGAGGCGAAATACATCATTCCAGTAATTTCTGAGGACAATTGTGATCTTTAAATAATCTTTAAAATCTTCTCGGGAAAGTCAGAAAAAGAATAATTTTATAGAAAAAGTTTCAAGATATATAAGTGTTTAAAAAAATCGATTTAAAAAAAGAATTTACTCGTGGATTGTAGAAAATAGTTCTCTTTACAGCTTGAAGTTGAAATTCTTAACGTCCTGAAGCTAGTTTCTTTAGAAAAAAATATTTTTTTCAGTAAATATTCGAAATCAAATAAACTTTTTTTGAAGTCATTCGGTGCTTCTGAACCATTCCAAGTTTATTCAGGAAGCTTTTTTTGCAGCGCAAAAAAATTAATATTTTTTTGGAATTCGTTATAGAGTTAGTTTTGTCAAAAAAAAAAACGAAGCTATGATGTGTGAAGGGATAGAGAAAAGTTTGATAAAGGTCTCGAGGCGAATTAGTTTTTGAAAATGGAAAATTTGGAGTATTTAAAATATTGGAAAAATGAATGACTTGATAAAGGTCACCGAAATAATCATTTTAGCGGCTTTTTCTTTCTTTTTTCTCTGCATTCTCACCTTTTTACGAGATTTTCGGATTTTTCTAGAGCTAATTCTGAGAATTATTGATCAAATATTTACGAGATTTAACCATTTTTTTGAAACGAAAAAAATTATTTTTTTCTCGCTTTTTGGCCCTCAATTTTTCTCTCTATTCAGAATCCCCATGGCAAATAAGGTATAGGAAAATATAGCCTTTTTAAAAAAAGACTTTTTGAATTTTTTTCAAGGACGAATGTCCTAAAAAAATACGCTGAGAACCGCTCTTTTTCTTTGAGATCTTTCTGAAGATTGACTCCTTTAAAAAAATCAATAAAATATCGGATTTTCAAAGGGTTTTTTTATTACTGTTGATGAAGTAAATATTTAAAAAAATATGAAATCATAGCTTTTTTTCTGACCTTTCAGCCTCAAGTTTATGCTTTTTAAGGTACTTTACGGATCTCCGACGTCACCCTGAAACGCCTGATTCTATTACTGGAGCTTGCGAATAGATACCGTGTGATTGTCACGATAAATCAACTGATGAAAATGGTGGAGAGCAAGGAGAAGGCCGAGGGCTACAAGTTCACTGTATGATTTCTCTCGAAATTGAAAAAGAAATCTTGGGAATTTATTCAGATTGATAAAAAGTCGCTGATGAAGTGCATGTTGGCCTTGGAGAAGGAGAATTTGCTCCACATTTATGAGCAGAATGTTCGAACCGATTGTATTGACTACAAGGTGGGGAATTTCTTTCAAGGAAAACGAATGAACATTTAAGATTTCATAGCGAAAAGGGATTTTTAAAAAGCGTTTATTAGGGTTCTTTGTTGGATTTTTTTAAAGGAAAAAAACTGAAATCAGAAAAATTTTTGAAGCGAAAAAAAAGGCGTTTATAGGTTTTTTTCTAGCCTTTATTAGGGTCATTTTTGGGTTTCTTTTTAAGGAAAATGAATAAATTCAGAAGATTATTTTTTTAAAAAGGTTTTAAGAGCAGATTTTTCAAACTTTTTGTTTTTCGATTTTTTTGTCTTGAGAAATAGGTTCAAAAAAAGTATCTTCTTTTTTTCTCGAGTTTTTTTAATTTCTGCTAAAACCTTTGAAAGTTCTTAAAGCGTTTTTTTGGTTTTATTTTTGGAAGGATTAAATTTGAATAAGGTATAGGTTCATAAAAAAATGAGCTATATATCTTAAAATTATTATTTTATCTCTCAAAAAAATGGCTTGAAATAAGCTTTCCTGATGCATTTGGAAGTAAAATCTTTGCCGTTTTTCAATTTTTTTCAAAGACTTAAAAAAATTAAAAAAATCGTCATATTTTTTTGAGGTTCAAATAATGTGCCATCGAGACGTGAAAAGTGCGGATAGCTACGAAATTGCCGATGCGATTTTTGAAAATTCTGGACGATTATAATCGGGAAGGCAGGGTGTTCCCGCATGGGCAGTTGAGGTAACAACGGAGAAAAAAAAATTTTTTTAGCCTAATATTGAGCAAAAAAAATGGTCTAATGAACAAAAAAAAAATGTGAAATTTCAATAAATAATTTATTCGAGTTTTGAAATGTAATGTAGGTTTGGAAGGGAAACAAGCGTCGATTTCCTTTTTTTTTTAAAGAAATTAAAGTTTCTGAAGTTAGGAAAAAGGCTGCAAAAGAAGCATTTGAAAAAAGTGAAAAATCAGGGGTTCTACTTTTAAAAACTCCAGATTGGTCTCCATAGGGGCTACGGCCCTTGGAGGGTCCCCTTTAGGGACCACGACCACTAAGGCTTGCAAAAATGGTCCCTCTAGGGGAATTTTAGTCGATAATTTTTATGAGCTCCATGTGAAAAACTAAAAAAAAAACAACCATCTATGAGAAAATTGAACGACCCCTATAGGGACCACTCTTAAATTTCTAAGTACTGCCAAAAAAATAGGATTTTTAAAGATTCTCAAAAACGAAGAAAGAAGAATTGGCGAAACTGAAGACGAAAAGAGAGGAGGAACTGGCGAACATCAACGAGGTCTTTGCGGAGAACGGAGTTTCATTCCAAGAACGCTATAATCTCTGGAGGCTCCAAGTCTCTCGCGAAGCCATCGCCTCGACCAAAACGAAAAATGTAAAAAAAAAATTTCATAACTTCTTCGAATTTTTTTCAGGGCTCTGCCGATGTCTCACAGGACAGTCGTCTTGATGAGGTTGCAAAAAAACTTAAGAAAGAGAAAAATAACAGTTTTTTCAGACCTTACCCGAATCTTACTCCGATGGTATCGGGTTGGGCTCCTTGGGCGAAACAGGTACCGTTTTCCTGTTCTGAAAAGATGTGGAAATCTGGGAAAATTTTTAGTGGCCCCTTTAGGGTTTTGAAGTTTTTGTGGCCACAATAGTAGTCAAATTAGTGGCCACCATAGAGGTCTAAGTGCTTCCACTAGACCATTAAAAAGTGGCCACTAAATAGAGAACATCTATAGTGGCCAATAAAACGGAAAATAGTGGTCACTATATAGGTGGGTTTAGTGTCCTCTCAAAGTAGTCCTTGGCGAGCCTCTATAGTGGCCACTAAAAATTTTCCCAGTAAGCTAAGTAATTTGAAAGTTAGTATTTTTAGAGCCATGTTGTAAGTTTGACTGAAAAAAAGTTCAGAAATTATGAAAACCTGAAAATTTACTATTTTTAAAGCCGAATTTTGCTTCTGTCACCTGAAAGATAGGCTGAAAAATGACAGTCTTCTGAAAAACTTCTCTGTTAAAGCCGCATTTAGCTACTTTTATCTCAGAAAAAGTTTCATAAAGGATAGACTTATTTTTTAAAAAATCATAAATTTCCTGCATGTATCTTGATTTCTAACTTTTTTCTTGAGTTCTTTCGATTTCCTTTTCCTAGTTTGAGTTCATATCAAAAATCTCAAAGAAAGATATTTTTTATTTTGTCACGACATTTTCGCTCTCGCACTTGAGGACGGAAGCTTGTAAATGATCTGAATTTCGAATTTTAGATTTTTGAAATGAGAGACTTCTTTGAAAAAACTTTTTTTAACGCGGCCTATCGAACTTCTGTTAGGGAAGGAGCTTCAGAAATGATAGACGCCGACAAAAGACGCTCGACGACGCACTACGACGCGAGCTACACGTTCGGCTACCAGGCCAAGGCGATCCGCTGCATGGTCCTCCACGAGTTCGTCTGGAAGGTCGTCCGAAGCGACTTCGACGCCTCCCTGCCGGACCTCTACCAGCGATTTCCACCCGGAAAGCCGTTCTCCGATTGGCCGTCGCCTAATCTCCAAGATCTGCCCGTCTATACTACGGAGGAAGAAAACTCTCCTTTCCGTTTCGTACCGTCTTTGTCGACTTTTTCGGATATCGAAAGGTTGGTTTTGTACCGAAAAGGAGTGCCTTCCGAAATGAATCTAAACAAAAAAGATGAAATATGTGCCGCTTTTAACACGCATTCTCCCAGAAAATCGAACAAATGCGAAAAAAATTGGTACAAAAATTTCATCTTTGTTCCTGAGAGCTCTCCTTGCTATGATAGATAGTGGACAACCTCTTGAATATTTAGAACCAGGTTTTATTAGGCTCCGCCCACTTTCAGGCTTACTGTAGAAAAAACACCGTAAAAACCAAACTTATTTCCTAGTGGAGCAAATTGGTCCAAACCAATTTTGAAACAAAATATGTTCTCTTTTAAACATTTATAGTTCTAGAACTGACCCGGAAAAATTTTTCTTTCAGAAGAAAAAAATTCAAGTTTTTTGAAAAATGACGATTTTCGCAGTCTTTGAGTCATAACTAGTACTAGAACCCCCGAATGCCTGGATTTTTATTTTTTCAATCGACGCGTTAGGGTCTTGTGAGTAGAGGAAAAATGCCTAGAAACTCTGAATCCGGGTGATCCAGTTGACCTCCATCTCGAAGAACGCGGCCAACTTGAAAATCGCAAAACCTTTGAAAATTTCTAATATTTGTGAAAGCCGGATTCCGTCTTGTTTCTTATTTTTGTTCAACATAACACAGCCTGCTGCAAAATTGCAGCTCAAAAGTAGCTAGCTGGAACCCTTTGAAAAAAATTTCTGACGTTTTTTTCTGATTTTTTTCGTTTTTTTCGGCATTTTTCAAACTTTTTCGCTCTAACTAGTACTAGAACCCCCGAATGCCTGGATTTTTATTTTTTCAATCGACGCATTAGGGTCTTATGAGTAGAGGAAAAATGTCTATGAACTCTGAATCCGGGTGATCCAGTTGACCTCCATCTCGGAGAACGCGGCCAACTTGAAAAATGACTAAATTTTTAAAAAAATCAGTTACTTTCTTGGGAGCAGGATTTTTCCCTCACTTCTTTTTTTGCCAATCAGACACAATCCACTCAACAAAAAATTGGAACAAAAAGTTATGGCTCTCAAGCATGACGAAATTTTTTTTTTTCCAATTTTTCACTTTTTCGGATTCATTGTTTTTTTCTTTCCTTTCCAAGCATTGAGCTCTACTGGATTAGGATACCAGGAATGCTTAGAGTTTTTTCGTTGTACTGATCCGTTACATCTTTCCAAGTTCTTTAAAAATATTCCCAAGCTCTGTTTCCGGGTGATCCAGTTGACCTCCAAGCAGCCGAAGCGGTCGACCTCGAAGTCGAGCGAAATTTAAAAAAATTTTCCAAACCGTTTTTTTGCTTCCTAACCAGTAGTTCTCATCATCTGGAGGGTTTTCAGTGTAGTTTCCACCAATTGCTGGCGTCAATTTTTATTTTTAGCTCATTTTTATTTTTTTGAGAATTTTTTAAAATTTTCGACGGGACGCAGCCCCAGCAATACCCCTGTCTGTCGAATAATCTGGAATTCCCTGGTATTATGCCTAAAAGAAAGTTCCAACTTACGTAAAGACACTACTTACGAAAAAAATAGGGACTACTATTTTGTGAAAAAGTAAGAATCTTGTTTATCGATACCAATTGTTTGACTTTTTTTTGAGAAAAAAATTATTCTGGACAAAAAAATCATACAGAAAATAAAGAAAAAACTATTTCAAGCAAAAATAATCAAAAAAATTTTAAAAAACTTTTTGTCCAAAATAATTTGATCAGCGTTTCAGTCCAGTTGATAATTCAAAAGAAATGAGATAAAAAAATTTACGCCACAGAAAGAGGAGCAAGTCTCCTCTAGATTCTTGCAAAAAAAAAAAATACAGAAAGCGATCTATTGATCATGCCTATGGGCCGAGAGAAAATTTTTGTCGAAAGTCTTCGTTTTCGAGTGAACTGAGAAGCTAAGCTATTTTGGACAAAAATTTTTGGTCCATTTCCCCAATGTCGATGAAAAAAAAACTGGACTGAAACGCTGATCAAATTATTTTTGGACAAAAAAAGTTTTTTTAAAAATTTTTTTGATTATTTTTTTGCTTGAAATAGTTTTTTTCTTTATTTTTCTGTATGATTTTTTTGTCCAGAATAATTTTTTTCTCAAAAAAAGTCAAACAATTGGTATCGATAAACAAGATTCTTACTTTTTCACAAAAATAGTAGTCACTATTTTTTTCGTAAGTAGTGTCTTTACGTAAGTTGGAACTTTCTTTTTAGGCATAATACCAGGGAATTCCAGATTATTCGACAGACAGGGGTATTGCTGGGGCTGCGTCCCGTCGAAAATTTTTAAAAAAATTCTCATGAGCTAAAAAAATAAAAAAATTGACGCCAGCAATTGGTGGAAACTACACTGAAAAACCCTCCAGATGATGAGAACTACTGGTTAGGAAGCAAAAAAACGGTTTGGAAAATTTTTTTAAATTTCGCTCGACTTCGAGGTCGACCGCTTCGGCTGCTTGGAGGTCAACTGGATCACCCGGAAACAGAGCTTGGGAATATTTTTAAAGAACTTGGAAAGATGTAACGGATCAGTACAACGAAAAAAAACTCTAAGCATTCCTGGTATCCTAATCCAGTAGAGCTCAATGCTTGGAAAAGGAAAGAAAAAAACAATGAATCCGAAAAAAAGTGAAAAAAATTGGAAAAAAATTTCGTCATGCTTGAGAGCCATAACTTTTTTTGTTCCAATTTTTTTGTTGAGTGGATTGTGTCTGATTGGCAAAAAAAGAAGTGAGGGAAAAATCCTGCTCCCAAGAAAGTAACTGATTTTTAAAAATTTAGTCATTTTCAAGTTGGCCGCGTTCTCCGAGATGGAGGTCAACTGGATCACCCGGATTCAGAGTTCATAGACATTTTTCCTCTACTCATAAGACCCTAATGCGTCGATTGAAAAAATAAAAATCCAGGCATTCGGGGGTTCTAGTACTAGTTAGAGCGAAAAGTTTGAAAATGCCGAAAAAACGAAAAATCAGAAAAACGTCAGAAATTTTTTTTCAAAGGGTTCCAGCTAGCTACTTTTGAGCTGCAATTTTGCAGCAGGCTGTGTTATGTTGAACAAAAATAAGAAACAAGACGGAATCCGGCTTTCACAAATAATAGAAATTTTCAAAGGTTTTGCGATTTTCAAGTTGGCCGCGTTCTTCGAGATGGAGGTCAACTGGATCACCCGGATTCAGAGTTTCTAGGCATTTTTCCTCTACTCACAAGACCCTAACGCGTCGATTGAAAAAATAAAAATCCAGGCATTCGGGGGTTCTAGTACTAGTTATGACTCAAAGACTGCGAAAATCGTCATTTTTCAAAAAACTTGAATTTTTTTCTTCTGAAAGAAAAATTTTTCCGGGTCAGTTCTTAACTATAAATGTTTAAAAGAGAACATATTTTGTTTCAAAGTTGGTTTGGACCAATTTGCTCCACTAGGAAAAAAGTTTGGTTTTTACGGTGTTTTTTCTACAGTAAGCCTGAAAGTGGGCGGAGCCTAATAAAACCTGGTTCTAAATATTCAAGAGGTTGTCCACTATCTATCATAGCAAGGAGAGCTCTCAGGAACAAAGATGAAATTTTTGTACCAAGGGTTAATCGAAAATCTCGGAGAACGTGTGTTAAACTCTCATGCCTATAAGGGTAGGCCAGCCGGGCTAACACGGGGCTCAACGGGTGTACCCGTATCAAGTCCGGTTGAGCACGGCTGATAGAACTTTTAGCCTTTTTACCACAGCTGAGACCGCTTTAGCACAGTTAGGTTTCCTATTTTTCTTGCGCCCGCTTTTCTCCTGTTTCAACCCAAATAGCTAAAAAAAAACGCGTTTAGAACGGGTACACTCATTAAGTACTCTCATGCTGATTAGGGTAGCCCTGTCGGACTAACGCGGGGTAACAGCGGGCGTACCCGTATTAAGTCCGGTTGAGCACAGCTATCGACGTTTTTCCCACACCTGAGGCACCGCTTTAGCGAAGTTGGATCTGAGATCTTTAAAATAAACATAGCTGGGTCACCCTTTTTTCTTATTTCCCTTGTTCGCCCGTCTTCACCCAAACAACTCAAAAAAAACGAAGTTAATACGGGTACACCTATTGAGTTCTCTGATTCTGATAAGCGTAGCCCTGCCGGGCCAACACGGGGTATAAGCGGGTGTACCTGACTAGTAGGTGACAACATTTGTTGAAATTAGGTTCCATCTAATACATCTTGAAATATTTCGATTTGAAAAAAAGTCAATAATTCCTTCAGGGGTTGGTTCATGCTGCAAGATATTGTAGTGGCGATGCCATTGTCGATTCTCGTCTTAATTGCTTACGTTTCAAGAAAAATTCAGGTTGGTGTCTAAATTTGAAGCTGGATAGAAGAAAAATATAAGTTAAGAAATGGATTTCGAAATATTTTGAAGGAATAAATATGGTTTTCCCGTAAAACGAATAATTTCCGGTTAAAACTTCCCGATGGTTAAATTTTTTGAGTTCTTCTTCTTCTTCTTACGCCTTTGTACCGCTTGAGCGGCGTCGGCGCCCCATGTCGATTAGCCGAGGTCCTATCCTGATAATCAGTGGACTGGCTCCAGTGACATATCCGTCCTTGTGTGTGACGGATGGGGATTTTGAAGTCGTTTGAGTTATGATCGGAAAAACATGAATTTCTCCATCTGTTCCTTAATTTGGGACGCCTTCAGGCTGAAAATTTTGTTTGCCAGGGTTGAGACACGCTTCAGAATCGGTTTTTTTTTCTATTTTGTGTATTTTTCCTTGCTTGACATGTTATGTTTCAACTAAATTATAAATATTATTATTTTTTGTTTTTTTAATTTCCGTTGATTTTTAAGCAAAAAAATGGATCGTAATATTCACTGGAAAAAGTCCAAAAGGTTTCAAAAAGGACTTTAGGAAAAAAAGGCCTTTAAAATGCCTCAAAAAGCGTCTTTTTTCAAGAATTTTTTTCTGAAAATTAAGGAATTGTAAAAAAATAAGGCGGAAAAATTATGCAAAAAAAGGAGATTCCCAGAAACTTTTTGACACCTTTTTTTAGGAACTCAGTGAGGATCTTTAGGCTCTTTCTTTTTTGGCCTTTTTGAGGTCGTTTGGACTTTGTCTGTGTTATATATTTTTTCTCGCAAAAAGCTCAGAAACGCTTCAAAATCCCCCTTTTTTTCGATTTCTTTTTTTCTTCTTTTTTGAGATTTTTTTCATCTAACAAATTTTTTCCTGATCCTTATTCTATCGAAAAGCGTTCTTTTTTTGAAAATATGGTTCAGAAACCTCGCCTTCACTACTACCTGAGCGATCCGATCAGAAGGCATACCTGTCTTGGAGACCTCGCCCCGGATCTTCGAGAACTCCTTCTTAAGGTAAACCCAAAGAAAATAACTCGAAAAATGGAATTTTCCAGGACAAGAAGCTCTACAAGCAAGTGGAGCATCTCCTTCTCAGCATGGGAGTCATGGGCCTTTTTTCCTACACCGAGAGTCCTGACCCAAAACGTTTCAACTCGGCTTGCACCGCTGTTTTCCATATCAATGCCAAGTTTGAGGGTCCGGAAAAATGGTTTTTGAATAATAATTTTAGAGGGTTGCTCTATGACACGAGTACCAGTGATCGGGGTTACTCCGAAGTCACGCCCCCCATCAATCGATATAAAAGATATGAACACGAGTTCAAAACGCAGGTACTAGAGAAATTCAGAAATAGTAGAGTGGTCCCTCTAGGTGTCAGAAAAAAAATAGCCCCTATAGGGATCGAATTTAGATGACCCCTCAGACCCCAAAGCTCAAATGGTCACTATAGGGACTTTATTGAGTTTTTCGCATCATGCTTCATCTCGTAGAGTTCATAAGAATACTCTACTAGCATGTTCCAAGCTTTAGTGGCCCCTATAGGGGAAATTAAAGCGGTCCTCAGAGGAGAATCTTCAAGGGCCCTTAAGGGACCACTCTGGAGTTCAAAAGGAATGAGAAAAAAATATGTTTATGGTGAGTACTAAAGTTCAAAAATAAAGTGGGAAAAACCCTGAAAAATAGTACTTTTTCATGGTCGCACTTGGAATGGATCGACTGGTAATTTTATTTCTCATTAAGTAGATCAGAACAGGAAAACGTTGTTTTTCGAATGTAGTAGGGAAAGAAGGAGCTTTTTGAGAGGAACTTCGAAAAATATCCCAAAAGTTAGAAGAACATACATCGGCTGCCCCCCCTTCAAAAAAAAAAGTTTAAAAAAACGTTCTGAAATAAGCCGCACTTTTTGGGGGAAGGTGGGTAGGCCGTAGTTTGGGGGGTAGGCACCCCGGGGTGAGATTCCGCCGATGTATGTTGAAGAATTATAAAGTAATAACTGTTTCATGGAGATATTTTTTATCCCGAATTTTCTAGGAAAACGTTGTCCTCTACTGGCATCATCTACGCGCCATCGTCCAATCGACGCCACTGGCTTTCCGGATGGATGGCCAGAAAGATACGCAAACCACGCAGCGCTACCGCAGATACGCCATGGGACAGTTCGACAAGGCTTTTCCATATTTTTTGGCTTCAAATCAAGTCAACTCTTCCAGACGATGATTCTGAAGCCAACGGATCAGCCCATCGACCTGGTACCGCCCTTGGAGCCCAACAACGGATGCGCTGGATTCGATTGCGGCCTCTTTTTGTTGGTTTTTCGACAGAAATTTTGGAAAATCGGGGCCCCAAAGAACCCAAGCTGGCCGTGACTCGACTATATGTGAGAAAAAGTTGAAAACCCTTGAAAATATTCAATTTCTGGTTTATTTTTTTCGTTAATAGTCAGCCAATAAGGACGTTTTCGTTGTTTTTTTTGACATGCATTTAAAAACACCAGAGAAGTCCCTATAGGGTTCTTCGATGATTCTTTCAACCTTCAGGGCTTAGGGGTCATATCCTGTGTCCTTATATAGAGCACTTTTTTGTCCCCTACAAATGTTTTCCCTTAACCCCTTTAGTGGCCACTCTGGCCTTCCTAAGTAGTTTTTTCAATGTCAAACAATGAAAATGTCTTTAAGAATTCTTTGCTACAATTGAACGAAACAAAAAATGTTCCAGCCACTTGAAGCGGCATTGGGATCTGAACCCGAGACCGTCTCCCTGCGTTACCTGGTTCATCTCGAGGTTCCGAAAGTCGTCGGACGTCCTGAAAAATGAAGTCGAATCCAAGTTGGCTTTCTCAATAGATAGAAAAAATTTAAGGGAAATTTCAGAGTGGAACGTCTTCAGAAAGATTGGAATAGCTATGTCAAGTCGATGATGCCCGCTGACATGGAACTGACCAGGAACAAGAAGATGGCGGTGAGCGATTCGAAAAAAACTTTTATTTTCTTGTATGTAATGGACTAGGCGGTGAACAAGAACTTTCGTAGTCTCTTCAGTTTTTGAATGTCAGGTACAATGACGTCATTTGAAAACGCCCTGTAAATGGCTATGATTGGTTTGTCGCGTCGTTAGGGGCGGAGCTTAAGCGAAGACTTGACATTCAAAATCTGAACAGACTATAGTCCCGTATCAAAAACTGCCTTTGGCGAACTAGAAGTGTAGTTGATCAATTTGGTTTGTTTATTCGAATATTTTTTAGCGGAAAAGTTCCGAAGGCTCCTTTTTGAGCTCTAGAAAGGTTGCAAAAAGTTCTTCCAAGTTCCTCTTTTCCACATTTTTTGGAACTCAGTTCTTGAAAAGGTTGCAAAAAGATTTTTCTAGCACTTTTTTTTTGCAAATGGGACTTCCGATCGGGTTTTCACCAGCTTTGAGGAATCTTACTGAATACGAAAAGTCGAATTCCCCCTTTTTTTCTACTAGGGAAAGGCAAGGTTCATCCACCCTTTTAATAATTTTTTCGTCTCTCTATCTTTTTCTCGCCTTTTGAGCACCTTTTTTCCTCTTTTAAAGAACCTTATGAGACAGAAGCTCCTCAAAGGAGAAGTTAGGAAAGAATTTTCGAGGTCTAAAAATTCATTTTTTAGGCTTCTCTGGTCTTGAGGATTGTATGTGTTACCGAGAAAACTTTTTAAAAAAATATTTTCATCAGCTTTTCTCACTTCTTTTTCAATTTATAGAAATTTAACGATGCGTATTCTATAAAATAGAGTATAATAGTGGAATCCAAGGCTTTTTTTAAAGTTACTATCACTTTTTTTCCATCTTATCAACATACCTTTCCGAAAGTTCAGGTCCGAACTTCGGATGACACTGCGCTGTTTGCTGGATCCCGTTCTGCGGCTGCGAAAACCCTGAGGACTACGAATCTCGGCGAAGTGACACCTAAAGTGCTTTTCTTCCCAAAAAATTGAACTTTCAATGGGGAATTTCAGTCAAAACCGTCGAAAAAGAGGAAATTCGACAGTGTCGACGTGTTGAGTCACCGGAACCGCATCTACATGAGAAGTCGTTTCAGTGCCAAAGAACGGGATCAAGTGAGTTTTTTGATTCTGTGAGAGGGTCTAAGTGACCTTTTGAGAGGCCTAAAGAAAAAATGGCGATTGAAAAAAAAACCAGCGAAAATTCAAACGGCGACTTTTCCGATTTTTTCATAGGAAAACAATGTTAATAGATGTTTTATAAACCGCAAAATATAAGGGAAAAAAAGTCGGAAAGGGATTCGGCGGAAAGTTCCCTAGCGATATGAAAAAATCAGAAAAGTCGCTGGCTTTTTTTCATTCACCCAAAGAAGAAAAAACTCTCTCTTGAATTTCTCAAAAAAGGAGCAAAAGCTGTTTCTGAGCTTGTTTTTTTCAATCTTTTCAAGAAAGAGGACCTTTTATCTGCCTTTCATTTTTCTTTTTTTGATATGTTTATATAGATTTCTTATCACCATATGATCTCCTTTTCATTGAAAAAGAAAGTCATGAAAATTCGCTAGATTTTTTTTGCTCCTTTTAGAAGTCTTTTAAGCTTTTCCTCAGTTTCTAAACGATTTTCCATGATTTGAAACGCTATAAACTTGTCCATTAATTTGTGGAACTCTGTTTCAACCGTTTTTTTCATTTTTTATTGATATCCGTCATGTTTCTGGTGCAGATTATGCACAGAAAACTTGATTCGAAAAAAATAACATTTCGTCATATTTTGGGACAAAAAGAAACTGAGTGATGAAATTTTTATCTTTCCATGCATTTTTTGCGGAAAAAAAAACAAGAAAAGCGTGAAAAAATTCCTAAGAAGGTCATAAAATTCCAATTCGCCATATCTTTCAAAAAAAGGAGAAAAATAAGAAATATTCAAAAATATTTTCAGCTCATCATCATCCGAGCAATCGGCTTCTTTCTGAACCCGGTTTATCGATTTTGGCTTGAGCCGACCGTTTTGAGGGACATTATGCATGAGTACGTGCCGGAGTCTCGTACCAAGACTGTTCAGGTTGAGAAATTTGTCTTTTTCTTTTAATTTTGCTCAAAAATCTTTAAAGGATCATGCAGAAAGTTTCAAAAAGGTATTGAGAAAAATGACCATTTTTTTGAGCTTTTAAAGTATCTATGAGCCTTTAAAGGAGTAATCCTTGAAAGAGCTCATTTTTAACGAAATTATATGATTTACTTGCTCTTTTCAGAGTTTGATGGCGGCCGGAGTCCGAGAAATGACCCGATCTCATCGTTTGGCCTACCTGAGAAGGGTTGTCAGGAACTTGGCAACTTTTAAAGTGAAAAGAAAGACTTCTAACTCTAGAATAAAGTTTTTTTTTAGGAAATGCGAACATTCCGAAGCGAGCTGGCCTCGATCCAACTTCACACGGCCGAAGAAAAGTCGGAGTTTTTCAGGAAAGTCTACGAAGTCGCTGTCAAACTTCTCTTTTTGTACGTTTTTTGAGAAATAATCGAAACTGTGTAGTTTATAGTACAATGGGTAAGGTCAAGTAAAGGTCAAAGTTTAGTTTGAGATTATTTAAGAACGATTCAAATTTTTCAAAGGGTTTTAGCTTGAAAAATCGATCCTGAGTAGGAGAATTGACAAGAAAAAATAATATGATCATTAAGATTCTATTCAAAAAAGTTTAGTTCCAAAAGTTTTGGATCACGTGAAGCTTATTTGCGTGTAGTGGACGACGTCTTGGCAAAAACGGGAAAAAATTTGAGTTTTCGGCTTTTTAAAAATCTTTAAGAGGTTCTACATGTATGTGAGCATAGGCGAATTTCACAAAAATTTCAAAAAAAAAAAAATAGTTTTCTGTGTGATCCAAGTTTTTTTCCGATTTCTAAACGGGCTGTACTCTTCGGAGGCGGTTTCCATAAACTTTTACGGCCGATACTTTTCCGAACCGGGAATTTCCGAATCGAAATCCGAATCGATACTTTTCCGAATCGTACTTTTCCGAATCGGGTGTATACTTTTCCGAACCCAAATTTATTATGCTTTTCCGAATCGGTTTTCCAATTTTATTCAGGTAGAACCTTTCTTTCGATCTTCTCATTTCCGACCGGTTCCATATAATTTTTCTCGATTGGTTTCAAGCTCTGCCGTAATTAGTCAGAGACTTCTTTTTCAGATCATTCTTTCCAAAAATTTCTTTATATTCTGTTCGATTTTTAGTTCAAATTTGGCATAATTTGATCTATAATTTCTTTTATAGACCACCGAGATTAGAAATTACCTCGGCACAGAATGTGTCAAGTGCCCTGATCTTTGCATGACTTTTTCAGATTTTCAGAATTCCTTGATTTTTTTTCAATCAATATACATCATTTCATTCGTTGTTTCAGTCAAACATGTCATCGACTAAGCCTTGATCAACAACATTTTGAGTTCTATCGATCAGCTGCCTTTAGTGATGGCAGCTTATCGATATGACTCGAAAAGTTATTGCTCAAAGCTTAGCCGATGAAATTTATGGAAATGAAAAGTAAAATGCAGAAAATTCTGAAAATCTGAAAAAGTCATGCAAAGATCAGGGCACTTGACACATTCTGTGCCGAGGTAATTTCTAATCTCGGTGGTCTCTAAAAGAAATTATAGATCAAATTATGCCAAATTTGAACTAAAATCGAACAGAATATAAAGAAATTTTGGAAAGAATGATCTGAAAAGAAGTCTCTGACTAATTACGGCAGAGCCTGAAACCGATCGAGAAAAATTATATGGAACCGGTCGGAAATGAGAAGATCGAAAGAAAGGTTCTACCTGAAAAAAATGGAAGACCGATTCGGAAAAGCATAATAAATTTGGGTTCGGAAAAGTATACACCCGATTCGGAAAAGTACGATTCGGAAAAGTATCGATTCGGAAAAGTATCGATTCGGATTTCGATTCGGAAAATCCCGGTTCGGAAAAGTATCGGCCACTTTTACGGAGCGTAAATGAATTTAACGCAGTTGAACATGAGTTTTTCAAAGGGTTATGCGAACCTCGTAGGCTGAAAGCGTTCAATAATAAGAAATGGGAAGTTTCTCCTCTGAAGAAGCCATTTACGCACTCACTTTACGCTCCGTAGACATTTAAAACGTAAACTTGAGATTTTCACATGTATATGCAAACTTTGTGAGCTGAAAGCGTTATACAAGAGTGAATAACATTTTTTCTTCTAGAAAATCTATATACGCACTTCATTTACGCTGTGTAAACTTTCAGGTTTATACATTCGCTTTGGTTTGCGCGAAAAATGACCAAAATCACTATGAATTTTTGCATTTATTGGAACCAGGAGCCATATAAATGGAAGCGTTTTCAGCGTAAAGGAGTTTGAAGCATGTAATCTTGAAAATTTTTCACAACTATGCGAACTTTGTGAGCTGAAAGCGTCACACGAGTATAAATATTAAAAGTTTTCCTTTCGGATAAGCTATTTACGCTGCGTAAACGTTCAAATGTATGGCCATTGAACTGTTCGGTGTCTAGGGACAACGACGTCCTGCCGCACGTTTTGACGTCGGACAAGGACTTCTCCAACTACCTCAGCCGCTGCAACGTCTTCATCACGCCGGAGCCCACGACGACCGCGGCTTTGCCTCTGAGATGCCGAAAACCCGAGAACTTCTCCCATATTCATCACTGCGTCACTGTCAATATCCTTCTAGTACGGATCTGTTATGCAGGTTTTTATAAAATCACAATTTAGTCCGTTCTCCTACATTTCTACGACAGCGGCTTCTCGGAAAACCTTCTTGAGCAGGTTTCAGCGACCGTCGTACACAACGCCCTTCAAGTGAGAGATGTCTTTTGTTGGGGATGCTGGGAAAATTGGAATAAATACATTTTTTTAATGAAAAAGTAGATGATGAGAAGCTTGTGAAGTTTATCTGGAGTAAAATTAAAAAAAGGAAACTTCAAATTAAAAATTCTTTTTTCTGCCTCGAAAAATCATAGCATTTTGCGATTTTTTTATTCTGTTTCATTTTTTTAGAATCTCTTACTTTTTTTATGCGAAAATTCGAATTTTCAGGAAAAAAATCCAATAAAGTTTGAAGCTTGTCATTCAAAATTTTCAGCTTTTTCCTTCGGTTCCTAGGAAATTTGTTGGAATTTTGAATAATATCTCGAGTTAATATAAAATTTTTTGATCTTGGTACATCTTTCCTTTCTCTTACTGGCTTTTTCCATGCGAAAATTTGAGAAACGGCTCCTTCTAAGAAAATAATTCAATAAAATTTGGAACTTGTCATTCAAACTTTTTCAGTCTTATTCCTCGGTTCTTGAGAAATGTGTTCGATTCTAAATAATATCTCGAGTTGATATAAATTTTTCTTGATGTGGGTACTTTTTTTCTTTTTCTCTTATCGACTTTTTTTCATACGAAAAATTTCATGAAAACTGTTATTTTCTAGGAAAAAAAGGGTTATAAAAACGCTCCAGTGATTCCTCAGGGGTTTTTTTCAATTTAACTTGATAAGAACAATTTCTGATGCCAGTAAATTTTTCTTGTAAATTACTGATTTATTCATGCGAAAATTTAAAAAAAAGCCATTCTTTTCTAGAAAGAAAGGTCGTTCAAAAGTTCCAGATTCGAAAAAAAAAAACCAAATTTTTTGATATAAGTACATTTTTTATTTCTCTTACAGTTTTTTCATGTGAAATTTTCAAAAATAAACGCCTTCTTCCAAAAAGAAAAAGGGTCAAACCTTGAAGTTTTTTTCAAAATTATGCTTTTTGGTCGTTTCCAAGTGTTATTTTGGCACAAAAATTGCATTTTCCTTAATTTAGAAAACTCAACAAATCTCGTTTCGTGAATTCCTGGTTGAATGATCCAGCCTTCCTCCTTTCAGACTTTCTTCAAACTTTATATGATCCTTCATAGGTTCTACGAGCCGATGGACTGGTTTCCCGAGTTCGGTCGACCGACCCGACCTCCTCCATCATGGCCAAAAACCAGGCCGTTCTCTCCCATTAGTAAGCAATGATGCAACTAATCACTGTTCAAAAAAAACTGTCCAGCTTCCGCTCGTTCTTCACCCATCGCTACAAGCCGGACCTCATCGACGAGCTTTCCGAAATGCTCGAAGAGCTCGAGGAGGCTGGCGACGTCGCCGAGCTGCTCGGCGATAACGCGTCCCTCGTCGTCATCGCCTCCTCCGCCTTCTACAACAACAAAGAACGGGATCTGAAAGTGCGCGTCGACGACGACATCCTCAACGCGTTCGGCGTCTTCCACGAACCCAACTCGATAAAGCAGATACGCTACCTGGAATCGACCAATATTCACCTGGAAAAGGTAGGGACTTTGAGAGATATGACCAGCAAGCTTTCAAGTTTCAAAATAGAGCGTTAAATTGAAGAGGGCGCAGAAAAGTTAGACTTTTTCAAGTTTTGAAATTAAAATGATCAAGGAAAGGAAAATATAATATTTAATCCATTTTTGAAAAAAATCTTTGAAAGTGTCTACTCAAGTGGAAATTATAAATCTGCTTGGGATGTTCATAAATTCAAAAATTCCAGTCAATTACTGAAATTCTACGCCATCTAGTCAGCTGAAACTTTGCTGAAGTGTACTTTAAGACCTCCTGATTCCAGAACAAGAAGAAAATTTCTCGCAATAGATCTCGTTTTCGAGTTAGGACACTTCAAAAGCCCGAAATAGCGCTTTTTTGGCCTAATTTGCGTATTTTGCACACTTTGAAGCTCTATAACTCAGAAACAAGATCTATTGCGAGAAATTTTTTTCTTGTTCTGAAATCAGGAGGTCCTAAAGTACACTTCAGCAAAGTTTCAGCAAAAGTTCAACCGGGGGGTAAAAAACGTTCCCTGGTGAGAGCGGAAGGAAAAAATACCTATTGTAGCACTCGAAAATTGTCAAGTCGCGACGAATAAACTACAATTTTTTTTTCCAAACTATAAAGTTTTTCAGGTCCGCGTTTTCTTCCCGAAACAGGCGAAGGGCAAGAAGTTCGACTCGAGGTTCAACCTGGAAGAAAAAGATCCGCCGTTGCCCACCGTTGAAGAACTTTTGAAGTTGATCGATAAGTACGCTATAATCAAAAATTATCCCCAAACATAACCTTTTTTTGAAGTTCTCGGTCTCTTTCTGATGTTCCTCTGCCTTTCGAAGATTGGCTGCAAACTCGCGATCCGGCTGAGAGAAGGCTTTTGAAAATCTTCTACGACAATATTCTTCTCACCGAAGCGTTTGGCGTCTGCGTCGCTGATATTCGGGTTGGTTCTATGTGGTTTTTTTCAGATTTCTCAAGATTTTTCATTCGAACCTTAAATCCTCATCGAAACTCGAAAATCTGTAGGAGCTCGCCTGGGCGAGGTTCGTCGACATTGACCGGTTCCTGAAGATCCTCGGCGAGGGCGGCCAGATTGTCGAAGTTGGCGTCGACACCCGCCGCTGGGTCTCCACCACGTTTTCTGGCGCCTGGTGCGTGACCATCGAGAACCGCCGCTACTGTCCGAGGCCGTGGGTCAAGCCTACAGGTACATTACAATGTTCATTAGGTTCATCCATATAGATAGGCAAAACCTAAAGGTTCCCCTAACGACCCTCAGAACGTGTTGTAAACGTTCCGATAAAAGCTCCTAAGCTCTTATTTTATACCTTTACAGGAAGTGGCTTTTCAGCACCGCTTTTTTAAAGGAAATGAGAAAGATGCTAACTTGAATAAAATTTATTGCTTCTAACCTATTTTTTTAAAAGAACCTTATGCGGGGTTTTTTTTAACCGAGTTAATTCAAGATGGTACTAACAAGGTTAACGGCCGGTCAATATTTTGCAGTCCACGAACTTTTCAAATTTTTTCGAACTTTGTTGGGCTATCGTATTACGACCGGCCGCCTGAAACTTGTCCATTTTCTTGTCAAAAATTTATGCTCAAACAGAGTCAAAGAAAAGATTTGAATTTCTCGGACTCGCCTTTAGTTAGACCAAGTTTAAAAGGTTATGAAGCTTTTTTTGAATTCATAATCGAGTTTGTCTGAAATAGGTTTTCTACGCTTGGCTAATAGAAATCCGAAAACTTTTTTTTATCGTGTCAAAATCTTGCTTAAGCCGGCCGTAAACCACATTCTCGAATCCTCATAAAAATAATTTGAAGGTGGACTCTGCGCGGCGACGATCCGCTGGATGGCCGAAGCCGTTCTTATGTTTGTCGTGGCGAGACCCGGTTGTCCGGTCAGATTCCAAGTTATTTTCTATTTTTCTGTTGTAATTTTCAGGTTCGAGAAATAATGAACTCGAAGGAATTCGCCCTGCAGCACATTGTCCTCGAGGAATTGGTAATTTTTCTTCCAGTTTGTGAAAAATAATTGGTAGTTGAAGGGATTTATGAAAAGTACTTGAAAAGGGGTTCTAAGTGGTCACTAGAGAGAATTTCATAAACTTCGAAATTATCAGAGGGGGTTAATCACCTAGTGTCTTCTGTTTTTTCCTCCCCTGGAAGATCACCATACTATCCCGAAGTCTCGCGAAAAATAAATTGATTGATTGATTGAAGATTACCGTTCTGGAAGCAGCGAAATGCCTGAAGGTCGAGGAGAATTCCTACAAGAGTGGCAGGCTTTCGTCGCCTTTTGAAGGTTTGTCGAGTGAAAATGAAGCTGAAGAAATAATTAATTCTCTTTTTCAGCTGCGAGCAAAAACGTGACAGTTCGGATGTTGTGCCCCTCAGTTGACGCCATCGAGCGATTCTCGAATATTTTCAAAGGTATTGCGAGGTTCTGAATGAACAAATTTGAGTTTTTGTCGGTTTCCGAAATTGTCGTTGAACACGAACATCTTGACCTTCTTGTAGTGTTAATAATTTTTTTTTCGATTTTTCATGATCCAGTAGAGAACCTCCTTGAAGTCTCAATAAAAGTTCCATAAGTTTCGAAGTTTGGGACGGAGATTATAGGGGAAAACCTGAGGTAGGCCCTAAAAGGAGTTCGAGATTCTGTGGGTCCTGAAGGAAGGGTATTAGATCCAGTAGAGATCTTTCTCGAAAAAAGGATTCAGTAGAGAACCTTCTTGAATACTCAATGAGATCAACAAAACTTTCAAAGTTTTGGGCGGAGATTATAGGGGAAAAGCTGAAGTGGGTCCTAAAGGAAGTTTGAGTTACAGTGGGTCCTAAAGGGAGGGTATTAAGACCTCCTAAAGGGGAAAACAAATTTAAAGACATACAGTTTTTAAAACTAGGAAGAGGGTTATATAAATTCACGACTAGCTTGGGACGCAAAGGGGCATGGCTTGTCTGCGCTCTCCACCAACCAGCCATCTCTCTTTTCTTATCGTGTCAGGACCCTTTTTTCGGTGGCTCAAGCCAGCTGTGAATCAACTATTCCTAAAACTGTTCCTTATAAAATTGGGAAGAGTACCTTTTTGCCACTTTTCTTCAGCCTATAGTTTTTTTCTTTTTAAGCCATAAAGATTATTATAAAAACACAGGGCCTTTTAGAGGCCTCGAAACGGAATCCTTCTAAAGACTTTTTGGCGAGAGTTTCTACTTTCCGAAAGAAATTTGAAAAAAAACCTCATTTTCTAGGAGTTCAACTCCTGCCGACGATGCATGGCTCCATGCGCCTTGGAAATTCCGATTACTGAGTTGAAGAGAAATGAGAAAAATGTATACTTTACCGATCTCTTTTCAAATTTCACTTGTCGATTTTTTGTTGCTTCCTCTCTGTTACATGTATTTTATGTGGTTATAAAGTTTATTTTTTTTTTTCCAAATGTGGATTTTTTGAATGACGTATTGTCGTCATTTTATCTTTTGAAATTTTTTTTTTTGAAAAATCGTTTTATTAGTATAATTGATAAAATTCGAAAATATAGTCGCTACTAATGTTTCACCCCTCAAGTGGCCATTAGTTTGACTACTATAGTGGCCACTAAAAGTTTTCGCAGCAGAGACCGGAAGTTCTTTCAAAGTTCTCAGTTGAAAGTTTCTTTTTCTAAACCTCTAAGAAATGGAATATTTATTTTTGTTAAAAGAATGACCCCTGAACGAAGCGATACCGCGGCTTCGTCGTGGTGGGAATGGCTGTCTTGGCGAGGTCGCAAATCTTTGCCCAATAAGCCTCCGGATCCCGAGATTTTACCTCTGCCAGCTCATTCGGTCGTTGCCAGCACCTCCAAGGAGGCCGAGGTTCTAGAGGTTCGAACTTAATCCATTGAGAGGTTAATTAGCTTTCTAAAAAAATAGTTTTATGAGCTTTTTTGAAGCATGAGTCCATTTTTTTACCTAGAAAACTATTTTTGTGAAGAATTTATCAAGCATTTTTTTGTGCTTTTTCGAAATTTTTATATATGATCCTAATTATCTTCCTTTTTTCATTCATTTCATCCTCGAAAAAAATATTTTTTTCTGAAAATCATTCCCCATTGCTAGCAATCAGATCTGATCTGGAATGATTGAAATTTATCAAAAAAACTATATTTTACTCCTCTTAATGGAACACGTTCTGAAAGTAGGCCATTTTGAAGCTGAATATCCATCTTTTTCACCTAAATTACGACCATCTGGGGGGGTAGAGGTGCAAAAACTTCATAAAAAGCTGATTTTGAAGCTCAGTTTTCAAAATTTTCTTACTAAAAACATTCCTTGATGACATGCGGATCACCTCTTATTTTCTTTCAATTTTACAAACCTACGAAAACTTGAAGCCTATATTCTTATAGGTTATACCTCCTACAAATGGCTGGGAGCGAGTCAAAGCCCTCTACAGCGGCAACAAAATGGAGCCGGACGTCATTGAACGGGTTTTTTTCTGATCTCTGTCATTTTCCTGATTTTCTAAATAAATCAGGTGGTCCGAATGTCGTTCCTCGGCGGTTTCCTGATGGGCGGAGCCACTGGATACGCCCAAGCCCGGCAAACTTTTGAGATCAACAACGTTGGGAGGAAATATCTCAGTCCCAGCGATGCGGTGGTGAGTTTTCTAATAAAACTGATCTTCTCATTTTAAAGATGATAAATTCCGATTTTTCCGATTTTTGTTCATTTTTTCTTATCGTACGGTTTAGATTCATAACAATTTTAGCGCACAGTTTCCATTTTTAGATTCTTTTTTTTCAAATTTTCTCAAAAGCGTTTGAAACAGGTTTGAAACGTGAGCAAGGATGGTAAAAAATAATGTAAAAAATTGTAAAAATAAGTTTTGAACGAGATTTTTGACTTAGAAGGCAAAAATAAGAACCAGAATCATTATGAATCCCCCGAAAAAGCTTGAGACATTTTTATTGAATTCCAGAAACGAAAATTTGACTATGCAATCGTTCGATTTGCCAAAGGCGGCTTCGGCGTTGGCTTCAAATGCGCCTTCATTTCTGGATCCATCATGTAGGTTTTTCTTTATTTTTTGCTGAATAAGTATATTTTAATCTTTGAAATTTCAAATAGTGTTAAGGCTATATGGGAAAGTATAAGGCTTTTCATTGTGATTTTTCTGGTTCGATAGAATTTTCACTGAAGTATCCAGTTTTTGAGAAAAAAAATAAGTTAGGCGCAGACTTGTTCTACTTCATTTGGGTTTTGGCTGAGTTGGAAAAAAAAAGGGTATACCAATTTTTTTCCTAATCAAATATTTTGTTGAATAAGATTTTTTAGGATTTTCGTGCAAAATAATTTTATTCAAAGTTCAAAAATCTAACATTGCATGTTTGCTAGTTATTGCTCATATTAGATTCTCATAAAAATTAGCTATTAAAAACTATCTCTAACTAAGGAATTACTCGGACTCGGTTTCAAGTTCAAACTTTGGTGGTTTATAGACCCAACTCAGAATACTTGAAAACAAAAGAGAATATCTGCTAAACCCGGTAGAGAACTGAGAAAAAAATAGTAGAAAATGTGAAAATTGGGCCTGGAAATTTTCTAAATACTGCTTTTTACCTTATTTTATATTTTAATACAATCGCCTTGGATTATCCGGCTATGATAAACTCTTAAAAAACTTTTTTCCAGCCAAAAGAAAGAGGAAAGCAAAAATTTGATAACTTTTAAGCCTAAACTGTTCATTTTCAATAAGCTTTTTTTTGAGAAGCCTATGGGGTTTAGCAGATAATCTCTCTTGTTTCCAAGTACTCTTACCCGGGTCTATAAGCCTTCACGTAGTTGCCTACTGAGGGGAAGTTGTCTTCTCCCAGAAAAAAACCCTGATTTTTGCAGTCTTCTGACGACGAACCTGTCCGCCTACCGGGACCGCTTCTCCTCTTGGTACTTCCCAGCAATCTCAGGTGTGCTCGCGTGCGCATTGCACTCAGGTAGAAACGAGAAGATCCTTTACCGTGTGTTACTGTAGCTCTAGTTGGCGGCGTCTTCGCCTTCCCCCTCGGCGTCGTCGGCTCGGCAAAAGCCTTCGGACTGGGCGTCTCCTCCGGGTTCGACCTTATCTTTTTTCGGAGAAACTTGATAAAATGTAAAAGTATATTTAACATGAAAAATAGGGGTTCATGAGAGTGGCTGTTTTAGGGTGAATTTTTGAGTTTTTTGCGAGTTTCAAGCATTTTCAGAGAGTCTGAAAAAGATCTTTCAGAATGAAAGTTTTTCGTACGATTTTTCGAAATTATATCCCATTCACGGCTATCTTGAGATGCGAAGGGGCGTGGCTTGTTTACGCTCTCCACCAAACAGACACTGTCTCTTTCTTCGTGTCAGGACCCTTTTTTCGATCGCTCGAGCCAGCCGTGAATCAACTGTAGCTTTGAACACAAAATTAAGCCTGAAACCCTTATTTTGAACTGGTAAAGTTGATATCTCTAGAAGTTTGCGCTGGTAGCTACCCTCCTTGTCAAAAATTTTTTAGTTAAGTCATTTTTTGGGTTCGGCAGTGAAAACTTTCGTAGCAAGTAGCTATGCGAGTCGATTGTTTCTGAATTTCCGAAAAAAAAAAAAAAACAAGTTTTGATAAACTTTTTGCCAATTTTCAGCCTCACCCTTTCCGCCGCCGTGCATTTGTATGCTCTGGCCGTCGACAAAACCGCTGATGAAGCCTACAGAATGTTCAAACGCGAGTATGAAAAGGTCTTAAGGCGAAAAATCGTAAATAAATTCTAAAAAAAAGTTTAGGAATTGAAAGCGGCGGCTGCGTGGGACGCGCGTGTCGGCGAGCTGATGGAAAGGGAGAAAATCATGTGGAGGCAGACGGCCGTCAAAAAATTGAAGCAAATCGACGCCGAGAAGTTGGCCGTCCATGATGATTGAAATTATTATTGTTAACTTTTTTATGCTCTTTGATGAGGTCAGAGGTTGTATATGTGGGTTTACGGACCGTAAATGGCTTAGATAACATTTTTTTTTTCCGGCAAAGTTTCCTTGCTGGTGTTAGAAAGATTTCCGTTTTTTGACTCATTCACACAGGCTCAACGTTTCAAGATAGGTTTACAGTCCGTAAATGACTTAGAAGCTTCTGAAAATTAACTTTTCCATTATTTATATCCAGGCAGTGCTAGGAAAAGATTTTTAGGGGAGCTTTCGGTTTTTAAACTCATTTACAAAGTCTCAACGATTTACTGTTCGTAAATTAATAAAAAAAAAACTACGAAAAGCTAACTTTTTCATCATTCCTAGTACGGAATTTGAAAATATTTTTCTCATTTACACATTTTCAACCTTTTCATGTCGTTTCAAGGAAGGTTTACAGTACGTAAATGACCTAGGATCTTCTGAAAAATTAATTTTTTTGTTGCGTCTTTAATTGTTATTTTTCTCTAGCCAAATGAAGAAAGTTTACGGACCGTAATTAGATAGAAAATCTCGGAAAATCGACATTTTTCCTGTTTTAATGAAGCTTGTAAGTTGTTAAAGGGAAGGTTTAAATTGATAAAAACTGTTTTTGAATCGTTTACGCAGTGTAAGCTCATCCAACTAGTTAGTTATTAATGAAGCTTCAAGGTCCGTAAATGACTTCAAAATTGCAAAATTTTTTTTTTACGGATCTTGGTTAGGAGCGAAATTCATCCTGAGGATTTTTCGAAAAAAGAAGTTGATTTTTAGCTTCTAGTCCGTTTACAATGTAGAAGCTTTCATATACGCGGCCTCACATATTTTCTAGATTTTTTTTTTGGATTTCTTAGGAAGAAGTAGTATACAAATGGTTGACGCTGCACGGTCATTTTGCCCAAATGACGTTTTTTGCACTTTTTAGCTATTTTAACGCTTATTTTCATCAGAAAAGTGCCTAAGCTCATCGAATATCAGTATTTTTGAAAAACGACACTTTTTAGGCTGGACGTAGAAGTGTCCATTTCGCCCACTTTTGAATTTTAACACTTTTCGACTATTTTAATGCACAAAATCCACCACCAATTTTATTCAACAACTCGGAGATCACTCAACTTTTTCCTTTCAGAAGTATAAAAATACAATACATTAAACATACACAGAGTAATCACATTTGTAACTAACACCACCAAGTTTGACAATGTGTTTTTCCTTTTTGATGTGAACCTCTGGATCGGTTCCGGCCAGAAACGACTTACTAAATTCAGACCAAAGTTTCTTGCAATCGATTTTCGAAAATTCGTTTACAAAGGTCTGTACATCGGAGATTACGCTTGAATATTCGCTCGGGCTGAAGTTTCCACGACCGTAGGTGTCTCCGTGCATTCTAAAAAATTAATATAAAAAGAAAAAGAAGAATAAAATTTTTAACCAAAAACAAGGAAAAAAAAGCAATAAATCGATTATGCATTAAATAAAACAACTCACTTTTCGGCTTTTATCCAAGCGCGAGTGAGACGACGAAATTGACTTCTTGGCACATCATAACAATCCAAAGCAAAATCGCAAAAAAGACAGCGACTTGTGTGACTTCAAATCTATTGCTGAAACATTCGGATTAATATTTCAAAAAATTATGCGACTTCAGATTCATACCTCCGCTAGAAAGAAAAAAAAAAGAAATCTAATTATTCTTGACGCTTGACTTCCTTGACGGCGAAAACTGCTGCCAGCCAGATCTTCTCTGAACACTGCGTTAAATCCGGTGGAGCCAGACTTAAGTAATGGCGGGCCTTATCAATGAATGTAGACGCACAATACTTTTCCATTTCTTTCTGAAAAAAAATTTCATAAAAAGTGTTTGTTAACTCGTAGTTTTATTTTAAGAAAGCTTATTAGCATTCATTAAAAAGACTAAAATAAAGCATACCTTTGACCTCCAACCTTCCTCACTGTCGATAATGATGTTTTCTTTAAACATCGCACAGACTTCGTCGACATCTTGCTCCTCAACCAAAATCGTACGTCCATTAACCACTAACTGCTTCGACATCGTTCTGAAATCAAAAATTTTAATAAAACTATTTAAGAAAAAACCGAAAAATTAATAACTGGACAAAATTATTATGGCGCGTTCAGGAGCAAAACGCGAAATTTTTCGAAATTCAAAAGAGCGTTCACGGCGATACTTCGAAATTAGCGAATTTCGATTTTTGAGATAATTTTGATGCCGTGTTCAAAGTAATTTCCGCAAAATGCGAAATGGTCTCTGACCCTCCAAAATTCAGTTATCTTTCTCTTTCTCTGACGGCTATTTTGAATTTCGCGGAATCACTTTGAACACGGCATGAGAAATTTCAAAAAATAGCAAGAAAATTGGTTTCGCGCGAAATGGGATACGGTATATTGACATTTTGTGTGCCAAACGCAGTTTTTTTCTCTTTTTTTCTTTTTCAGATAATTTTTTTCTTTTTATTTTTTTCAATTTTTCAACCCGTTCAAAGTTATTGATTTTTAGAAATAGTACGAATGAAAGCCTTAAGTTAATTTTTTTCGACTGTCTGAACTTAAAAAAAGTTCAATTTTACTCAAATTTCTTTTATTTATCGTTTTTATCCAACGGATGTATCAGAGTGTTTGAAGTTGCAGGTCTCTAAACTATGGCGGGTATTGGATTACCGAAAGTGCTAAAGTTGAAAAAAAGGTTAATTTTTCATTCAAAAAAACTTTTTTTCGCAATTATTTTTTTACAATTTTTTGATTCTTTTCACAAAAAAATTTAGACTCGTTAGGGAGGCACGAGCGGCTCGTGTGAAGGTAACGCAAAATTTTTCGTCTCTACAGTCAAGCATAAATTCGTGATTTTCGACGCAACGGTCAAGAAGGAAATAGAAGGTTTTTATCTATACAATTTTCAATAACCGCTCGTGCCTCCCTAACGAGTCTAAATTTTTTTGTGAAAAGAATCAAAAAAATTGTAAAAAAATAATTGCGAAAAAAAGTTTTTTTGAATGAAAAATTAACCTTTTTCAACTTTAGCACTTTCGGTAATCCAATACCCGCCATAGTTTAGAGACCTGCAACTCCAAACACTCTGATACATCCGTTGGAAAAAAAATAAAAACGATAAATAAAGAAATTTGAGTAAAATTGAACTTTTTTTAAGTTCAGACAGTCGAAAAAATTAACTTAAGGCTTTCATTCGTACTATTTCTAAAATCAATAACTTTGAACGGGTTGAAAATTGAAAAATAAAAGAAAAAAATTATCTGAAAAAGAAAAAAAGAGAAAAAAAACTGCGTTTGGCACACAAAATGTCAATATACCGTAACCCATTTCGCGCGAAACCAATTTTCTCGCTATTTTTTGAAATTTCTCAAAATTATCTCAAAAATCGAAATTCGCTAATTTCGAAGTATCGCCGTGAACGCTCTTTTGAATTTCGAAAAATTTCGCGTTTTGCTCCTGAACGCGCCATTATAGAAATGATAAAACAATATATTGAAAGTCTTTAGTTTCTAGTAGTTTCAGAAGAAGTAAGCAATAATAACCACAGTGATGAGTTACGAAGTCTTGAATTTGAAATGTTGAACTCAATATTTTTATTTTATCTTCTCCATTTTTTAAATATTATTGAAGTTCTAAAGGTGGATCTAATCCGAACGAATCAAAGTAATATATTTTATCTTTATTTTTTTGGAATAACAAACCCAATGTGTTCCTCTACCTTCAGAAGAATCTAAATTTACAATACCTACTTCTTTATCTTTCGGCTTCGCTTGTAAAGTATCTCGCATAAACACACCACGGAAATTCTTGATTCCTAATGAGTCAACTAATTCAATGAGTTCTAGATTTGTTAAAGGCTTTAGATCTTTTTCTAGCTTCGCCATTTATTAATCATCATTTTTATAAGAAACTACAAACTACACCTTTCCCCATTTTTGAAAATTGTTGAAAATAAGCCTTAAAATGGCTTAAAATGTTAAATACAAGTGAAAAATTGAAAGTGGGCGAAATGGACACTTCTACGTCCAGCCTAAAAAGTGTCGTTTTTCAAAAATACTGATATTCGATGAGCTTAGGCACTTTTCTGATGAAAATAAGCGTTAAAATAGCTAAAAAGTGCAAAAAACGTCATTTGGGCAAAATGACCGTCCAGCGTCAACCATTTGTATACTACTGGAAGAATTTCTCTGTTTTTCGCCTTTTTGTTGTTTTTTTGATTTTTTTTTTTTAGTATAGGTTTTTAGATTGTTTCATGTTATACGCAAATCACATCTAGCGTGTCGTGAATTTTCAGACGGCTGGAGATGAATGCCACATTCATCTTTGTTATCCTTTTTTTTCCGTTCCCAGTGCCTTTTTTTCAGATTTTTACGATTCCCAAGCGACATAAATCTTTCATGTTTTCCCAATAAAACAACAGAAAAAAAGAAATCGATTCGTCTTGATTTTTTCCCATAACTAAACAGTGGGAATGCATCTCCTTTTGTTTGCCAGTGTACAGCTGTTCGAGGCATATTTGTATTTTTGTTGGATCCGAATCGATTTCGTCCCGAGGTCAACTGATGGATTTCGAGGATATCAGGTCCTTTTTTTTGCTTCAAGTTGTTAATTTTTTGTATTACTTTTTAAAATGGTGTGGCCGATTCAAATCTAACTTGTTCCATTGAAAAATTCTTGAAAATCGGAAAAAAAAAATAAATGAGGTTAGTAGAGCCCTATTGCAAGCTTTTTGGTCCATTTCAAAAATAATGATTTTTTTCCCCTTTTCTTTTCGTAATCATTTGAAGTCACTTCACCATCGACCTTCTCAAAAATTACGCACAATTGTGGTACGACGCATTTTGGCATATTGCCATGCGCCTTTAAACCTGGAAAAGTTTCTACGGTCATTTTCTTTTTACAAACCATTTTTAGCTGTTTTTATGGATTCTATAGAGAAATTAGCTGAGAAAAACGTCGTAAAATACTGAGAACTTAGTCAATTTTTTTACTTTGAAACGCGGGAAAGTTTTTTTTTCCTTTCAAAAAGTTTTTTTTATTTTTTGAACCACATTTTTGTCAATTTTTTCTTTTCTTGCAATAAAAAAATTTAAGGCTCAATACCATCGAAGATCTGACAAGAACGGAGCTCACCGATGTATTCAACGAAGAGTTCTATGCCCTCACTTGGGATCGGAAGGTTTTTTTGAATATTTATTCATTTTTTTCCTCATAAAATTTGATTGTTAGAGTCGTTCTATCAGTTCTCTTCATTCGGACCCTGGAGAGCTCACTTCGACGGGCAATCGTCATGCTAAACTCGAGTTCCGGACCAAGTCTTTGAGGTTTGATAATTTAAATTATATTTTTTTAGATCTTCCTTGTCGTCAGATTTTATTTTCTTATAAAAAAACGGGAAACCGATTCGAGATTCGAGTGGCGGAATGGCTAATAAACACTCGAAATGAAATGAAAGTTAAATGATTTCTGGAGGGGAAATTTTGATCGATTTTTGAAATAATCAACTTTAAAATAATAATTAATTTTATCAATATTGTAATGAACTAGAAGTTTGAATCTGAAAAGTTTTTTTTTGCTAAATAGTTATCATCATAAGTTCACTTTTTCTTGTTTCTATTAAGCGTTTGAAAAGTTCACAGACGGGGAATTTTTCTTGGATTTTTCTGGGAAGTAAAAAAAAAAATTTTTAGCGATGATCCAGTTCCAATCGATCAGCGAGAAGATGCGATGAGACGACTATTGCAAGCCATTTACAAGTCTCCTCCGAGTTCTTTAAGGTTCTTGATTTCACTATCTGTATGAATTAGGTAAAAGGAACTTCCAGAGATCTGTCGGACACCCTCACCGACACCTCTTTGCCTTCAGACGCAAGCGAGCCCAAACCACGCATTTTCACTCGGGAAATGCTACGGAGAATGGGTTTGGAATTGTTTATAGCCCATCCTGAGGTAGCTTGTCACGATTTTTGTATTCTTCCGAGCAGGACCCTTTTTTTCGATGGGCCCGTCTCTGTGCATGCGCCTTTAATCAAACCGGTATTTCGAGACTGATTTAAAGGAGCATGCTCTGAGACAGGCAGTGCGTTCCGAAGAGAAATTTTCTGTAGCTTGGAAAAGAAAAAAAAAGTGAAAACCTAGCGCGGTTTGTCCTTGATAGCATTCAAAGAAAAAAAAATTTTCGACAATTAATTATATTCAAATATTTATCAAACTGACAAGATTTCGAACATTTCAGAAACTATTGTCCTAAAATTCCAAATTCTAAAATTAAAAAAAAAACAATTGCGAGTATGCGATAGTGCGTCTCGGTGTTTACACCCTAAGCATCATAATTGACGAGTAGTCTTAATCTTGCGTAATAAAAAAAAAACGCCGTGATTTTAGACATAGTTTTTAGTTATCGATTTCGTATAATCTTCTCTTACCCTTTTTTTATTCTTCAATTTGACTCTTTGTGTGATAAATGACACTTTTTGATTAATTTATCGATGAATGAAATTCTAAAAACTGCTCTTGAAGCGAAGTTTTTCATGGTTTTGTGGTCACTGACTTTATATTTATAGCCTACTTGGAATATATCCTGTAAAATGATACTTTTTTTTAGACGTGACACTGCTAAGAGAAGAAGCAGAATCTCTCCGAGTGGAGATCGAATGGACCAATCGGCGACTTTTGCGAGTCTTAAGGCAGAGGTCCTACTTAAGGGCCAAAAACGATGCAAAGTGTGCTTTTGTGACGGCTGTCCTGCAGGCCTGCTCGCCCAAAAGAAGTTGGTTTTTTTTCTTCAAAATGGAAGTTTCATAGTTACTAAATAAGCCCTATAACTTACAAAAAACTTAATTTCGCTCGAAGAAATTAGGAAAAAAATCGAGTTTAGGTTTGAAACTTGGACTCACCGAAAGATAATTCTGAAGAAATAAAAAGATTAAATTCAGTACTGAATCATCTGAAAATCTGACTAAAAAATGTTCATTTTAAAAAATTACCTCATCAATTCCGGCTTTTTGTTCCGTAGAAAATATCTCGAATGAATCTTTTTTTGATTTGAAGGCAATTTTTTACGAATTATCGAGTTTTTTTCGAAATTTTGTTTTTTTATTCACAGAAAGTGAATCAGAAAAATCAGAAGAAGTATTTTTAAGTTTTTCAAAATTGAAGATTTTTCTGAAGATTTAGAAGATTAAGAAAGTTAGAAAAGTTTTTGATCATGAACTTGTGCAAGGTGAGAAGTTGAAGGATCCCAAATCTCTAATATTTTTAAAAAAATTAGGCGGTTTTTGAGCTTTTTTTCGAATTTATCGCGCGAAATTAGAACTCAATGATTTAGAAACTAAATTTGAGTAGTATAAAATATCATGGAAAGCATTTTTTGCAAAAACGTGCAGTAAAATGAAAAGGAAGTTACCTGGGCCCGAAAAAAGGTAGACAAACCCCAGGGCAAAACTCCGAAATCGATAAGAAACGGCTTCACGGCTCAAGTAGGCCACGTGAATTTATTTGCGCATTCCTTTTTTTTTGTTCTTTTTTTTGAGTTGTTATTCTAGCCGAGCATACGGCTCCTTTTACATCGGCCTCCCCAACTTTTTTTTTGCTGGATTCATATACGTTTCAAGCTTGTTTTATAGTTTTCGAAAGTTCCAACCTTTTTGGTTCATCTTTTTTTAATTTCTACTTCAAAAAAAAAAAGATTTAGGTTCATTATTCTATCGATTATGTGAAATGGAGTTTCGATTATTTTTTTTCTTTTGCCAATTTTCCGAGGGATTTGCATTTGAACTTGGAGGGTTTCCGTTGTGGCTCAGAGATTCCAGAATGGTCTCTATAGGAGTCAGGAAAAAAGTCCTTTCAGGGGCCGGAAAAGTGGCCCCTATAGAGGTAAAATCTTTTTTTTTTTCCCTATGGGGGTTTAGGGTTTGACCACTTAGCCCCTAGAGCTTAAGTGGTCCCTATAGGGACTTTCATTTTCGTTTGTTTATTTGTTTTTTCGCATGGTAATGCTTCTTCGCTTAGATTTCATAACCTTTCCCCTAGGGACCGCTTATGCAAGCTTATGTGATCCCTATAGGGGTTGGTAAAATGGTCCCTAGATAAGCCTCTTCAAGGATCCCTAATGTTGCCCTATAGAGACCTCTTTGGAGATCCTAAGGGCTTTAGCGTTGATTTTCAGCTAGTTTTCTTATTGGGACAAATTTTGACCAGCGATCATGCGCCTTTAAGATAATATAGTCACAGCTCGAAGCCAATAGATTTGACCTCCAGAATCCGAAATTCAAGCTTAAAAATGATTAAATTAAATTTAGGCGTCGATGCGAAAATGAAATTCGGGATGGAGCCTCTGGGAGTCGAAAACGGCATCGAAGAATGGAAAGCGGCGATGAGAGCGGTGGCCCGGCTGCCCTCTGGAGTCCCGCAGTACTTCCGCACCAAGGTTGGCATCACGCCAATCTTCCTGGTTACTGTAGAAATGATTTAGCTATGGACAACTTTGGCTGAGCAGCACATGAACGTCGCTGGACTCGATTGGAACGAAATTCGGACCTCGGCTCTGAGTGACCAACTTCTACCGGATGACTGTCATATCCACTCGCAGATCATCAAAGTATGATCTTGTTTCGTTTCTCTGCGCTCTCTTCTCTCTCATTATTTGAGTGAATGAAAAAGAAAGAGTGATGGAGAGAGTGCAGGCTGGCTAGAATTTTCGAAAGGAAGTACCATTTTTGAGGATCTCCATCGGACCGGCTGGCCAGGATTCCAGGACGATGTGAAGTTGAAGCAGATCCTTCTGGCTTTCGCGAGGTGATAATTTAAAAAAAAAAAAAGAGAAAATCGGTCTGTGTTCTTTTTTGAAGACTCTAAATTTACTCGATACTTTTTGATTAGGACAATACAAATGAAATCAAAAAAAAAAATTCTGTGCTTCAATAACGTTTCGACAATTTTCACCAAACTACAGTGAAAAAAAAAACCACAAAACCGACTTTTTTTTTCCCCTGAAACTTGAATTTCGCCCTACAAGTCATGTGAAATTATTATCATGGAAGTATTTTTTTCCGAATAAAGTTACCAGGGAATCCTTCGAAACCCGAATGAGGAAAAGACCAAGAATTTTATCGAAATACTATTACCATATCCGAAAAGTTCGCTATTCTGAGAAAAATTAAGCTAAAAAATCGGGTGAATGTCAGTAGCTTTATTCTAACACTGTTCGTTTCTTGAGAAGCTCCTGATTTCGTACAAATTTTAGAAAAAATCTTGAAGTGAAGAGACGTTTTCCGTAATACTTTCGACGAGAATTGAGCGCCTTCAAAACTGTAGGAAGGATTTTTGAACAGAATTTGAATGAAAAACTTGACTTTTTCCTGTCCAGGTACAATAAAGACGTCGGCTATTGTCAAGGCTTCAATATCATCGCCGCTCTTATCCTGCAAGTTGTGGATTTCAACGTCGAAAATGGGCTCAAGGTAGAAAAATCGCGTTGGAAACAAAAATGGACTCAGAGAAGAGTTAAGCGTCGCGGCTTGCTAAGCGGTCAAATGCGAAGCGACGGATCAGTTGCATAAAAAAATTGTATCGTCAAAAATTATGTGGCGGAAAAAGTGGCGATCAGACAATTTTGAAAGCCTCCCATCACGTCCGTTGAAATCTGCCCAAAATTAGAGCCCATACCTCCCTGAATTGAGAGCTCATTTTATCTGTTGTCAACAACTTCTTGAGGTTAACATTGAACTTTTTGAGTTAAATTTAAATTTTTCGATTTATTGAAACTCAACCATTTCTCCCGGACTTGATGCGCTTTGAACTTGCTCAAGTATGCCTGGAAGCTCAAGAAAGCCGTTTTTATAGGTGATGATCTTCCTGGTGGATCAGGTCTTGCCTCGTGGCTACTTTGACCAGTCCCTTCGAGCCCTTTCCGTCGACATGGCCGTCCTCCGAGAACTGATGCAACAACGGCTCCCCAACACTGTTCAGCATCTGGAGAAGATCCAGTCTTCTTCTGGTTGGTTTCTAGGGAAAAAGAGTTACGCAGAAGAGTTTTGAATGAGGTCAGGTACGACAGGGGCTGATCTTTTCTTCGTAGTCGTGACTAGTAAATAACTACTTTTTCTAGCGGATTGTAATATTTTTCACGCTATTCTGTCTTTGGAACTTATTCAGAAGGTCTGTAGAAGAAAAAAAAGTTATGCACATAGGTTTCCAAAAAAAAAGTTGTTTGCCACAACTTCAGAAAATTTCCATAATTTTTTCGTGAAAAATAAACGATTTTAGAAAGAAAATGGCTATTGAAATTGTTTGGAAAGGTTTTACTCATAAAATGTTAATATTCTCATCAGAATTCTTAATAAAAATTATGGCAAAAAAATTTGCGGCCAAAGGTTGCGAACCTTCATCATAGGCCCCGCAGGTTAGCACGCTAGCCACTGCACCACGCTCTTAGCTGCCATGAAGGGGTTGGTGGCGCGGCCAGATTCCTTCCAAACGGCGTCACATGGTTAAGGATAAAAACTTTGAAAAATCATATGTCCAAAATTAGAAGTTTGCGCAGATAGCGATTATGGCGATCGGTTCCCAGTTCATCAAAGATTGTTTGAGCAAATTTATAAAAAAAATTCTGAACCCTACGCTAAAATGACCTCCCATGTGAGTGGAATTTCGAAATTTACCTTTCTTTTATGTAAAAAAAAAATAATAAAGAGGCTCAAAGTGAAATACACTCGACTTTTAGGCGACTACGAACCTCCGCTGACCAACGTCTTCACGATGCATTGGTTCCTCACTTTGTTCGCGACTTGTGTCCCGCGGGAGTGTGTCTTCAGGATCTGGGACGCCGTGATGCTCGACGGCTCCGAGGTTCTTCTCAGGACGGCGGTGGCGCTTTGGGCGAGGCTCAGTAGGTCAGTAGACCTTTGACTGTTTTCATAAAGTACATCTTCTTTGTAGAAGGATCACCAAAACAAAGAGCGCCGACGAGTTTTATAGTCTGATGGAGCGGATGTCGAAGCAGCTCACCGAGATGAACAACGACGAGCAGGACAACTTGATCACGGTAGCTTTTGGAAATGAATCGAAATTTCAAGTTGTTCAGGTGATATACTCAATGTCCCCCTTCCCGTATCCTGGCCTCGCGGAGACCCGCGAAAAGTACACGTGGAACATCCAGCCGCACTCTACAACCTTCCAGCTTTTCCAGAAAAGCGTCACCAACATTCTGCACGACGATGGCGAGGATTCTGGTGGGTCTTCTTCTTTCTTGAAAAAAAAAGCGATTCCAAGTTGAGAATTAGAGGTCAGGCATCAACTGAAATTACTTACAATCTGTTCTTCTTTGTGCGCATGGAAAAAGTGATATAAAGTTCAGGCTCTCGCCAAGCCAAGAAAAGCGACCTTCAAGTGCTCCAGAAGCAGTACCGACTTTTGAGAAAGCGTCAGCAACAAGCCGCCGTCATTTTGAGAAGTATTCACTTTTTTTACGAAATGATAATTCCGGAAATCTACTTATGCGTCACTGTAACTAAACTGGATATAAAAGATTTCATTTCTAAGAAAAAAATATAAGAATATAATCAAAAATTACCATCACAAAAGAGTTTTTGAAGTTTTAATTTTTGATCGCAGATTACTGTATCTGTAAGTCCGCAATCTGCCGTTGTGTGTTAGCACTATTTTTCGCATTCCCATTTTTTTAAATTTCGTTTTTTTAGATTTTTTTATTTCGTTTTGACAAATTTAAAAAGTACAAACGTTTCTCAAATATTGATATTATGCTTTTTAAAAAAATGGCGGACGTTAAACAATCTACAACTTTATCGTTTATATTTTCTTCGTTGTCATTAATTTTTTGTTTTTTAAACATTTTTTTAGTTAGCGTTTTCACATGGAAAATTTTAAAGCTATTGTTTCCTTTTTAAATTTTTTTCTACTCGTTGTTAAAAAGTTTTTTTGTTCTAAATTCAAGCCAAAACCACAAATTTGAGTGAAACAATCTCATTTTTGCTTGATCTCTATCGAATTTCAAACTTTCTGCTATACAGTTCAAATTTTTTAAATGATGGATTTTTTTGTAAGTTTCACGAATATTTTGGTTGAAGGCGCCTACACACATGGCCAGACGTCGGCGAGCCGAGCTGCTCAACGTGTACTTCCGGAAAAACTCCTGACTTCTCAGCCCGCTTTCAACCATCTCCAAATCGGTCGTGCCATTGCCGATCATGGGTTTCTTTCAAGTTTTTCGAAATGATCAATGAAGATTTCATTTTGAAGATTGGAGGCGCCGACGTGCTTCACCGGAGGGGCGCTGGCTCTGTCGCCGGTAGCTGTTCAGCCGAGCGATTCTTCGCTTCTGGCGTCCTTGCCGAGCAGTTCTGATGCTTTTGGGAGGTTGGAACTACTCTAAACTCTTCATGTAGCTAATTCACGGCTGTCCTAAATAATCGAAAAAGGGTCCTGGCACGAAAAAAGGGATATCACCTTGTTGGTAGAGAGCGCAGACAGGCCATGCCCCTTAGCTCGAGTTAGCCGTGATTCGGCTAGTGTATTCACTGCTAAGTAGAAGAAGAGTAAAATTTCGAAAAAGGTGCGAATAAGGTGATGGAACACCGATACACGGGGCCTTACGAGTTTTTTCTCAAAGTAATAAAAATATTATTTTTCAAGAAAACGCGTATTTAATATTTACATTACTTGTGTCAGGAGGGATGTATTTGAGGGTAGACTGACCAGTGAATTTTCTCAAGGCTTGAGGGGGTCGCTGAGCGGGAAAAGGTAGATTGACAGGTACCTGAAAATTTAAAAAAAAAGTTTAAAAAAGGCAGATTTAGTAAAGTGTAAAATTTTTACTTTTATGACGAAAAGTGTCCTTTTTTCACGGATAGAAAACACAGAATCGACCAGGAACGACGTAGAGAGCCATTGAATGAGGAGGACGATCAAACGGTTGGACATAGACGACGTCCGTCCTTTGAGGTTTTTTTTGTTATTTTTCTCAAATAGTCTAGCTTCTAATTTGTGAAAATATGTCATTATATAGTTGAGAACCAGTAGATTTTTAGTAATAAATTTTTATTTTCAGCCGATTTATGTATAACCTTTCTGCCTCAAGGTCCAAGAAGCCGCTGTAATAATTTGTTCTCGAGAAAAATTTTGAAGAGCCATTTTAGAGTGAAGTGTCAACCATAGGATTTCTTTGCGGTCGCAAAGTGGCTTTTGGCGCGAAAAAATAAATTCAAGCAGGAGCCATTGTGATCATGATTTTTCCTAGCATTTTGATGAATAGTAGTATAAGAGTTGGCTTTTCCACGTTCGCTTCTGAATTTTCGTTTCCATACAAAAACCACAAATTAGAAAAAAAAAATTGGATTTATAAATAAGCTTTTCAGCCGAATCCACTGGACAAAGCCACCTACGAACGGCTGGTGCTCATGAAAAAGTCGCGAGCTCTGTTGGAAACGATAAGACCCCGAAATCAAAGCCACAGTCCCGTTTTACCGACTTCTCCTCGAAAATAGATGGTTTCCCTTTTTTTTTTGCATTTTAATGAAGGTTGGGTTGGAGTTGACAGTGAAATCTCCAAGAAGAAAAGCACAAAAGGGGAAAAAAAATAAAAACACAAAACGATTGTCGAAATGTTTATGACGAAATATCACAGTTGGATTCATTGGATCGCACTTAAAAAATTCACAAGGTTGATTACTCAGGTAACGTTGGGAGGTTTTTGCTTTCGGTTCTTCGGATGGCGCTTGGAATCTTCTTAGCAAGTGGTCCAACACCGTGTACTCAAAAAAAAAAAAGCCTTCCAGAAGCCTTCCTGCAGGCTTATAGAAAGCTTTCTGGAAGGCATTTTCCATGTTCACTTTCGAATGGCCTTCCAACTATTTTCTGAAAAATTCCCAAAGGCATTCTCAGGATTTTCTAGCTTTCATTCACCTTTGAACCCCCTGCTGGTTACCTTCTCAACACGAAAGATTTGCCACAGTTTTGAACAGTTTGATGGTTCTGTGTTTATAAAATGTTCATCTGAAAATGCTCCGGAAAATGCTCGTCGATCATCCCGTAGGTTTTCTCGTAGAAAATGACCCAGTTCAGGATGATTGGCTCTTGACAGAATTAGACTCCACAAGGAAGTCAATTCACTTTGAATTTTTCTACAATCTCTGAAATTTTATATGAAGATCCATCAAAGTTGCAACCTGTGCCAGCGTTTAGTTTTTGAGATAGTCAATTTTGAAGTTTGAAAAGTTAGTTTTAAAGCAACTTTGAAAAATCATATCTCAAAAACCAGAGTTTTCCCCAGGTAGCCACTATAAGGGATCTTCATTTAGACATTCAGAAAGTGTTTGAGCAAAAAAAAAGAAAAAGGCCTCCTTTGTAAGCTCCTTTACGCAATCCGAAACTTTTACGCAAGCGCCGGAAGTCTTCTCCAGCTTTTCGGTAATGTTAAAGCCTGAAGAAGGCGTCGAACACTTTTCGAAAGAAACACAACGTTCTATAAAGTCCAGAAGTTGACGAAGTAGTCCCCTAGAGTGGTCACTAACAGCTCTGGAACTTGGAGGTCTGGAAATCAACTTGGAACCCTCGAAGAGCCAGGGATAGTTCTGAAATTCAAATGTTCTTGAATATATAGAGACTTCTGGAGTGACCACTAACTTTTTAGAAGTCCAGAGACTTTTTCGAGGCCCCTCGAGTGGTCACTTACAGTTCTGGAAGGTCTAAAATTCTGCTTGGAACTTTCAAATAGCGAGGGATAGCTCTGTAATTCATTTTTCTGGAATATCTGGGCCAGATAATCTGGCGTTTTCTTATGGACTTCTGGAGCGACCACTAGAGGGTTCTCGAGTGACCTTTAATAGATTTTAAGACTAATCCATTCCCCTAGAGTGTACACTACAAATTGTCTTTTTTCAACCGATTTTCGGCTGAAAACAGCTGGGAAAAAACCCACTCTGCATGTAAATCGCCTCAAAGATCACCAAGTTTAGAAAGTCATTTCGTCAGATTATTGTCAGCACGGTGGCATCACCCGAAGAGTTAAACAAAAAAAAAATAAGCTGGTTGTTCGGTTTTTCGTCCGATAATGCTATGCAAATCTCAAGAGACGACATCAAAAAGACATGAAATGGAATGGGAAGGTCGGGCTCAGTGTTCCTCGAAATATTCAAAAATTCCTGGTCAATTTTTAGAATCTGTTTCTCAAAGTTTATCTTTCTCTATTCAACATTCAAGAACCTTCCATTAGACATTCACTGCTGAAAAGTTTTTTTTTGTAATCTCGAAACAATCTGGCCTGTCTGCGCTCTCTCCAGCTCTTAATGGCGCTCTGAATGCGAGAGAAAAGAGAGGACAGAGATATCAGATCATTCCAAGCTCGCCACGACGTCTTAGAACCCTTTCACGAAATTTTACTGCTCTTCTCTTCCGAGAAAATTGAGTATGAGTTTCCTGAATCTTTGGGATTTTCTGAACTGTCTACGCTCTATCCAACACTCATTGGTACTTTCACAGCGAATGAAAAGAGAGCGCAGAAAAGCCAGATCATTCCAAGTTGTCCTTGGGCTCAGTTCAAGGTTAGCCACGTCGTTCCATAACATTTCTAGAAATTGCACTGCTTTTCTCTAAAGCTGGTAGTAAATGATGAACTCCATGCTTCATTTTGGGAAGTTCTGGCCTGTCTGCGCTCTCTTGAACTCTCAGCGGCGCTCTTAAGTTGAGGGAAAAAAGAGCACAGAGAAGTCAGATCATTTCAATTGTTCTTGAATTCAGTTCAAGGCTAGATACATCTTTCAATGACCTTTTCTCGAAATTTCACTGCTCTTCTCCTTTGAGAAAAATGAGTATGAAATTCCCGAACCTTTGGGGTTTTCTAGCCTGTCAGCGCCCTCTCCAACTCTCAGCAGCGCTCTAAAAGTGAGGGAAAGGAGGGCGCAGAGAGGTCAGATCATTCAAAGCTGTTCTTGAACTCGGTTCAAGGCAAGCCGCATTGTTCCATGACCTTATCTTTAAATTTCACTGCTTCTTTTTTTTTATAGCTGGGAGGAAATCGAGTATGAACTAAGGGATTCTTGGGGTGGTCTGGCCTGTCTGCGCTCTCTCCAACTCTCAATTGCACGCTGGAAGTGAGAGAACAGAGAGCGCAGAGAAGTCAGATCATTCCAAGCTGTTCTAGGGTTTTTTTCTGTTTTTTTTTTCTCAATTGAGTATGAACTTCCTGAATCCTTTGGATGTTCTAGCCTGTCTGCGCCCTCCTGAACTCTCAGCAGCGCTCTCGAAATCATATCCAAGTTTCACTGATTTTTTCAATGAATTCAGAATTTGGGCTAATTCGCCATGAGCTCGTCAGCCCCAAAAATGGACGTGGTGATGGTAGAGAGGCAGGATTCGAAAGTCATCTTCTGGCATAAAACCCGAGTCATTATCATGATTTTAAGGCAATTTTTTTCTTCTTTCTAGTACAGAACAGCCTTGGTTACAGTATGTTCTGCATGGCGACCGTCTCGGCCAACTCGATATCCGTCAATTTCACGATTATTTGCATGGATGACGTCATCGCTGAGCAGAAGGGCAACTCGACAGGTTTCAAGTTTGAAGCTGAAAAAATTGGCAAACGCTACCAAAAAAAAATATTATAGTTGAGAATAATTTTTTGCTTTCAAATCACTGTAAGTATGAAAATATAACTTTCTCAGAGGAATTAAGAAAATCTTAAAATATCGACGCCCTTTCAAGTCGCGAAAAACGGACAATAACGAAAATTGCCCCTTTTAGCGAACAAGAAATTCAAAAGTGTAGTTGATCAAGTTGAAAGCATGGTCTTACGGTTCCTTGCTGTGCTGGAGCCCGAGACCGTGCTCTATGGAAGCCTTGAAGCAACCACAGAAAAGTGAAATCTTGACACTGACCAAACGTTTCTTGATAGAACCCCACTGGCTGGAGAACAACCAAGACGTCTCGTTGCTTTTCTCGGCGAACGCCATCGGCCAGCTGTTGGGCGTGCTGCCGTCGGTTCATCTACTAACCCACCTTGGCGTCAGGAAGACCCTGACGGCCTACGGAGCCGCCTCGGCCCTCGGCACGATTTTCTTCCCGGCAGCCGTCGATTTCGGCCTCCCGGCGGTGCTAATCACCCGAGTTCTCCATGTTTGGAGATTCTTACGAATTCAACGAATTTTTCCAATTTTTCAGGGAATCGGCATCAGCACGTTGTTCTCGGCGATGGGCGCCATTTCTGCGGGTTGGTCGCCGAATAGCGAAATCAGCACTTACCTGGCCGTCTTGTCCAGCTCCTTTCAGGTGATTTCAAAAAAGGGCAAATTCTTCTGGGCCTCTGTCTCTGTCTTTCTCGGTGTTTCTGGCCTTCTGCCAAAGTCATCTCTTCACATTTTTATTTTCATGTTCTCTTTTTCCAATCTTTAAAATAGAACAAAAATGTTATCAGATGAGCTTCATCGTCACGAATCCCGTGGCCGGCCTCATGTGCGAGTCTTCCCTCGGCTGGCGAACCCTTTACTACATTCTCAGTGGGATGACCGTTTTCTTCTTCGTGCTCTTCTACTTTTTCTACGCCGACTCGCCGAGTCTCCATAGGTTTTGAATTAGTCGGAAATTTTAGGGGCAGGGGCAAAATTATGGGTCCATGAAGCTGTTTTATTTGAATTACTTACCAAGTAAGGCTTCAGAAATGTCAGCGGCAAGGAGTTGAACAAGATCAACAGCGGAAAAGCGCCCCAATCTAAAAAAGGCGTCCCTTACAAGGCGATGGTCCGCGACAAAGTCGTTCTGGGGATCTGGACCACTGTAAGTCGATTTTTTCTTGTCAAACTGGGTATTAAAGAAAGACAAAGTCCATGAAGGTCTCAGGGCGATCAGTATTTTTTAGACACAGCTGCGCTTTTAAACTTGAAAAAGAATTGATCTTGTTTCGAGAAAACGGAACTTGGTCCGAAATGCAACGTATTTTTTCGAGATAGAGATAGAGTTTAGGACCTTTTCGGGTCATTTTCTAGGCTTTAATAAAATCAAAAGAACTTGGACGAAGTTCATGAAGGTCTTAAGGCGATAAGCTTTTTTTTAGACACCGCTGCGCTTTTAATTTTGCAGAGACGATTCTACTTACATTGTTTCTTGAAAAAAAACCGGAACTTGGTCCAAAACGCAACGAAATTGCTTCGAAATAGGACCGTTTCGGAGCATTTTTGAGGCTTGAACCATTTTTTGTAATGAAACATCTCACGTTTCTCCAATAAACATGCAAGCAATAAAAATAGCATAGAAGCTGATCCAAAGTTTTTAGAGGTCTCGAGGCGATAAGCATCTCTTCAGACACCGCTGCGTCTTTAAATTTTCAAAAAATCGATCACTTATGGCATTTTTATCAAAAAACAAGACTTGGCAATGAAATCGCTCGGAAAAAAAAATTAGGACTGCTTCGGAGCATTTTTGAAGCGACAATGTACCTTTTTTTGCTGTTTTGAAACAGGCTAAGTTTCTCCAAAATAAAAAAGTCCTAATTGTCAGGTCATCGGCGGAAACCTCGGCTTCTTCATGCTGATGTTCTACGGGCCAATTTACCTCAATAAGGTTATTTATTATTCATTCGATATGATTCAACAACTTTTCCCGTTTGTTCTGCAAAAAACACCGTATACCAAATATGACCAAAAGTCGCTTCAAGACCTGTGTTTACAGTAGAGGAATAATTTTCACAACATTTTTCTGTTCCTTTTGAGGGCAGTGTTGTGTATATAGAATAAAAGATAACGTGGGAGATAAAACCACTATATAAAGAGCGGTCTCACAGGCTCTGAACAATCGCCTCACCGCTGCACCGGAGTCGGACGATGACATGCCGGAGCACGACAGTACCCCGCCCTCGGCCGTTGCCTCTACTACTTGACTCTTCATCTTATTTGCTTACCATTGAATAAATGATGTAAGCAGTTCTGGATTCAGTATGATTGTACACATACTTAAAAGTGGCGATCAGGATGAGACTTTTAAGTATGTGTACAATCATACTGAATCCAGAACTGCTTACATCATTTATTCAATGGTAAGCAAATAAGATGAAGAGTCAAGTAGTAGAGGCAACGGCCGAGGGCGGGGTACTGTCGTGCTCCGGCATGTCATCGTCCGACTCCGGTGCAGCGGTGAGGCGATTGTTCAGAGCCTGTGAGACCGCTCTTTATATAGTGGTTTTATCTCCCACGTTATCTTTTATTCTATATACACAACAGGCAGAGGTCGTTTTTTCAAAAGCAAAGTTAAAAAAGCGACGTTCAACGGGTCTTTTGGTCTTTTAAAAGCCTCGGAACGTTTTTTTTATGTACTTTGTTAAATATATATTTTTTAAAGGTCTTGAAGTTGAACGTGACGGAAACTGGCTTCGCCAACGCCCTTCCTTATGTTTTCGCAGCACTCGTCAAGATGATCGCCGGTCCTTTGTCCGATTATTCGACTTGTATTTCGGAAAGGGTACGGAAGTTATTTCAACTTGAGAAATTTTCTGAAACTACATTTTTGACATTTTTAGGGGTTTTTTTGCTCTCATTTCAGTGCTTTGAAACTTTTGAAACTTTGAAATTTTTATTCAGTCTTCAGAGTATGTTCTCTTCTGAATCATGAAATAATTGAAGAGCGCACTTCATTTCAGTGCCTCTTGTCTGAATTAAGTTAGAAAAATCAAATTTCAGCTGCGAATGATAATGTTCGCCTCCGTTTCACAAGGCGCTCTGGCCCTAGGTCTCGTAGTCATGTCATTGGTATTTTATTCCAAAAAAAAATTTCGAACTATCAATTTTTCAGACAACCAACCGTTATATTGCTCAAACAGCCTTCACATTTGCAATAGTTTTGGCCGGATGCAACATTGTCGGAGTGATAAAGTGTGCTCAAATGGTGAGAGCTTAGAAATGATCAGAAATCAGTCGATTCCCCTTAGACCTCGGTAAAGTGAGGGAAAGGCTCAAAAAAAGCCCCAGAAAGGTAGAAAAAAGTACCTTTATCGAGCCTTCCATTTTGTCTATAAAAAACATAATGGTGGAAAAAGAGGCAGCAAAAATGGTGCATAATAGCCGAGGATATGGCGCAAAAAGGCTGCAAAAAAGGAGCTTTTGTCATCCTAAAAGGAAAATTTCTATGGAGCCTTTTCCGTACTTTACTGACGAGAGATATTGAAAAAAAAAGTATAATCATTTAAATTCAGGTAGCTCGACAATATGTCCATTTCGTGATGGCGGTGATTTCTTTCCTGGCCTGCATTAGTACATTTGTTCTACCTTTCATCGTTGGATACACCTGTCCTAACAACACCGCCGAAGAGGTTTTTTTTACAAGCAGCTCTGGAATTTTTTAAAGGAGCATGAAGAACATCGCTGCGCCTTTAAACACCGCAGAAATTTTTAAATTTTCTCCAACTTCATGGTTAATATACTTTCAGTGGTCACGGTTCTTCCTTGTCATTGCTGGGATTATCGTCCTCACAAACTTAACATTCCCCTTCGTGGCTACAACTGAGCCAGCGGCCTACACTCTTCCTGGCTGGACGCCAAAAGGAAAAGTCCAAGACACACAATAAACTGAGAAAAACTCCGATTTTTCGCACTGCTTTCAAGATTACCGGTTGTACAAGTTCCGTTAAAAATTTGTTTATTAATTATGTACTTTTTTGTCAAGAAGTTACATGCTATCACATTGTGGGGAGAAAAAAAAAGAATAAATTATGATAAAACGATTCGACGAATGATGGACATAAATTAGAAGAAGAAGAGCCAGGAAATGTGTGGTGTATGTTGGCAGAAACCCATATAGAAGAATAGGACGAGAGCAGGAGCCGGGGAGTCACTTCGGAGTTTCCGGGACTTAAGCACGGCTGCGGGTGAACTTGCCCCAGATGTGCAAGACGAAGACGGAAGCGATGAAGACGAGGCTCATGACGAGGACTGGGACTGGTCCGATCTTCAAGCCGGTCGAGTCTTCCGGAGAATAGCGCCAGATGCTGCCGGTGTTGTTGCCGCGAGCGCGAGCTGGCGCAGCGGTGGCTCCTGCAATTTTTAAGCGTGTTTCGGAATGAAGCAGGGTTCAAGTCGAAGGTAGTTTTAAACCTGCCTTTAGGGTCGGTCTTTTAAAAATTCTCAAGCTTCAGAAAATAAATGAAAATAGTCGGTAAAGGCTTAGTATAGGCCATTCCATTTCATTCCAGCTTTTATATTCTTTTTCCACAATTTATTTTTTCTTCGAGCTACGGAACCCTTTCCTTCGAAACGCTCTCGCCATGCATGAGCCTTTATTATAACGGAAATTTTTTTGAGCTGAATTAAAGGATGTACAGAGACAGGCTCCGCATTTCGAAAAAAAATGGTTCTCGAAGTAAAAAAAAAATCGTGACAAGCTAGCGCGGAATGAGCTACAGCAAGATTTGGTCAAAAGTACTGCTATAAAAGAAAATATCTATGAAAATAAAATAAATGGTAAAAATTTGATCTAATTTCATGTTTTAAAAGTCGTCTACCCCTTTAATCACGTCATAGTATCTATAAAATAAAACTTTCTGTTTCAATAGCCAGACTCTAAGAAAAAAAAAAAAAATAATCCAAAAAAAGGGAAATTGGGAAAAAAACTTGATGATTTAACAAAAATAAATATTATAAAATACCTCCACGACGCTGTCTGACGGCACCGCCGGCACGAGGGCTGCGTCCAGAATCGGCCATTCTTCTTCTGTAACAAAAATGAATTAATAAAGTCAAAAACGTAATTTTTTTTTCATTCATTCAAGCGGAAAAAAATAATATGCGAAAAACAAGTTTTTTTGTGAGATTGCTAAAATAAAACAATTAAATTCATTTTGAATAATTTCACATCAAAAAAAAATATTGCAGAAAGACATCATTTCCGGGAAAGAGTTTCAAAAAAATAAGAAAAAAATGTTTCTTCTTTTTTTATTTCACCATATTTTTTTAATATAACTCAACGAAAAATTTTTTAGATTCAAATTTAATAAACAATGCAAAAATAAAACAAAATCAAAAAGTAGTATGCGTAATAAAACTTGAAAATCGTCTGTGTACAACTGATGAATCATTACTGCAATTGTAGGCTTAGAAACCAAAGAAATCAGGAGAAGAAGCTTTCAACAAGACTTCAGCACAATGAAAGAAGACAACTGGAAACTGGAAAGCATCCAATGTGAGATGAACATTGACGGATGCGAGAGCGATGGACTCTTTCTTCCAACGACGGTAAAATGAACGTAAAAACTACGGTACGCAAGTTGGCAAGCTACCAAGCCTTGCAGTTTGACTTCTTCGCACCCGCAATCTACGTGACGCGCGTGCGAAAGGGGCAGCCACGCAGCGCAGTTCAGAAGTTGTGCGTAGTTTCGTGTCGGTGTATGACGAAGCTCCGCCTCTTTGTAGTTTTGAGTCGGCGACGAGTTCCACCTCTTCCCTTCATTTTCCAGAATAGGCAATGATTCTTTGTCTCTTTTTCGATAATTTTTGGCATTTGCGTTTCCTTATTATCAATTATTATTTCAGAAACCATGGGAAAACTCACGAAGGAGGAAGAGGTTCTGCTCTCCAGCTACTCGCCAAGCACTTCGGGAAAGAGCACCCTCTTCTTCTACGCCAATGCTTTGATCATCTCCGTGGCTCCGATCTACTTGTTCTATGGAGTTCATCAGATGGAGGTGATTATTTCTTTCTTATTCTGATTTTTTTTTCCGATTGTTGATTGAAGAATTTTAGATGTAATGTTAAAAGGTGCGGTTAAATATATTCATTTATTTTTCAGATTTCTGATTCCTGGATCGTGTGGGTGATCTCTGCCCTCGCTTCGACATATCTTTTGACTCTTGCCTCCAAGAATCAGAAGCACCTTCTCAAGCATCAGTGAGTTGAAAAAGTTTGAGGCAAAATAATAGTTTTATTCGCAGGATCATCACTAAGCGTGGCCCAGCTGTTGACCGAGAGATCAACGCCAAGTATGCCAACGACAAGAAGATGAGCAACAAGGAAAAGGAGGTAAGCATTTTTTTTTTCATTTTTTGATACATTTGTATTCTAATTTTTTTAATGCATGTGTGGTTAGCCGCAAAGAATGCTAGAATTTCTTACATGTGTTCGAAAATAAATTTCTGGGGACCTTTTAAATTGGTTTTCACTGTTTCTTACTTTAGAATATTGCTGGAATACGAAGTTAATCAGTTTTTTGTATCATTTTGTAATAAGAAAAAAAGAGTTTTTAATGAATATTTTTTTGAAGAGAAATTCGCTATTAATTTTTTTATCTATCGAAAAAAATGTTTTTCCAAAAGATCATGGTCAAATCTTGTTAGAAACAAGACTTTAATGACACTTGTCTCTTTTTCATTTTTTTCTTATGAGTTTGAGATTTTTTTAATGGAGAACAAAGATGGAGACGTTATATATTTATTTTTCATTCTAAAATTCACAGAAGGGATTTTTTTCGTAATTTTTTTAAGAAGTGATTGAGATTTTTGAAGATCTCTTCAAATTTCAATTATTTTTTTCTTAGAATTAGGACTTAATGGGCGCGAAATGAAAACAGATTTTGATAACTGCAAAAATTTTTCAAAGATTATCTGTATTCCCATGTAATTCTTTTTTTTCAGGAGCGAGCTCTGTTCCGGAAGAACGAGGTCGCCGATGCCGAGTCGACTTACCTGTCGATCTTCTACACGAACACCTTGTTCCTGTCGGTCATGCTCATCCTCGCCTTCTTCCTTCTGGCCAACGTGGCGCCCGTTTTCAACCTCCTTCTCTCGATCGTCGGATCCGCTGGCCTCGTCGCTTTCCTCTCCACTGCCAAGAACTAATTTCGCGTTTCAAGTGTAGATTTTTGTTACAACGGGACCCTCGTTTTTTTTTTCTTGTAATTTACATATATAATTTATTTGCATTTCAAACCTACAAATGTTTTAATAAACTTTTTCTTTCTTTTTCTCTTATTTTCTCGAAAAGAAAGTTAAAGAAATGCCCAGAGACTTATTTTTTTCGATTTTTGAAGCACTAAAAATGATTTTTTTTTTTAGACTTTATTTCCTGAAATGCCGGCGGGTTGCAGAGTGAGTTCTACAAAAATACCCATGAAATAGAAAAATTAAGATACCTCCTCTGAAAATCGCCTCCAAGGCCTTGGTGAATCTCCTTCGATGTGAATCTCCAACTTGTTTATATTTCCGAACGATAAATTACGATCCAGATGATCATATTTATAGAGAAATGTGGGTTTTAGTGTATTGAATGACTGCGAATTTTTCGCTTTTTGATGGACGATTTTAAAAAACGATCGTTCTCATTTGAACAGTTTCGACGATTTTGATAGTTTTCTCGAAGAGTTTTGAAATGAATTTTCACAGTTCGAGGCGTTTTTTGAGCCTGAATGGCTCAAAAAATTAATGATCAAAATCAAGAAAAACAAAAAAAAGTTAACTTCATATTTCAAAATCACCCATTCATTGTGACTTTTTTGGGGTTTTAAAAAATTTTGAGCGTTTTGAAATAGTCAGAATCGAAAATTTCCAAATTAAGTGGTCGTTTTTCCAGAAACTTGAAAAAGCTGAAATTAAACTGCGAATCGGCTAAACTTGAAGATTATTTTAGAAAAGGAAACGAAAAACCGCTGAAAATTCTCAAAGTTGGTGGGGTTGCGATGGCGCCTCTAGGGGAAGGATACGGGCGGTGCACGATTTTTAGAGGTTTTTTTAAGAAAATTAGAAAAACAAATTGATTGTAAAATGACGCAATTGCAGTTGAACAGAGGCAACAAAACGGCCAAAGTTTATTTTCTGGACGAGGCAATCACGACTTGGTTCGATTTCGGGGTACTTGATTTTTTTGATAACCTTCAAAAAAAGAACTCTGAAGTTTGCTCCGGTAAAAAAATCTGATTGATTGAAATATTTTTTTATTAACATTGCGAGCCGTTGGAATTTGATTTTAATAGTTCAAATTTCATTTAGAAAAAAATGGATTTTTTTCAACTTCAAGAAACAAAAAAATTTTTGGACTTCTCAGTTTGTTGGTTTTCAAGTTTTTTTCTTTTTTTAATTTTTGCAAGATTTCCTTTAAGCATTTTTCAATTCATTTTGTAAATCGCTTTTTAGAATTTTTTTATTTCTTTTCAAGAAAAAAAACAGTACTCCCTAAAAAAAGAAAAAGAAAAAAATCTTGCAATGAGGCCTTTCAAGCTTTTTCTTGAAACTTCAGGTCCAATAGATCTTGTTAAAAAAATAAATTATTTATGATCCAGATTTTTGTTATTCAAAGGGACACATTGAAATCTCGAAATGGTCTCAAAGCAGAAAGCCTATTTTAGTGTCAATTTTTGTCGTCTGCCAATGTTAACAGTCCGTTAGGTTGTTGTGAACTTGTACTACAACTTGAAAAAAAAATGTAGAAATGAGAAAAATGGCCACTAAAAACTGTTTCTAAATTTCAGAAATAAGCTCAAGGAGTATGATTTTTAGAACCTCTACCATGTCCCGCCGCAACTTTTATTCCATCCCGCCCAGGCGATCAAAGCGTTGATTCCCTTGGAAGGAGTGGTAATTTGAAATATTCCTCGTGATTTTTTGCCTAATTTTGCCCCTTTTTCGAGTTCTACGGAGGAGGAACTCGACTTGATGAACAGTATTTTGCGAAGATTCGAGTTTTTCGAACTCGTTCATTTGGAAACTGACGAGGATTTTAATATTCGAAGCGGGCAGCCGGTTGGTTTTCGTTTTTAATTTTTCGTTTTGGGTTGTCTATTCTGAAAAAAAAACTATTTAAAATAAGTATAATTTTTGACTTACTCCGGTAAAACTGTTTTTGGCCATATTTTTGGCTGAAGGTGATTTTTTTGAGCTTTTTGGATTATTTTTTTCTTACTTGTCGTTTTTTTCACCTTTTTAAATGACGCTTGTGTGCCTGGGGTGATTTTTAATATTTTCAATATCTTCTTATCGCCCTCTATTAATTTTGAGATTTTGTTCATTTTTGAGCATTTTTAAAAAATTGATTCCTCTAAAGTTTTATTCAAAGCTCTCGCCTCATAATTTGAATATATTCTCTTTAAACCGCTCTTTTTTTTTACTTTATTTCGATTTTTGCAACTTTTTTCGTCAGAAAACCCGGGATTTGAAGGGAAATATTCGTTGAACTAGACTTGCTTAGTTTTTCAAAGGCTCAGAAGTTGGAAAAATCTTCAGATTGAAAGGAGTACCTAATCTTTTTTGGAAACCCAAGAAAGTTGTAGGTTTCAAAATAAATGAACGTTTCAGTTCGACCTATTCGGATTGAAGCGAAAAGATGAAAAAGTCGGTGTCAACATTTCGCATTTGTTCTCCATTTTGAACGCCGAGAAGGCCGATTTTTCGGAAAACGTTCTGAAAACGACAAATTCTTCGAAAGGGGCAAGTTTTCTGTTCAGATTTTGAGTTTCAAGTAACTGACTCCTCCCCCAAGGCTACAGTACCTTTTTGCGTTGATTATTTTTTTTTTTTGCCAGTGATTATGGTCCTTTAGAAGTGTCCCAAGTTTCGATCTTATCTGATCTAAAAGCTAGAAAAAAAAAGTCGAAATATAAGTGAATGAAAACTGGAAGATCTTCAGAAGGCCTGATGAAGCCGTTCAGAAGGTAGTTGGAAGGTCTTTGGAAGGTAAAAAACAAAAAATGGCTGCCAGAAGGCTTCTGAAGGTAAGTAGAAAGTGTTTGACCACTTACTGGAAAGCTTCCGAAAGCAGCAGCTTCTAAGTTTATAACAAAACGTCGGCCCGAAAGATACTATAGACCTGGGGGCGGAGTTAGCTGGTGGATATTTTAATTCTGAGAAGACTATAAGATATTCTGCTTGGACATTTTTAAACTGTTCCTTAAAGGATCTGGAACCCGAAGCCGTCGAACCGGAAGCCGGTCCTTCATTTCAAGGCGCAAACCCTTTCTCGGAGCAACTTCCAGTTTTTAATGCCGAAGATTGGGACCTTGACAATTGTACAGTGCCTCCTTTCGACCAGAATCTTTTAGAGAGGTTATGAGTTTTCGGAAAAATAACCTTGAAAGTATAGCTTGGATGTCAAGTTTTGAAAAATAGCGAATGACTTAGGAATTTCTAGGGGGACACTATAGGGGTTTGTTACCCTGGGACTCATATAGGGGGAAAAATAGAGCCCCATATAGGGGGGGAGGGGGCGTAGAGTTCCCTCAGAGAGCCCCTATGAAACCCCTATAGGGATCCCTCAAAAATTTCTCACAAAAGCTTTGAAAAGCTGGCCCCAAGCGATCAGTACTGAATGAAATCGATTATAGATTCTGCATGGCTAAGTTTTTGAGTTTTTTTTAGGCGATATAAGTTTGGAAAGATTTTTACAGACAAAAGGCTTGAATAAAGGAAAAACTGAGAAAAAGTGTTGATTTTGTAAAAGTTTGTCTTATAACTGCTTGTTTTTTTTTTTCACTGAAGCTCGAATTTTGAAGCTTCACCTGTCTCAAATCGAGAAAAGATGTTGATTTTTCATTTGTAAGAATTTTTCAACTGACATTCGTATTTTACAGCTTCAAATCTCGCCTATCCCAAGAAATCTGCTTCGTTTCGTCTGTCGAAGCCTCGACGCCCTCTGAATTCCACGGATGGCCCGTAAAAATTGATATGAATAGCTGTGAGTAAAACGGAAAAAAAGAAAGTCTTGAAATTGTAATTTCAGGGAAAGATGCGGTCGAGAAGCTTTTCACGAAGGAGCTTCTGCCTTTTTGCAACAATTTGAAGGCTTTCTATGAGAATCCCGACAATCGACATCGTATTCTGGAGCCGGAAGTGTAAATTTTGTGTCATTCTGGGTTTCTTAAGAACTTTGCAATTGAATATATTTTGTTGAAACTTAGACGTCTTCTGTGCCTTTAAATACGCTATTGAGCCTTTTAAAGACGCAGGGAGGAGCTTGGAAGTATTTTTTGGCCGGAAAGTTAGATCACCTAGTTGTCTGCGCCTTTAAATACTCAGAAAAGCTTTTTAAAGGCGCAGGGAGGAGCTTAGAATTATTTTTTGACGGAAAAAATTGAATTGTCTAGCTTTATGCGCCTTTAATTTGTCACAAAAAGCTATTTAAAGTCGCAGGGAAGAGCTTCAACGTGTTCTTTCGCAAAATGTGATCATCTTGAAGTAGTGGCCATTTCAAATACTGAAAACAGCTTGGAGAAGGACTACAGTATCCTTTTCGCTTTGAGTCAGGGTGCTGCTCCTTTAATAGCATTTATATCACTTTTCTCTCTTGTAACTTGTAATATTTGTCTTTTTATAGAGGAACGATGACATGTGTTAAATGCTCTGTTCATATTTTGAATGTCAAGGCTCAAGGTCCGCCTCTAATGACGCGATAAACCAATTAGAGAGCAAGCCATCCACGGAGCCTTTTCGAATGACGTCATTAAACTTGACTTTCAAAATCTGGACATAATATATAATGGTTTTTCATTCTTGCAAGCTTTTTTTTAAGGAAGACGAAATTTGAGAGCGGCGGACGGGTCTACGTCATGTGCAAGGGCAATCCGCATTATTTGGGCCCTTGGTTGAGAGCTGAGGTTGATAAAAGTTCCGAAAAGGAAGGTCATCAAACTTTAAAGTTTGGAGCTTCTTGGAAATTGGTCAGAGTACTCCTAGAGGTACCAGAGGAAGATCTTGAAAGTTTCAACCAGGAATATTATCATTTTTCCATAAAGTCTTCAAAATTCGTTAGAATATGCCCTTTTGAGATTTTTGAGCCATCTTTTTGTTAATTTTCAGGTAATTTGGCAGCTTGAGACTCCGTATTGTCCTCTGATAGATCAAGAAGTAATCTGACCAACTTTCAGGAAATTCCCCAAAAGTAAAATGACCTCCTTGTAAAGGTTCACGAAAAAGTATTGAATTTAGGTTATCAAACCCATGAGCGACAAGCTTCTCGTGAAGCATATTGACACTGGAAGGAAAGAGGAGGTCTCCTGGGACGAAACCTGCCGAATTCATCGATTGTTTGAATGAAAAACACTAGAAAAATGGGAAAAAGTCATTCAGACACGCTGAAACGCCGCCGTTCGCTGTGCAATTTCGCGTCGAAGGTCAGGCGGACGACGACGAGGAAATCGTGGCCAAGTGGAAGGAGAGCTTTCAATGCGGCATGACTTACTCCGTAAGCGGTGATATTGGTGAGTTTTTGGGCCTTTTCGAATAAGAGATCTGTTGAAAGATATTTTTGAGACTTTTGAGCCCTTCCTTTCTTGATAATTTCATACAGTTGAATCAAAAAATCTAACAAACGATTTCTATAGTTTACGAAATGAATGCAGGGAAAAATTGGGAAAATGTGTTATTGAAACAGTATTCCGCACTAGTCACGTTTTTACACACCTCTGTAGTAAATCCGCCGTAACCACAGCATTTTCCGCGCGTTCGCCTCGAGATCCGCCGAAAAACGGTGAAAAGTACTGAAAAAAGGCGGGTATCAAAGCGAATCGGTATACTGTTCTTTCCCCCCAAAAAAAAACTCAAGAAACAGATAGGGGGAATTTTCCTTTCTAAGCGGTGATTTTGGTCAGTTTTTTGAGCTGTCCAACGAAAACGGACAGTAAGCTAGCTTATGAGATCCTAAAAAAAATTTTTTGGAACTTTCTTGAAACACTTCGTCTACTATAACACTGTTGAACGTTTCTGACCGCTTAAGGGATCACTTTATCGGCCTTGGAAAACTTAAGAACCTTTGAGCCTCTGAAGAGTTCACTTGTATCTCCGAGCCCTAAAGTGATCGCTCTCAACAAGCCTTTCACCAGTTTAGAAGTTCAATTCGTCAGCGGCACCGATGAACGTTTCGCCAACCTCGTCGACACTCGAGGCGACGTAGTTTCCGTAAAAAATGTTCATGTGAGCCTCGAAAATGTCCCAACTCCACTCCAGACTTCTTTTTCAGAGTTACGCATCCAAAGAATCGATCCTACCGCCTGTCGCGTCATCGACGATTTCCGTTTCGTCGAATGAGAACGCCGATATTTCAACATGATAATTTAATTTTTTTATAATCTATTTGTACAAACTTCAGTGATCTTTATTCAAATCTTTAAAAAAAAAGTCTTTTTATGACATGAATAAATTAGTTGAAACTTGTTTCATTTCTCAAACCGTGAAATTTTGGATTTTCCATGGTAACTGTATCTCGCATGGTTGTGAACACAGCGTCATTGCGGAGAGGGCATTTAATTTCACGCTCAACTCTTGTAAATTTACGAACAGTTTTTTCTAAATTACTCAGGCACTGACGGCGCGTGTTTGTTGCCAAAAGTGCGCATGCGCGCCGCCTGCTGCGCGCACGCGCGGGGTGTCTTTTTTGTTTTTTAGCTTTTTAACTAATTGAAAAGTTATAAATTTAATATTTTTCATGTCTGTTCATCTCTTAACATTGCTCTGCACCAGTTTATAACAGTTATATTGCACAAAAAAATGTGAAATATCAAAGTTTCACTTGGCAAATTTTTTTCATAAATTTGTTCGAAAGTGCTCGGAACAACTTTAAAACGTGAGCAGGGGCACTGGGTAATATCACAAAAAAATATAAAAAAAATATTTCAAAACCTTATTTTTAGTGGAAAAGGCGAAAAAAAGAATCAGTACCCCCTGCGCGTGCGCGCACCAGTGCCTGAGTTTGATTTAATTTATAGGAGAAGCTTTTCGTATTTTATTTGTGTTGCATTTGTTGAGGTTTTTTCTGCTGTTTTACAGTAATTTAACGAATGCGAGTTGAAGTTTTCAATTCTCTTTTCGGCTTGTTTTTTTAGTCCGTAATTTATTTTTCTATCTTTTGAAAGCGACGAGAGTTCATTTTGATGTTCAAAAATGACGAAATAATTTTTTGTGAAGTGAATTGGTCCCAGAATTATTTTTTAACGGTTTCAGATGGTGTGATTAATGTCCCTTTTCATTCATTTTATCATCAATTTATAAATTTGGTTGTGCGTTTTCGATAATAGAACGTAGAAGCAGAAGTTTGGCAAAAATATCGAGTCTGATCTCGCTTTTTTTTTTGAGTTCGCTCGATTCTTCTTGAAAAAACTTTTTGAACTTGAAAAAAAGAACTTTTTTTACAATTCATTCCAGTTGGATTCAGAAAGGTTGGCGGAGCTGAATGACATGTGGAAATCCGGAAGGAAATCATCAAAAATATCGAGTCTGATCTAGCCAAAATGTTTTGACCCCACGTCAAACGGTCATTAGGTCAAATGCCCGGAAGAACTCTCCCGAATGGCGCCAAATCTCGGGCGGCGAAAACAACATCGTCATTCTTTCCTTTTTTCCTCCGTGCTGGATGGTGTGTTGCTGCTACTCGTTTCTTTTTCTATTTAAGTTCATTTTATCCTTGTTTTTAATCATAATTTTTAAAGTAAATCTATTGTATGATGTTGTAATCATTGAAAACGTCACTTCAAAATGGTTTTTCGATAATGTTTGGTTTCTTATCTCGAAAAAATCATAATTTTTTCAAAAATATTTTGCGTCTTGAATATTATATTTAGTTTCTTTAACTATTCGTAGCACTTTTGCAGACGGACATATAAGGGAATTTTTGAAATTCTCTTTTCTTGCAAATTGTTCGAAAATTTGAAAAGTTTGCATTTACAGTTTTCTAATCATCCCCGTCACGTTTTTTTTTCGCATTGTTATCGTTTCTTTTTCTTTGTGGATATCGAAATTTATTTATTTTATTTATTTTCAGGTCGTGCCAAGAGGATTCCTAGCAGTGATCTGAGCGGCCAATGTCGTCGACCAGCGGAATCTAATAATCTAAGTTTTTGAACGAAATTTTCAAAATGATTATATTTCAAAGCCAGAATTTTTTTTAAATTCAAGTTTATTAGCTCGTTGTTTTTTCAAATGAACTAATTCTTCTTTAATCCAACTTTTCTCAGAAAAAAAGCTAATCGAAGACAAAAAAACTGCCGAAAGACTACGCGTGGGGAACTACACCGAGCCGCCGAAAATGGGTAACTTTGAATTTTTTTTTTTCGATTCCTTTCTTTTTTGGGATTGGAATCGTCCAAAACTGGGGCGGCTGGGCGTCTTTTTCCGAGGAAAATTCTCGAAATTAGTTCAAAAAAATAGTTGAAAAACTCAACTTCATTTTTTTCAATCAGTTTTTTTTTCCAACTTTTTTTCCATCAGCTATCTTTTTTTAAAAGGTAATATGAAAGCAACGTTCCAACCAGCTTCAAAATCGCTTTGTTTTAAAATTTGAAGTTCAGGATTTTTACAGAATAGTGAGAAGTTCATTCACTTTCAAATTTTTCCCGCGGAAAAAAATATGCACAATTTTTCCCATCGCATAGATTTTTCCAAATTTTGAAAAATTCAAACATTTTTTTCGTCAACAAAAAAACCGTAGATCCAAATAATCTAAAATTTTCTTTTCAAATATTTTTTTCCGCCGGAAAAAGTCTAGCTTTCGAGAAACAGTTGATCTTTTAGAATAAGAAAAAAGTTTCTGTTCTTTTTTTATTTTTTCTTTTCTAGAACCTTGCTTTCATACGACCTTTTTTACTTCTCCAAGTTTGTGATCAGAATAAAAAATTAGAAAAGTTCGAGAATTTTCCTGGAAACAAATGACCCAGGGTCGGCCTCTTTTTTTGCAGGGGCTTGGGTGGATGGTCGACTGACGGACTCAACTGTTTCGCCGATCGATTAATTTAATTTAAATGAAAATTTTCAAAATAAATTAACCTTCCGATGTAGTATTTCTGAGAGAATACGGTGTTGCAGATTCGAATTTTTCACCCATTTTTTTAGGCTTATCGAGCAATTGGATCGCAATAAATCAACATTTTCAGAAGTCTCACAAAAGCACGAGATTCAAATTTAGCCGTTTTCGAATATCGTTATGAAACCACTCATGAAAATAGTTGTTGACTTTTTGGATTTTGTTTTTTTTTATTATTGTTTTTTTCAAGTCTAAGTCTTATAAAACTCAAGATATCTTGATTGCTTTCATTACTCAATTTTTCGCAACCCTAAGTGAGAAAAATTGGAAAAATTTTCAAATGGCTTTATCTCATTCAGGTGTATAGTTTGGACAAGATCACTCTTTTATTTTTAAGTGAGAACTTTTCCCTTCTTTTCAATTAGGTTTTCAGGCCATTCAATAAACTCGTTCTTTAAAAAAAAGTTATCGAAAAAAAAAAATGAATTTCGAGATATGAAGCGATTAACTTTTATCTGCTGATTCATCGAGAGGTAGTCGATTTTTCAGAAAGTTTTTATTTATTTTCCTTTGCACAACTTGTTTAAATTTGAATCTGCAACATTGTCCTTTACAAAAAGTTTATGGCAAACTATTCAAATCAATTGGCGAAACAATTGGATGCGTTAGTCTGACTGAAAGCTTCTGAATAGAAGGTCAGTTTCTGCAAAGCTTCACAAGACCTCAAGAGAAACTTTTTGAAAAAAGAGAATTCTCATTGAGATCTTTTGAAAGAGGGAAGCTTGTCATGTGTTTCGTTGTCATGGTTAAAAAGGAGCTTTATCGATTTCGTGACAAAAGTTTATGTCCTTCTCTGGTCATTAAAGTTTTTTATTGATAGGAATTGCGAGAGTCTCATGAATTTAGTAGGCTCAGACTGAACGATTTTCATTTTGTTCAAAAATTTAACTTGTAGCTTTTCTAGCAGTTTTTTTTTTGACAAAGGGTAAAGGAAGAATTCGCAACTTTCAAACATTTAAAAACTTGATTTTTTTAAAAAGTTTTTGTCATTTTTTTTATGATCAACCAATTGTACCAGTTTCTCAAAGTTGCGAATTTTTATTTGAACCTTTGAAAATTTTTACTTCAATCACTTTGAGTCGATGACAAGATGATTCATTTTTTTGAAATGCTTACGTACTTTTTGATTTTCTTTCGGACACGTTCTGAGTAGAATTCGCATTTTGTTTAAATTGGGGACACTACTAGAGACCCTCTTTTGATAGTTCAAGAACCATCTATTTTTTCGGAAAAATTTTCAACCATACAAAAATTTCAGCTTTTTTCGAAAATTTTTCTGACTTCAAAAAGATCTTTTTCATTAACAAATGGACCAAACTTTAAAATCTGCGAATTCTTCATTGAACCTCTGAAATATTTGACATCTTTCCATTCCCAAGCTTTGAAAAACTTAATACATCTTTTCATTGAACTTCATGACTTAGTCACTGAGACACTTTAAGAACACAGTAGAAAATGGCTTTGATTATTTATTCATCAGATCTTTGCGAATCACAACTTCAACATGACTTCATTGATCAGAAGGAAACTTGAGCTTTTGACATGACTTTTCAAAAAAACCTGTGCCTGTCACTTGGCAAGCTTCAACCCTTCAGAGGGCATCAATGGACCGTTATGGACAACTCCTCTTGGCCTTTTGTGAGACTGTAGAATTTGGCTTTTATTCAGAAGCTTTCATGCCATCCACTCAAGCCTTTGCAAGAAAAGAGAGTTGGCACTGGGTCATTTGGAGAAGGCGTGTAGGACCTCCCAGGATTGGAGGGTTTCAAGACCGAAAAGGGGGGAATCGAAGGGGGCTAATGGGGAGGGTTTCAGGTCGACTGATGTGACGGGATGGATGCCGGACGACGTCGTACTCCGAGGGCGGCATTGAACCGGACACTCTGAACCATGATTTTTAATAAAGAATTCTCCTCCCCCGTTTGTACCTGGTTTTTTCCGGCAGGGTCAGAGCCGCTGCCGGACTTTCTTTTGGTGCTTCTGATGCCGCTCGGGTTCTCCGGTCTCGGACTTCACAGCTGCCCTGAAGTCTGAGGCGAAGCCTCCAACTCGAGCCTTAAGGGCCCAAGCCGGAGACCCCAGCCTCAAACTCCACAGGCTGGCTGTGGAGCCCGAGCCGGAGGCCTCGACCTCAGGCTCCAGAGTGCGGTGGAGCCCAAGGCCGACTCTTTGGTGGATGGCTTTAGGCCTGGTGAGAGACCTGTCAAGCAAGGCTCCTCTCACCTTCGAGCTCGACAATTGACAGTGTCTTGCAAAGTCATTCATGTATCTTTTTTTCTCTCGCACTCTCTGAGCTTCTCCTGAGCCAAGTGAGCTCAAACTCTTTCAACTTAATCTGCAGACCTTTTGAAACGACTGCTGGACTTTCACTATGTTGAAAAGGCGCTCTTGAAATTTTAATTTTTTTAATTGGGCTACAAGTCCTTCAATCTCCAAGTTTACTCTGAACTCTTGTGTCTCTTTTAAAGTCCATCCAAGTCAATCACTTCATTTAATCCGAAAAATAAAATTACTTCGATTAAGAGAAGGCAACATAAAATTGAGTTTTCTTTCAACTTTTTTGGAAAAAAAAAAACATGTTTTTGATGGGCTACTTGCAAAGCTTGGATGAACTTCAGTAAAACTCAAATCGAAGTTCGAATTTCAGTGGACGCTTGAATTCAAGAAACTCGCGGTCATGAAATGATTACGAAAAAGTCAAATTCTATTCCAAGTTCCTCTGCAAGGCTTCCATCATTTCAATAACTTCAAAAACTTATTGCTTTTTCGACATCTTCAGTGAGAAATAATTTAAATATCTTTGTCGAGTAAATTAAAAACTTATTTTTTTGGATTTGTCTGAAAATCTACGAAGGACTATGGTGAACTGAAGACGTTTCAAAATCGTAAGAACGTTCAAAAAAACTAAATACATGATATGCTAAAAAATTCGTTCTTTTCCTGTCTTGTCCAACTGAACACAGTCATTCACATAAAAAAAACAATAAAAAAAGTGAAAGATCAGAAATGTTTTTCATTTCAAAAAAACTACAAGTGAGAGTAAAGTTAAGTCAGAAAAGTTGAGTTTCAATTAGAAAAAAATTCAAAAAGTTCAAAAATGAATACAATATTTTTTTATAATTTTTCTTCCTACATTCAAAAAAAGAGTTACTGTGATTAATCAATCATGGTTTTAGAATTACTCCGAAAGAAAGCCTTGCAGATAAGTTCAGAATAAAAATGGAAAAGATACAGTTTCAAGAGAGTTTTTTCAACAAAATACATGTCCAGCATGTTCGTTTCAGATGATCTGACGATCAAGTTAAAGGTGTTCGAGCTCACTTGGCTCAAAATGAAGCTCAGAGAATGCGAGAAAACAAGAGACATGAATGATCTCGCAAGACACTGTCCGGTGGCGCCCGAGGCATGCAAATAGACTCGATATACTGGTTGGTTTGTTTGAAATTGTTTTCAAATTCAAAAAAAAAAAAAAGATTGAAACTTGACTAACTCTGTGAATCAACGTTTGAAAAACTATTAAAGTAGGTTTTATAAAATTCAAGGTATCAAATTTGAATAGAAGAATGAAAGATTTGAAATTTATTGAAAAAAAATTCTTCAAAATGAAATAGTACGAGATTAGCAAAATATTTTCGAAAACTTCTAGCCTCACTACTCTTTACTTCGTCTTTAATGTAAAAAATCTGGGAAACTTTAGAAACAAAAACGAGAAATCTTACAAGCTCTTCCGTTTTCGGATCAATACTATTATCTGAAATTTAACTTATGAGAAAAAAGAGCTCAAGTTTTAACTTGCGCGCTCTATGGATGAACATTGCAGAATTTATTATTATTTTTTGTGATCTCTGCCAAAATTTTTTTAAGTTTTGCATTGGAAAAGATTTCATTTTTTTAAAAGTTGAACTGATTATCATTCACGAATGTGAATCGAAAATTTAAATTCAAAGAAAAATCTTCCACAGAACCATTAAGTTTGAAGCTTTTGAGTCTACTGCGGCTAGTATTTTCCTGAAAATTTACTCCATTTGTCTTTGACGACATCTTTTGTAATGAAAGCTTAGATATATAAAGATGGCATGACAAAAGAATTGTTTTCAGCCTGAAATCGATCGAAGCTAAACTACAAATAAAATAAATGCCTATAGACCAACCAGCAAATTGAATATTCTTGCATGAACTCGAGAATAATTTCAGGTTGTGTACGAATAACTTGCATTTTTTTAGGGCTCCTGGAAACGTGAGTTTTTAATGTGAAAATAAAGGTCAGAAAAAAGTCAAAAACGTCCCAAGTGAGAGAAAAAGATAGAAATTTAAGTTTTTTTCTTAATGATCAAAAATTATTTTTCAAACTGCTTCAGTCTTAAAGGTCTGAAGATCTACTAACTTTTCTAGTGAACAGTTCAAAATTCTAGCATTGATAAAATCAATGCAAAATCAATTTTTCTACAAAAATCAATGTTTCTCATCACAAAATCAATGTTTCTACAAAAACTAAAAAAAAAAAACAAAAAAAAACGAAATTCATTCGTACACAACCAGATCTACTAAACGCCACCTTCGAATTGACGAGCCCGGAAGGAAAAAAAGAGCCTCGCTCCACAGTCTCCCACTCGACAGAGAAAAAGGCGCATGTATGCCCGGCTGAAGCCGGCGAGAGAGCATGGAGGCCAGACTACAGGTCTCTCATTTTTGGCGCTTTCTCGTACCAGACAAAAGCCGAGATAGACCGCCGTCTTTTTCTCTGCGCCGCCACCTACCAAAGGCCCGAAGCCGGCAACATTCACCCCAAAAGAACAAGGCATGCATAAAAACGATCATTTTCTTCTCGAAAACTCCCTCTTTTTTTCAAACTTCTGCTATCGCATGAAACCAACGACCGGTGTTCAGTTATTTTCAATTAATCACTACCTCATAAAAATTAACGTTTTGAGTAATTAAAATTATAGTTAACTTATAAAAACTAGTCAGAGCTTATCAAAAATAAACTTATCATTAAAATAAGAAAAATAAATTCGTCACTAAAATATGGAAAGTAAACTCATCACTAATCTATGAACACTTAACTTGTCACTAATGAGAAATGAGAAGTATAAATTCAACACGAAAAATGAACGCACTCGAAAAATTGAAACAGAAAAATTATGCGAAACGGCCACGAAATTATTCGTTTTTTTGAACTAAAATACGGGCCGGCATGTCAAGCCGAGAGTTCCAATCCCTTTTTTTCTTTTTCCTGGAGAAAATTAGAAGACGGAAAAAAAATCGACAATTAGAGAAAATATTTAAAATGTACAAAAAAATATTTGAAAAAGCAATCACTAGTTGAATTTTTTCAGAAGAACGGGTTTCGAAGCGAAAAAGCAGAAGTGTCGCTCTGGACTTGACAAGTTGGCCGGGGATGGACTCAGATTTTTTTCCGAAAGAAAAAAACCTGAAAATTAATTTGAGTTTTGCGAAAATTAGACCGCGTCGCACCCCATTTTTTAATCAAAACCTGAATTATCTTCTAATTATCGCTATCGAGTAAAAAAATCTGCTTCAAGATTCAAAAACGCATGACTGAGCGACGCGGTCGCGCTGCGGTTTTTCAAATTTTTTCATAAGATTTGAAAAAAATGAAAGATCTTATAAATTTACAACTTTTCAAGCCGCAAGCCGAACTACAAAAATCGAACAGAATCTTGAAAAAAAAAAAAAAATCAAGTGAAAGTAGTCATTCTATTTCAAAAAAACGGAAAAAGATTGATCGAAAATGTCAATTTGGATTTTTGAAAGTACAGATGTGTGGCTTGCGGCTTGACAAGTGGTCACTGAAAGAAAATTAAATTGAACTCGTAAAAATTTCTCGATTTCTAACTGCAATATTCTCAAGAGGTAAACCGACCCAGCGCGACCAAATAACGTTTTTTTTAAAATTTTCCTGCCTATCAATTTAGACGATGGCTTCATGCGACAGTTTTTATAGGTAAAAAAATGAAGTTTGATCTGTGAAAATATCACAAAAAAATTGAAAATGTTTGAGAATTTTCGAGAAGAAAATGTTTTTTTGAAATATTTGACTTCACTTTTTCACGTTGAGGAACACAATTGTGGGAAAATATTTGAAATAAAAATTTTGAAGTTGGTTCGAAACAATTGAAAGAAGCTTTCTTTGAAGTTTGAACGTTTCTCAACGCGAGAAGCAACACGCGTTGGAATATTCAAAAGTTATACCAATAAAAAAGGTGACGATCTTTTGTTCCATCCCGTCCGTCCTTTCAAAAAACGACGCCACCTGTTTGTTAGGAGATCGCGTTCCGTAGATCGCCTTGGAAGCTGCAGAGTTCGGAAACTTCCATCCAGGTCCCCATCTATGAAAAACAGAACATTAGTATCGATCCTAAATATAAGTGGCTTATATTGACTCATCTTCAAAAAATCCATCGGAAGGCGCTTCCAGGTCCGACCAGCCATCTCACAGACGCGGGAGTAGTCTCTGGAATATCAATTTCAAAAAGGAAACACACGTACAGCGAACGATAAAAAAAAACGAATGAAAAAATTATAAACTTTTTTTTTTTCAAAAAAAAACTGAAAAAGTTATTCGCAAAAAAATAGAAATGGCATTCCTGAGGTAATTTATAGTTGATATAAACTATTTTATATTTGAATACAAAATTTGAACAATTGGAAATACGAGCAGTAGCAACACACCGCCCAGAACGAAAGAAGAAGGGAATAATGACGTCGTTGTTTTTGCCGCCCAAGACTTGGCGCCATTCGGGAGAGTTTTCCCGGGCCTTTGACCCAATGACCGTATATAAGACGTGAGGTCAAAACATTTCGGCGAGGTCAGAAAAATTCAAAAAAATTTGGCGAGATCAACCTCGGTATTTTTTTATTAAATTTTTTTGCCGGAATTCCGCTTTCATGGGATGAAGAAAATTTGGAACATGACTGACAAAATACTGCAAAAACGAACTATTTTTGAGCTAAAAAAAGAAGTTAAAAAAATTGTTCAAAAAAACGTTTTTTTACCCTTGAAATCAAAAGTGAAGATGAATGACACAGTAGAAAAAAAAGATTAAAGCAAAACTTCCTGCGAAAATTATGACTTATTATAAATAAGAAACGAAAAACTATCGAAAAAAATCATTTCAAAGTGACGCTCAAAACGATCACAACATTATTTAGTGAAATTACTCTGAAAAATATAATAAAGTGAATTAAAAATCAAAAAAAGAAACGTGCAGCAGCAAAACACCATCGCGCACGGAGGAAAAAAAGGAAAGAATGACCACGGCGTTTCTGCCAGTTGAAGAAAAATGCAGGCGCTGTTATTTCTAGACCAGGGGCGTGGCTTGCCTCACCGTAATCTTGTGCGGTGGCGCGCACATGCCTACTTTTCCTCAGTCATTTCCTTTATATTTCCTCATTTTTTTCGTTTTCTTTTTTCATATTTCTTCTAAGTATTAACCTTCGATTTCAAAATAACTCGTTCTATTAATAAATTCTTAATTTTCGAAGATATGGTTCTTCTCAAGTCTATGCTTCGAGGAGATAATAAAAGCATATAAACTATAAAACTTTTAATTCGACAAAAGAAGTAGTTGTCGACGATGTAGATTTCATCAAATAGTTGGAGTCCTCTTCCTGTGAACTTTGGACACATTCGCAAAGTGTTCAAAAGAAACTAGAAAAAAGGCCTGAACTTGTCAAAATAGGACATTTTTCACGGAAATTCACTTTTTTGACTTGAAAAAATCTTTATGGGAAGGCAGGAGAACCCCGAAAATAAAATTAATCGCAATGGCGTACACTCATTTAAACTAAAAACGATTTTCGGCCTCAAGAAATTCGTCTACGATACTAAAGACAGAAGAACCATGTATTCGAAAATTAAAAGTTTAATTAGATAATAGAAGGAGTTATATTGAAATCAAAGGGTAATAATTAAAAGAAATATGAAAAAGAAAATGACTGAGGAAAAGTAGGCATGTGCGCGCCACTGCACAAGGTTACGGTGAGGCAAGCCACGCCCCTGGTCTAGAAATAACGGCGCCTAGAAAATGCAAGGAATTTGAAACTCGGCAAAGTCTGCACACTTCTCAAAATTCGCCCGCGAAATTTGAAAAAGTGGCTTTATTTTTGATTTTTTGTCAATTTTTTCATATTTTTTCACTTTTTCTTTTCGTAGATTGCTGATAGTATTGCGGGACCACGATCGGGGTATACTCTGGGTTGTTAGACGTTTTTTGAAAGTAGTTCTGTGAGGCTAACTTTAAAAATCTCCACCTGTTTGTATGGAACATGTTTCACCCCATTTTTTGTTTTCTTATTCTATTTTTGTCGATTGTTCAGATTCCTAGGCTGTGGACATCAATGAGATGAATTTACATGAAAAAGTCTGTGAAGTTGAGAAAGTATGTTCCGGAACTCATTTATATCCGGATATTCCGTCAACTTTTTATAATAAAAAGGACTTGCTGTAAAACATCTTTTATTTGTTTCTCCACAGCAATATAGTTTTATTTAATCTCTTTTAATTTCCTCGTCTTTTTTCTTCAATGTTCATTTGTTTCTCACACTTATATCATCGGTTAACCTTATTTTCCAAATTTTTTGTGCATGCACTTGACACGTCCTAATTGACGGAGAAAAGTGGGCGGGGCGTCGCAAAAGAAACACCGTGTGACGATGTTGTTTTCGCCGCCCGAGATTTGGCGCCATTCAGGAGAGTTCTCCCGGGCATTTGACCCAATGACCGTATGACGTGGGGTCAAAACATTTTGGCCACATCAGACTCGTAATTTTTTATACATTTCTTTCCGATTTCACTTTGAATAATGTCATTCTGCATTGAAAAACCTACTAAATTCAAATAGAGCGGATTTTCAACAAATAATGAACAGATTTAAGCATTTTATAAAGGATTCATGGAGGTCAAACCATTTTTTTAGCAGATCAGACTCGCCATTTTTAAATAGTTTTTCTGTCGGATTTCGTCTAAAAATTTCAATTTCCACAGAAAACACATTTCAAACTGAATTTAGAGCAAAATACGAATTAATTAAAAATATAAAAGTTTCCAACATCTCCGAATTATTTATTAGAAGAAATCCCATTCTTCTTGTTAATTGAAGCTGAAACTTTGTAAATCTTAAATTGAATCACTTTTCAAATGAAATAAACTAATCAAAATAAAAAAAATTTAAATAAATTTTGAATTTTCAACACTAAAAGCTCGTCAGATGACGCGCATTTGCCGTATTTTTATAGTAACTGTGCATGCGGCAATGAATACAGTACCCTTCACAATTTTGATTTTTTTTTCATCACACGTTTATACAAACATTTCTGTAACCAGATTCCCCGTGTGCATCGTTTTCATCATTTTCTGATAAGCTTTCTTTTTTTGCGTACAAGGCTTCCGCTTTTCAAAAACATCGGTTTGTTTGGAAATCAAGGTTTCATCTTCGACTTGGAAGTCGTCTTTCTCGAAAAATGGAAAGTTTCGCCGCCTGAACATTTAAAAATCTTCAAATATTCTGACAAATTCCATTTTTGCAAAGATCCGATCCGATCCCCTGTGACGTCATCGAGAGCTTCTGTTTCATCAACTGACCTTGATTCCTCTATTTTTAATCGATTTGTACAAAATCGATTTAGGACTTTACAAGAAGTGGTTTATATGACATGAATAAATGACCGAAGGCTGACAAAAAGCTCAGAATTTTCCTTGAACCCAGTCCCGTATTATGGCGTGTGCGATGGCACCTCGTGGGGGTATGTAGTGGAGACGTTGTCGGTCGTCCAGCGTTCGGGGCAGGCCCTTCAATCGGAAATAGACAGTAGAAATGTGAAATTTGAAAAAGCTGTATAAGCATCTTAAGCATTGTGAGTAAATATAAAATGAGCCAAAGCATTTTGAAAAGTGAGATAAGACCCTCGGCTCGAAGAAAGGCCAGAGAAGAAGATATTCCTGCTTCTCTGGCGTCTCTTATAGCTGTCGTTGATCTCTAACTAGTCGGGTATCCAAGAAACAACAAAGGTCTGAAGAGACGCCAGAGACTTCGAAGCGTCTCTTCAGGCCGTCTTTGCTCTATTAAAACCTATATTTTTATTTCGAAATGAAGCAAAGGTCAGCTTTCCCTTGAATCCCCACACACCCTCATGCAGAACGGACCTTCAAAAACGGGTCAGCGACGGTCGTTTCCAAGGCTTTGCGGACTTGGTCCCTGGAGAACCATTGGGCCGTCTCGAGCTCGTCAGGACACACGACTACCTAAAATGAAGCACTATAGCCCTCCGGATTTCTAGGTACCCTCCTTTTCTATGATACTCTCCCACTTCTAAACACTCTTTTCAAGTTTCTATGACGGTTAGACTGTCTAAAGTCGTGGCGAATCGACTCACTGTCTGCACTCTCCACCAACCAGTCAATGTTTCTTTCTTTTTTTCATAATTCTTTGCAGGACCCATTATTGGATGTCTCCATCCAATGAAAAGCGACCTCTTGATTGCGATCAGCTACCGCACGATGAGCCACCATCATGGAGCTGTCCGGCATGGGCCACGGCTGCGACATGTTCAGCTGCTGGACCAAGTGGGCGAAGATGCCGACTTCTTCGGCGATTTCCCGTCGCGCGCATTCGGCCAGCGATTCTCCGGTCTGTCGCCTTGTTGTTTTTCAAGAATGACATTCTGGACGAACATGAGCGAAGCCGGCGACGACAGTGAAAACGCCGTTGGCCGAGCCGCGGTGTCGAACCAACAAGCAGTTCTCGTTGCTCTCGTCGGTCACGATCGTGATTGCTACTGGGGATAGCTGAAAGATGATGAAATTGACGTGCTTGAAGTGATGTCTCTTTTTCAGAGATTCGTGTTAAGTCTTCATTCTTCTGTGGTGGTCATTTCCAGGATTCCACCTAGAGAACGGTCTCCTAGCCATACAAGATCCCCCACCCCCCCGATTTCAGTGAAGGTGGGATCCAGCTAATGTATGCTCCGGGCTCCAGCACAAATTCCGCTAGATTTTAAGCTCCTAAAGGCGCAACTAAATACACTAAGCGCAAATCAACGAGGCTAAAAGCCGTAAGACCACGATTTCAACTTGATCAACTACGCTTTTAACTTTCTATTTGTGTTTTAAATTGATCATATCGATTTGGGATGCTCACAGTAGGATAGTAGACCCGTTGACAAGTGACACACTCGGCTCCACTTTTACTGACTCGCATTTTCAACGCCGCCGCGCATTTCGGACAACGACGGTAGATGCTGGACCAGCGGGAAAGTGATTGAAACTGAAATTGCTTTCTTTTTTTTCAGTTTTAAAGTGTACGCAGCGTAAATGAATTTGAGACCATAAGAATATTTCTTTTTAAAAATTAGTTTACGCTGCGTGAAATTCTGGAATTGACCGATTTTTGCTTCGAAATTATATCTAACTGACCCGAGCCAATGAAAAAAATAAACCTTGGCCAACAAAAGCCGCTGGCGCTCATCATTCATCGCCAACATGGCCGTTCGTAAGCTCGTGAACTTTCCTGTATATAATTTTTTTTGTTTTTTTCAATTCATATACTTTTTTCGTATGTTTAAAAGTTTTTTTCGCGCCGCGGAATATGCAAATTTGAAATTTTGTGAGACGTTAGAAAAATTGGGTCCTACAACGAGATTGCGATTCTGACCCAATAGTTCAGAATTTTGCCTGAAAAATTCCCAAAGAATTTCAAATTTAGAGTTTTGCGAGCAAAAGTCGCTAACTCATTGTAGGGCCCAAACTTTTCTCAATGCTCCCAAAAGGTCAATTTCGCGTGTTTTACGGAATCACTTTAAAGCGAAAATTTCAAAAATGGGATTTTTCACGTCATGATTTGGTTTTTAATCAGAAATATCAAAGATGGCAACCTCCAAGACTTCCGCCAAGCTCCCCTAAGATATCCGTCTTGCTGATCGGACTATCATCCGGCATTTCAGCGGCGTCGATCGAGGTTCCGAATAAGGGAATCTGGAAATTTATATACTTATCTCTTTTTTTGATACATTTTTATATATACTGAAAGGAATTCTAGCAAAAACTTTTAAAAAAAAAATAGAAATGGCCGTGCTCCAAATGATCAAATTTATCTCTTGCTCTTGCTCTCATTTTTTCACTTTTCGGAGGTTATTTTTAAATTTATACTGTGAACAACGCATTGAGATGAGTGAAATGTACACAATTAGGATATTATTTGTTCAAAATAATCTTCCTCAAAAATTACAAGATCATTCTGAGGTCCAGGAACGGCGTCGAGAAGACAAGAATGGGACTGGTCGAAAATAAGTCCGTAGTCGCCAAGTTTCTTTCTCAACTCTAAGGAGAAAGGTAATTTTTTCCATTTCAGAATTACCGCTGACGCCGTTTTCAATCATTTTAATGTCTCCATCGACTTTCTGAACGAGCACCCGTTTATCGACCATTAGGAGGAGCCGTGATCGAGGAAATTCGCTGGAAATTGAAAAATTCTTGAGTTTCGTAATGAAAGAAAAATATATTGCTATTTTAATCGATCAACAAAAATCCACTCATTTCTTTTTCCGCGAAGCAAAGCAAAAGTCAATCAGGAGAAGGATACAAGCAGCTACCGTATCCTCCTCCCAAAAGACCTTTGTTCGGAATTTACTGAAAAAGATCGAAACACGGCGTTTTTTGACGACGCCCACTCATATTTCTTCCGTAAAGTGTAGTGTGTCGTGTGCATGCACTCCGGCGCTCTCGCACATGCCGTGTTCAAAAATTTTCTGTTGAAAGGCATAAAAAAATAAGTAAAAGCTATGAAAACCTGAAAAGAAATGGATAAAAATTCACGTGAACTCACAAACCTCTGCAAGGCGCTGTCCTGAAGCTTCCAATAATCGAGGAGCTTCACCTTTTCGACATAAGCGGCGCCGGACGAGCATTTCCTGATTTGATAACTCCGTCTCGCGCAGAAGCTGCCGACCGTCCGAAGCGTCGGCGGGTGCATACAACCGTCAGAACTCGATAAATTTCATTTCTCCGGTTCATTGTGACAGGAAAATCAAGTATATCGAATCCGAAGGTAATCGTTGAAAGTCTGAACTGAACAAGTGAAAATATGATTTATTCAGGCTACAAGAAAAGTACATAATGAGGAGAAGAAGAAATATAATTCGGGAAATAGAATACTCCGCAAATTGACACAAAAAATGTTTTTTGCACTTCAGAAAAATAAATCGATATTTGTCATTAGAGCGCGTTTGATTTTTTTTTTTCCGACTAACACGCCATTAATTTTATGGATTCTCAAAAATTTGTGACAAATTGTAGATGAATTTGTTTTCTCTATCATAGAAACCCGAAACGATTGCTTTTTGAAAGTAAATTGCTACATAATGGCAACATAAGGCAAAATATTCAAAAAAAGAAAGAATTATCACAAGAAACACATATTACAAGCTCGTAGATTTTGAGGAATCCGTTCTATATGATAGGTGAGGAGAGGTAACAAGAATAACAGGATATGAAGAAGTGAATAAAAAAAAGGTACAGGCAAAAGAGAAAAACATGATGATGATCAAATTGCGAATTGAGCCAACAAGTTTAGAACGCCGATGGCGATGATCCCGTAATGGAAGATGCGTTTTGGATTCGTAAGAGTTCCCAGTTCTTTTTGATTTTTGATGTAGACAAGGGAAGGCAGGGCGAACACGTAGATCAGACCGGCAACCGAGCCAACGTATCTGAAAATTAAATATTTTCAACTTTTTGGTCTCAAGAAAAAAATGTCATTACACTACCCAAAGTTTAGTGTATTGGTGTAACCACCGCGCGATTTGGTAAAGATTTTCAACACAGCTCCGAAAAACAAAAACTACCGTAACCACAGCTTTTTTTGAAGACTTCGTTTTGAAAAGTTTCTAAATTAGAATGAAACTGATCTTCAAGTGAAAATTCTTATTTTCAAAATCACAGTGAACAGAGAAATACTTATGAATCACAGAGTGGTCCCTATAGGAGCCGAAAAAGTGGTCCCCACAAAGGTAAAAATTCAAAAAAAAAAAACACTTATTTATTCAATTTTTTCGCATGAAACGGCGTCTTCGCATAAAGTACATAAAAATATCGATTAGCAAGTCCCTTATAGGGATCCCTTTTACAAGTTTTAGTGGTTCTTATAGAGATTGGTAAAGTGGTCCCTGGAGAAAACCCTCCAAGGGTCCCTAAAAATGCCCCTATAGGGACCACTCTGAAGTTCAAAAGTAGAGCTTACAGAAATCCGAAAAATGACAGATTTTGAAAATTTGTCAAACTCAAATGGAATAATCTGGTCACATTCTTTAAAAATATTCAGAAACCTTATCGCTTTTTTGATTTTACTAAGTCTTCTACAGTTGGAAGCCCATGTTTTTCTTGGTTTTGAAAAAAAATTTTTTTAAGGTGTTTTTTTAAAAAAATTTGTCTTCCTCATTGTTCTCAAAAAAATTCCAAGGTCTTATTTCTGTCTTTTTCGATTTTTCTAGAGCAGCTTCCAGTACAAGAAAACCCACTGGAATCAAAAATCTAGCCGGAAATTATTTCGGAATTAAAAAAAACCTCAAAATACTGCCAACGTTGGGGTAGAACGTGGCGAAGGTGACAGCGATCGCGATGAGGGCCAAATTCAAGCCGATCACTTTCCAAATTCTTCAAAAGAGAAATTAATCAATATTTAAGAGTTTACTCTGTACCCCGGCCAAGTGACGTTGTAAACGGCGTAAGAGAGCTGGGACCTGACTAAGAACATTAGAAGCGGCAAGACTGTGACCATCTGGAAAAGGAGGAAAAGACGAGCCGCACTCGACAAAATGTCGCCGGCGCCGAAGTTGTTCAGGAAGTTCTGGAAGGGATAAAATGAAGCCACTGAATGAGACTTTATAGTCAATTTTCGACTCAGAAGACGAGATGGACAGATTGGCAAGGATGAAGCGTTGCGTACGCGACGCGGCTTTTGGCAGAGAGCCCAAGTTCAAAAGCAGTCACGGAAAAAAAATATGGGAGAAAGAGTTGTTTATTGTTATATCTATTTTCATACAATTAACTCTTTTAAAACCATTGAAAATTGTTGAAGAACTGTCAAAAAAAGGAGAAAAACATAGAAAAAAGGCGGCTTGTGGAACTCAGAAAAAAGCGCGCAACCCGAAATCAAATTAAAAAGTATACTGGAGTTTCTAAAGTACCTATCAGAAAATTTTCCTAAAATTCTCAACCTCCATTTTTCGCCCTTACAGTCCTACAAAATTTAACCATTTCAGTTCAAACCTATCAACTTACATCACTGATACAGCTCCGTTGGACAGGAAAAGCTGCGAAAAACGTGACGCCGATGAAAACGTAGCAGAACGCGACCAAGGTGTACCCAATCGAAAGGTCTCGTCTCTGAAAAATTGGAACTATTTGATTTAGTTTTCCACGAAAAGCCGTCGCTATAGAAAAACTTTAAACAATGCAGTTTTTCATTTTTTTGGCTTTTGGAAGCAGACATCCAATCATGACATTTTTGTGTCCGAGCCTAAGCGACTTCCTTCTCATTTTAGCTACGGGACTTTTTAGCAGGGAGGCTAAGAAGAACCGCGACGCGACCGCAACTCGCTGTGCCATTCGTCGCGCCTCTTCAAGCTCCGGCTCATCAAACTCAAATTGAAAATTTACTATAGTCTGTGTGCCACGACTCGAAATTTCAGCAAACGACATTCCGCTGTTCCGCTGCGTGCGTTCGCGAAGCGCCTTTCGAATCTACGTCTTGCTTTCAATTGATCTTTATTGCTGTGGGAGCACATGAAAGTAGAGTACCTTAACAAAAGTAAAAAAAAAAAAATAAAAGCGCGATCAAGGTTCGAAAAGGCGCGCAGCGGCACAGCGGAGCGTCGTTACATGAAATTTCCAGTCGTGGCACACAGAATATAATCATTTTGATGCTTTCAGTTACTCTCTCAGCTGCAACCGATCTAAAGCGACTTTCATGTTAAAAATGCTTCGGGCTTTTGAGCAGTGAAGCTAAGAAAACAGCGCCGCGACCGCGACGCGTTGAGCCATTTTTCACCTCTTCAGGACTCTGGTCATTCGACTCACATCGGGTGGCTTGGCTTTCAAAATAGTCTTCTAACTCTCCTTATTTCAGTTACCCTGTCAGCTGCAACCGACCTAATACGACTTTCTTCAAACTTTAACCTTTTTAGGCAATGTTCAGAGCGACCGCGTCGTGTAGAGCCATTCTCTGCATCTTTTCAAGGTCTGGTTAATTGAAATCACATTTTGTGCTTCGGCTTTCAAAATAGTCTTCTAACTCTCCTTATTTCAATTACCCTGTCAGCTGCAACCGACCTACTACGTCTTCATTCTAATGTTGCCCTCTTTAAAAAGGCCGCACAGCGACCGCGTCGCGTAGAGCCATTCTCTGCATCTTTCCAAGCTCTGATTAATTAAAATCACATTTTGTGATTTGGCTTTCAAAATAGCCTTCCAACTCTCATTACTTCAGTTATCCTGTCAGCTGCAACCGACCTAATACGACTTTCCTTACCCTTTTCAACAGGGAGGTTTGAGAAAAACCGCACCGCGACCGCAACGCGTTGAGCCATTCTCGAACTTGGTTAATTCAACTCACATTGTTCTCCGGATACTTCTGATTCCTCAAAATGGTGAGGACAGCGTTGTGAATGAAGTAAGACAGGGTCAAGGTCCCACTGAGAGCCGGGAAATGCCAATTGAACACTATAAATGAAAAAGAAACTTTTGTTTCAAGTTTGAATCTCACAATTAACGTAGTGTATCGAATGAGGGTCAGTGAAATTCATGTTGCAGCCGCATTCGAGGAATTTCGAGAAGACGAAGACCAAGAGAAAAACGACCGACACTGAAAAAAAGTCTCGAAAATTTCAGAAAAATCCTTTTTTCGTGGTCGTGGATTTTCTCAGGAAAAACGTGAATTACGACCAATATTTCAAGAAATTTACTAAAAATGGAAACTTGGGAGAAAAATTGGAAGTCAGAAGCCTGAAGAAAGGCGCTGAAAATTTATTTTTTTCGATCATCTTTTTAAGACTTTTTGGGTTTTGTTTCCTTGTACAACCCATACATGGAAAAATTTCAATCTCAAAAAAAATCGAGGCGCTTCAAAGTGCGCTCCACCGACAAAATCTGTTAAAAAATACCTCTTTCAAATTTTTAACACGTGTTTTCTGGGCCCAATAAATTATTTTCATTTTTCAGGAAAAAATCTCCAATTTTTAATTTTTCAAAAAGCTGCAGTGTTGCATACTAAACTATCTTTGTCCCTTCAATTTTTTTGAAAATTCGACCTTGTCTCACAATATTTTTTCTATCTAAAAACTGAAGTTTCAATCTTTTTTTCTCATTCAACAGTCTGCCCATTTCCCACCCAGTTTACCTGTTCCAAGGACGTTAAACTTGGTGAAAAAAGTGGGCGATTTGAAGTTCATCAGTGGGAACAGTGCAATGGCGAGGAAGATCGGGACGGTTCCCTTGAAATTCGACTAATGGAAACATTTTTCTTTCGACAAGGAGAACCTGAAGAGTCCAGAAGCGGTCAAAGTTCCAGGCGGCGTCGGAGACTTCCTCGACGGCGTCCCAAAGTTGCTGCTCCCACTGGGGAATCGACTCCGACAACGCTTCGTTTGGACAATAGACTGTAATTTACTTAAATAAATCAAGAAAATTCACTTGCTGGGAATAACAACGAGAGAGTAATGAATCGCTGGAAATTGACTATAGTCGATTCACAGAAAGCTTGGGAGGCAAAGGGGCGTGGCCTGTCTGCACTCTCCATCAACCAGGCACTCTCTCCTTTTTCATCGTGTCAGAACCCATTTTTCGATGGCTCAAGCCAGCCGTGAGTCGGCTAGAAGACCTACTTTGATCTCATAGCTCTAACGCAATTTTTTTGAAACATCTTTTGTCATTCTAGGAAGTTATAACACCTCAAAAGTACTATTCAACCTTTTCCTATCTTGTGTCCTCAAAGCCCATACCCCAGCTGCTTTTGAAAAAATTGTAAATTAATTTTCAAAAATCCCATTTATTGAGTCCTTCTGACCGGTTATAAGTTTTAAAACTAAGACTCTGAGCTCTTTTTTTCACGGAATAGCGTTTGTTGAAACTAGGAATATGTTTCCCTTGGAATTCGGAAAATCAGAAGGTCGAGACTTTTAAGAAACCAAAACCTGCTCAGCTCAATTCAATTTAATGGAAACCCCTGAACATCCCTAATAAAAAAAAAGCAAAAATTGAGTTACACCGAGAGGAATTGAACCAGTGTACCTACTGTATAAAACTTTTCTCAATCGAAAAACCAATAAAATCACCATCACAAATGAAGGTCCTGTTTTCGAGTACAGGAATCGTGGTGCTGTTCGGCTGGAGAGCTTCTGAAAATACTTTAGTGAAATATCAACTACAGTATCTTAAAAGCTACCGTAAACGACGGCGCCAGTATAAAAAAGGAAATTGGACATGAGAACCCAATAAACGATGATTCCACCGACCAACACTATAGCCGAGAAGACGATCGCCGTCATTTCACCTGGAGACTTTTTCATTATAGTTCATTCTCGAATTAGTATAACCTGTCTGCGCTCTCTTTTCCCTCGCCGTCAAGGTTATAGAAACGTGAAAATAGTGTCGCCGAGGGAAAAAAGAGCGCAGAGATGTTAGAAACTCTTTATTTTTCCGCATAGAAGGGGCTCAAATTTTTACTATTTCAGTCTGACCAGTCTGCACCCTTTTTTCTCTCACCGCCAAGGTTATAGAAAAGTGAAAACAGTGTGAGGAAACAGGATAGTCGACGAGAGAGAAGAGGGCGCGGAGGTGTCGGAAATTGTTCATTTTTCTCGTATAAGAAGGCTTTTCTTTTCATACTTCCGTCTGACCTCTCTGCGCTCTCTTTTCTCTCCCCGTCAAGGTTATAGTAACGTGAAAATAGTGTCAAAAAGCTGGAGAGTCGCCGAGAGAGAAGAGGGCGCAGAGGTGTTAGAAACGCTTCATTTTCCCGCATAAGAAAGCTTCTCTTTTCATTCTATTTCAGAAGCCGGATCATTAGAAAAAAGGAAAAAGCTACATTTAAAACTTACAAAATGCCTTCAAAAATACAGGAAAAATCAAAAAATCACCTATCCGTCCAAAATAATACTTGCAGACGTCGCTGAACTCCGCCGCCGCCAAGTCTAAGCCAAGGTTCGGGGCTGAAATGAATTTTGAGGCGTTTTAAAATAAAAATAGTGGTATTACGGAGTTTAGCAGGACTTTCAATGATGATTAAGGCCGTGTAGAAGCAGAGGGCCGCCATTGCGAGCATTATAACTATTCCTCCGACAAGTCCGGCCTGAAGGATTTTTTCTTGAGGAAATGTTTGAGAAGAAACTACTATTCGATAATAAATTATTTTCTAACATTTTGAAAAAGGTGGTTTTCTCAAGATTTGTTCACCAAAACCACTAATTTGAAGCTAAAGAAACTTCTTGGAAGTTCTCTATTTTCATTCGGAAATAGATTTTTTGATAAACTTTCAATCATCTGCAGATGGTCTGAAATAATCATTCATAAAAAAAATTATTCAAAATTAATAAAAACGAGAGAACAACGGAGGCCTGAAGAGGCGCCAGAGAAGTCAGAGTTGCTCTCTTTCTCTGGCGTTTCTTCGGGCGACCACAGCTCTCTCGCTTTGTCTTATTTCTATACCGTAACCTGGTTACTGTAGTCGATTTTTGAGTTTGCTTATATATCTTAAATAAAGACTAGTTATTTTCTCTATCAGATTCCGTACAGGTGATATCTCAATAATCCTACAGTAAGACAACAACCTACATTGGAAAATACGGTAAAAATACTCTACAGTAAACCCTACAGTAAGACGATAATCTATAGTTAATCCTACAGTAAGACGATAACCTATAGTAAACCTTACAGTGAGACAATAATCTACAGTAAGTCCCACAATAAAACGATAACCTGTAGTAAATCCTATAGTAAGACGATAACCTATAATAAACCCTACAGTGAGACAATATTTTACAATAAATCCTACCGTAAGAAAATAATCTACAGTAAACCCTACAGTAAGACACAAAAACCAACTTGCTGAAGAGCCCACGGCATGGCGAGCAACGACGTGCCCATCATTGTGTTCCAAATCGAAAATCTGATAATTTTCTAGTTTTTTTTTCAACAGGAGAACCAGTACATAGTAACTATGCTGCCCTGCTTGCCGGACCGATCTTTGAGCTCTTCGAAGGGCAAAATTGAGAAAAGACCGGCTGGTATTACGTGATCAGGCATCGTCTGTAAATGTACATTTTTTTTTGATTTTTACATAAGAATAGTTTTATAACTTTAAATTCATTTCAACTGTTCTTTAAGCCGCTACAAGGTCCAACTCCTTCAGTGAGCTGAAATTTTTTTATGGCTAGGAGAAAAAAACTGGCGATAACTTATAGTAGTTCTACCACGAAAACGAAAAAGTTATTAGAAAAAAATCCTCGTATCCTTATTCTGGATAATAGAAAAAAAGCCTCAGAACTGTTTCAAATTAAATGATGAGTCAGATCATAGATTCTAACCAATATGACTATACAACATTAGATTCAGATCGAGAGTCGATTTTTTGAGATAAATCGGGATAAGCCGCTAGTTGGTTAATTTATTGGTTTCTTATAAACTGACGAAATGCTCTCCACCGGGATCGAGCCGATTCAGGAGGCGATATCGCAAAGCGTTGTTATGTTCGCGATGATGATCCTCCTCCGAGTGGAGCGACATCATGCTGTCTTCCCGAAGGCCTAATCCGCCTAAAAGAAACTCTATTTCGAGATTTAGAAGCATGGAGAAGGGGAGAAGCTGCCTGACTAATAATCTAAAAAATAAATTGAAGCTCCTCAAAAAATCGTTTCCCTTTAAATTCTCTGTAAATTGGTCATTTACAAAAACCCTGAAACCGACGCCTTAAGGGGAAAAAACCTTTCTTAAACCCCTTGAACTCTTTTTTCACGAAAAATGAGAATTTCTGAGACTTCGATTGTTTTCTTAAAGTGATATTTGTGCCAGTTTCCAGAAAAACCCCAGAGTTCCAATGACATCCATTTTGGGTAGTTTTTTTTTCACTTCAGCCAAACTAACCCGAAAATAAGTACGGCTGACGGCCGGCTCCAAAGCTCGACGGAGAAGTTGCCTTGAAAAAAATTGAGTAAAATAAAAGCAAGCATCCGTTCTATTTTTCTGAAGATCAGGCTCAAGATAAAAACTTTAAATGTTTGAAACTAGTGAAAATTGGCAAAAATGATGAAAAAAAGTACATTAAACTATTGAAATCACAGAGGTCCTCTACAAAATGTCCCACCAAAGCTTGAGAAGCTGACATGGTCCTTCTTCTAGTACTCGGCGCCCTCGGTCGTCGGTCCGTTTCGATCAAGGGCTCCAGGCTGGAAAAGATAATCTCACTTAGGAATTCCGGAGTGATCCCTATGGGGGTTAGAGGAAAGTCAGCAACTACAGCGGCCGAAAAAGTTACAATAATCGACCAGTATGTCCCCTATAAGGGCCACTAACTAAATCCCTATGGGGACCCCTTTTGTAGTGAAATTAGTTTCAAAATGATCCCTAGAGGGGACTCTTCAAGGGCCTCAAAGTTTGCCGGCCCCTATAGGGGTTCACAGAAATAATCGACTAGTATTTCCCCCAAAGGGGCCACTAACTAAAACCCCTATTAGGTCCCCTTTTGGGGTGAACGAAGCGGTAAAATGGTCCCTAGAGGGGCCCTCCAAGGGCCCCAAAGTTTGCCGGTACTTAAAGAAGTTCATAGCAATAATCGACTAGTATGTCCCCTAGAGGGGCCACTAACTAAAACCCTATGGGGACCACTTTTGCAAGCCCAGAGGGGACCCCCCAAGTGCCCCAAATTTCGCCCCTATAGGAACCACTGTGCAGTTTTTTCGAAATCAAGACAAAAATGGAGACGAACTCGTCATCAACGCCGATCGCGCCGTACGACGACATCTTGCTGGGCTTCAGACGGACGCCTCGGCCGTCTTTCTCGAGCAGCTGCTCGTAGCTTCGAAGGTAAGGGTACTGAATTGGGAAAATTTCAATCTTTTTTTGAACAGAGAAAAATAAAATTTAGAACTGAAATGAGCTTTCTTGGATCAACGGAAACTGGATATTTTCTTTTTGGATCTAGAATAATTTTGGGCATTACGCTTCGAAAAATAATGAAATTCAACATCAAAAGCAGGTAAAGCGTAATAATTATCCATAAAATTAGGCCCCGTAAATCGTGGACAAGAGCTGAAATTTTGCGTTGGAGCAAACTTGCTTTATTTCAGTCTTTCTTCGTCTTTTACAAATTCTCTTTGACAAAAGCCGACGCGCCCCGGACCTTTCTGAAGTGACCACTTTAGTGGCACCAGGACTCTTAAATGATTACTGGAAATGCCCAGAATCATCCAGGACGCTTACGACCATGAAAAAAAAACGTCTAGATGTCTTGAAAATGCTGAAGGAGCAAAAAAGGGTCCCGAAACGAGTTTTCTAAAATCCCCTCTGCGCCTTTAAAATGCCAAAGCCTTCATTTTGAACGTCTGACCACTACAAACTACACAAAAATCCAAAAACACTTTCATAGTTACTTTGAAATATAAACTTTGGGCTGAGTTTCTCCATTTTTCTACAAATCAATGATTATCCCGTTGTACGGAAGAAAGTTTCCCAGCTTTTCGAAAATCAATAAAATCTTCATTAAAGGCTTTTCCCAGTTAAAAAAAAAAAAAAACTCTCTATTTGATCCAGAAACAAGAACATAAACTACACTATCTTTTATTCCCAAGTGATAAGCAAGGAATAAATAAATATTTACGTGCTTGCACTGGATCGATTGATTTTTGGCGTGAAAATAAACAAAACGTGTGCAGAATAATTTGGTGCCTCTACTGGTTTACGTCATCAAAAATGCACGAAAAACTCATTTTTGTAACGAAAAATGTTTCTTTTTGAACAGTACAAGACAAAAAAGAATAGGAATTAACAAAATTGGACTAAAAATGACGATTTGAAAAAGTCAGACAACTGTGATGAAAAAAGAAAACGCGTGTAACCATTATCTAATCTTTGGGAAAGACGCGAAAATTATCAATTTCCTCGAAAATTAGGAGAAAATGGGTTCAAAGGAACATGAAGATTTGAGCCTTGAAATATAGTAAAGCGTGGGATTCCAACTAAATTTTGAAAAATTTGGAGGTTGCTCAAATTTTTTTCATTACATCTTTCAACAAGAAAAGCTCGCCAAATATGTTCAAAATGAGAAAAATCTGTCAGAACTGTCCCGAAATTTAAAGAAGCACTAGACTTTCAAAAAATAAGGCGTTTGAAACAATTTGCGACAAACAAAAGGTGACGTTTTGGGGATATTTCAATGGGAAAATTTTTTTTCAAATTCAAAGAATGGATTGATTCTATTAATATTGTCATGAAAAATGCGTAAAATTAAAAAAAAAAGGAGATTTCTCAATTCTGAGCTCTTCGATAAGTTAGAAAGACCAGAAACATACGGAAAAATGGAAGACTTCAGTAATATTTTTGAAGAGAATGAAATTTTCGAGAAAAATCCCAAAAAGTGAGTCATAATTTCACAATTTGTTGTTCGAAATCGTCTGCGACTTGTATCTTTCTATTTTTAGATTTTCGTCCTTTTTCCAAAATCTTACAGTTTCTGGGAAAGTGTTAGTGACCGCTTTAGAGATTTTTTAGTGGCCACTTTAGTGATTTTTTCAGTGACCACTTTTATGATTTTTCAGCGGCCACTTTAGTGATCTAGTTTAGTCTTGGTTGGTTGGCAAAAGCCTCTTAAGTGACCACTCAAGTTTTCCGCAGCTCAATTCTGAATTTTCAACTCACCAAGGTGCTACTTTTATACATGCCCTCGCAAATAGTACAGAAGGTGAATATCGCATGAGAAAACAGAAAAAATCAGTTCGAAATATTATTGAGAAGGTGGAATTTTCTACGCGTGATTGATGTCTATAAAAGGGCACGCCCACGCGAGAATCAACACAAAATTAACAAGTGCGACAAAAAAGAGCACCGATAAAAGCGGACAAAGGGTCTGCTGACATTGAATTCGGGTTCATTGGGACGCTTTTTGATGCACTTTTTCGGAATTTCGAGTCAAAATGCGTTTAATTTTGTCTTTTGATAACAAATTTAGATTGATTGGAACGCTTTTTGATGCAATTTGTCGAAAATTTGAGTCTAAATGCGTTAAATTTTGTTTTCTGGCATCAAGTTCGGTTCCATTGAGACGCTTTTTGAAGCACTTTTTCGAAATTTTAAGTCAAAATGCGTTCAGTTTTGTCCCCTGATAACAAATTTAGGTTGTTTGGGACGCTTTTTGATGCACTTTTTCGAAATTTTGAGCCAAATTGCGCTTAATTTTGTCTTCTAACATCGAATTTGGGCTCATCGAAACGAATTTTTGATTCACTTAATTTTTAAATTTGATGAAAACTGCGTTGAATATTGTCTCCTGACAACAAATTTTGGTGACCCTTTTTCGATGCACTTTTTCATAATTTTGAGCCGAAATGCTTCTAACTTTGTCCCCTTTTACATTAAATTTGAGTTCATTGGGACGCTCTTCGTTGCACTTTTTCGAAATTTTGAAACAAATTGGGTTTTCTTCTAACATCGAATTTGGGTCCACTGAGACCTTTTTTGATGAACTTTTTTATTATTTCGATCCCAAACGCGTCTAATTTTGTCCCCTGATATCGAAATTCGGTCCATTGAGACGCTTTTTGAAGCACTTTTTCCGAATTTCGAGCCAAAAAGCATTTCGTTTTGTCTTCTGACATCCGAATTGGACTCATTCCGACGTTTTTAAAACTGTTTTTTCTCAAAACTTTGATAAAAATTGTTAATAACCATAAAAAAAAAAAGATAATTTGCAAGCTCAAGAGCGATCCTAAAAAGAAAGAAATGGGAAAAGATACCCGAGGAGCTGAAAAGGAATAAAAAAAATTGTGAAAATCATTTTATTTAACAACATACCCATACAACAATCAATTAACAACAAAAAGTGACCAGAGCAAAAAAAAAGAAAACGGTGCTTTGAACAGCAAAAGATCACACATAAAATTAAACCCATAAAACGGCACAATAGTCAGAGAAATAAAAATGAATAAATAATAAGTTACGTGCAGGGATAGGAGTTCATTTTTCTCGCTTTGAAACGGCGGTGTGCGGAGCGGTCGCGGTTCGTTTTGGCGCCAAGTTGAAAATTATCTTGTTTTAGCTGATGTCTAGTGCCAAAGGAGCTTTAAAAAAAGAGTCGATGTGAACAATTGAATTCTTCAACAGAAAAGCTAAGAAAATTCGAAAATTTAAATTTGGCGCCAAAAACCGAGCTTGTTGATAAGACGGGCCGCCCTGGGCACACCCGACTCGTGCATCAGTCAAATATACCGTCGAAGGAGCTTTGTTACCGATTTTCTGTTTAATTTTCAAATTTGCGGGTCGTCCCGGGCTAACCCGACTCGCGCAGCAAATATATCGTCAATGGAGCCATTCTTTCTACATTTTCAACTTTGCGGGTCGCCCCGGGGCAGCAAATCAACTGCAAATACCACAGTTTTCAAGCCGAGAAAAATGAACCATGATGAGTGAAATGAAATGAAATGAATAAGTTATGTTTCAAGGTTATCGCTCATGATCATGAGAATGAGTGAGGACCAGCCGTTGAAGGGATGCGATCCACGACCCTCGCCGGTCCGGTCGTCGTAGTTCTCCCAGATGTAGCCGGTCCGGTTGAACTGCTGCAAAATTTCACGTTTTTTGGCTCCCTGGAGCTCAAACTCACATTGGCCATATTCCTGACCAGATTAGCCCTCAGCAACTGGAAAATGTTCTCGGCGTCAGATTGGTAAGGTCCAGGCTGCAGGGCGTAGTATTTCAGGGCGGATAGGGTCATGTAGTTGATGTTGATCCAGATGGCGCTGAAAAGTTTTCGTAGTTCTCATCGGAAAAATTCAAAATTCTCTAAAACTCTCTTTTGATATCCTGTGGTTGTTTTGTTAGCAAGTTTTTCTAGCATGTTCGAAGTTTTTTTTTCGATTCCTTTTGAGCTTAAAAATAGTCCTGCACCTGTTCATCCTACACAGACAAAAAATTAAGAAATTAACTTCCTGAAAAATAATTATAGGGCTTCTCTGCGCCCTCCTGGTCTCTCGACGACTCTCTCTTGTTGACGCGCTATTTTCGCGTTTCTGTGACCTCGCCGGTGAGGGAACAAAGAGACGCAGACATTCAAAAACTGTCAAGTCGCGGCGAACGGACTATAGTGCCGATGAAAAAAGGTGAGAGGAAGCAGAAATCAGAGGAAAAAAGCATTTTTAAAGCTAGAGAGCACTGCAAAACTAGAGAGCATTTAGAGAGGAAAAAAAAAATCTTTTTGAGCACTTTAACTTTCGAAGTTTCAAGCCCAAGTTTTCATGAAGTCCCAACTCTTAAGCTTCCAAACAAGCCCTTTTTTGAAGACAGGTCATGAAAAAACCTAGCAAAAATGAATGTCTAGATACAGTTCTCAAAACAGCATTAAAGCGGCTTTTTCGCGAAATACTCAAGGTTTTTTAGTGAAGCCGCAAACTAGCCCACCCTCTCCAGTAAGGCGGGTCATGTTCGGTGTTTCGGGCCTGGTAGTAGGGTGATCTGGTTGACAGCGACCGTAGGCCGAATTCCGTCCAGAGTTCCTTCGGGTCGCGGATCTTCTCCAGCGTCAGTTTCAGATATTTCGAGTTGGCGGGTAGTAGTCGCAGCATCAGCGGGAAGAGGCTGTTGTAGCCGAAGACGTTGGAGACCAGCTGGAGTTGTGGCGCATGTGATGTCACTCTGAAGAGGAAGATATTATGAGCTTCTACGGATTTCATCAAGTTTTTCGTTCAGTTCAAAAGAAAGTTCGTAAAAACCTCGGAAATTTTTTTTTCCAATGGTCTGACGTCCTTACAGACTAAGAAAACTCACACTCAGTAGTTCAAATATATTTTCTAAAATGTTCAAAAAACCATGAAAATCTTGAAAAAATATTAAAGCGGAGAGTCGTTTTCAGTGGTTTTTTGGTATGGGAAAAAAACCGTAAAAAATCGAGCTAATGAAAAAATTGCCGTGGAAATTGTTTTGAAAGTGCGCTCCATGGACAACTTATTCAAAATTCGTTTTTTCAATTTTCTGAACTTCGGAAAGAAGTCGTGTCAAGATATTTTATCCTTTCAAAAACTTAGGAAGAAATTCTTAGCAGACTATGTGACTCTGAATCGCGAAATTTCTCATCTTCTGATGACGTCATTTCAAAGAAGTGTGAGACATCGATCAAGTGAACACTGGAGTATACTCAAAAGCTAAAAATCGATTTCAAACTTCGCCATTTTTTTAAAACTACCATTAAAAATGACGATTTTCAAATCTAGTTCCAGATTTTCTTCTGGATATGGCTCCTCCCTCACCTCTGATATTCAAAATGGCGTTCTTTCGAGGGCGTCGGAACACGGGCCAGCGCCACACTCATACTGTGCTTGCCATAGTCACAGAAAATCTGAACGCCCAGAAATAACTTTGGGCAAAAAGTACAGGAAAACGGACGCCTGCCGGCTCGCTCCAGTGCATCTTGACGAGCTCGTCGAGGTCGGTCAGTTCCTCCCGCTGTTTGGCGTACTTCCGATGTTCGGCGTCGGTTCCATAGAGTTTAGAAAGCCGTTCCATCACCCGGCCGCAGAGGGCCAACCAGCAGCGGAGGTCGAGGTGCAGCTCCTGGAATTACGAGAAAACTGTGACACTTTTTAGATTCAATTAAAGTTCGCAGCTGCACCTGAAGAACTGGAGTCAAGTCTAACCCTTCGAAAGCTAGAGAACACTCCTAAACAAGAGAGCTTTTAGAGAAAACAATAACGCCTCGCTTCTCTTTTTCGAACGCTCTCTAAAATTCAGACGCAGTCTTTTGTTATTATCATCATCAATGGTCTGACATGTCTGCGCTCTCTCTTCTCTCACCAGCAAGGTAATTAGAACAAGAATTTCACCTAACCATGAAAATGTCTTCGAAAAAAAAAAAAAGAGATTTTCAAATTTTCCACTTAACATAAGTGAGAGCCTATTATGAAGCTTTAAAAAAATTTGAATCAACCAATTTTTCAATTTTTTTTTACGTATCACAGTAATGGTCCGAGAAAATGTTTTTCACGCCAAATTCGAGCGATTCTTCAGCGCACCCGACGACGAACTACTTGCGCTCAGAAGTATTCTAACATATCAAAAGAAAGTATCGCGGTGTCGGGCGCAGCTTCAACTTTTTTTTTTCCAAAAACCAACGCGACCGAAACGCTTTGTATAACTTTGAGATGATTCACTTCGCTTGAGAAACCAAACAAAAGCTCAATTTTTTTTTACCTCCACGGACGGATGACTGGCTCTCGGATAATCGTCCAGGCCAGACGCCAACGTCTTCGGGTTCAGCTCCATGTAGGTTTCCGCATTCCGGCCTCGCCATCTAAAAAAAGAAGCATTTTCTCAAGCATTCTTGCGGCGGCAAGAGCACGGACTGTTCGCGGTCAGATATCTTTCCGTGGTTGCTTTTCGAAGAGAAAAAAACCGGTGGATCTGCGAAGAGCCGATGAAAATTAAAGGTAGGTGAGTTCACAGAAAAACGGTCATGGGACGTTTTTTCGGTGGCCGATTAAAATTTCAAATGAAGCTTGATTAAAGTGTACTTCTGAACCACTTAGTTTTCAAGCACAAAGTAAAAATTTTCGCCACAGACCCATACATGGGATGAGCATGTCTGGCGACAGCCAAGTTTCTTTTTGCCAACCCCCAATTTCTCGTTTTTTGCCAAGTCCCCCAAATTTCGTTTTTTGGCAAGAAGCCCCCCATTTCTCGTTTTTTTGCCAAGTCCCCCCAATTTCTCGTTTTTTTGCCAAGTCCATATATATAAAACTGAAATTTTGAAGTTTCCTCAAAAAACGCTCTGGAAAAAGTCTAGAAAATGGCAAAACGACACAAAAAAAAGGTCATAAAATGTTTTTCCAAAATAAATATTCAAGAAAATTTCGGTTAAACTTGCAATTTTTGAACCTTCTCTTCATACTCTTTCAGGACAAAAGCCGTAAATTTCAATTTTTTCTCAGAGGTGACAGTTTCGAAACTCAATAAACCAACTCAAACTCAATCCGGTCAAATGGTCCATTTGAAACGTACCTATAGCCGTTTTTCTGGCTGCCCATCTGGGAGACGCGTAGCCAGGCGTTCCATTTTTCTAACCGCGGGTAGATTCTCGCCAGAACCGGCCCATATTTGGCTAGAACCTAGAAAATTTCATTTTTTTAGATGAGTTTTTCATTTTTCCAATACTTTTTTTCATCATGGACAAGCTTATCGATGACGTAAAAATAAGCTTGGCGGGTTGGCAATGTCGAGTTTTTTTGGATGATGAACTCGGTGGGAACCTGGAAGTGTATTTTTTTCAAGGAAAAGTTTTTTTGAAATTATTTTATTACTTTCGCTTCAGCTTCGGGGCCCAAAAATCATTTCGCGAGGCATCCAGCCGCCTTTCTCCATCGTATTTATCCAGGAAACGATGATCTAAATGGTTTTTTTAAAGAAATAAATGAAATTATTGTATTTTTCTCGTTAAAACTTGATTATATGACACTTTTTTTCGATATAGGAAGATTCCAAGTTATTACTAACCCATGAAATTTTTCGATGAATGAAAAAAAACCAGCCCTCTTGCCTGATGTCTTGAACCACTTTTGGAAAAAAAATGTACCTTTTATCATTTTTTTAAAAATCTAAATTTTTAACTAAAGTCGCAAAAAAAATTTTTTCTCTCACTTCCAAAAATTTCTCCAATAAAATGCCATACTCGAAAAAAACGTTAAGATGAAAAAAATTTCATATCTGAAAAAAATCTCAAATATTTTTTTGAAAGAAATTTTTTTGAACATATTTCTTTTTTCTCACAGAAATTGCCAATGTTAAAAAGAGTTTTAGAATGAAAAAAAAACTGTCAAATCTAAAAAAATCCAATTTTTGACTGTAAATTTTGGATCCCCGTCATACAACATACCCGTCATACAACATACAAGTCATACAAGGGGGCGGCATAGCTCAGCTGGTAAAACTCATTTCTAACGTCCGCGAGGTCGACCAAGCCTTTCATCCCTCCGGGGTAGATAAATTTGGGAGCTGCATGCAGCGAAAAGGCTCAATCTCTGCCATCGGCCTTTGGAAAGCCGGCACCGTACTTCTTCCTACGACCTCTCTTGTACCGGATGTTCTACGAGCGAAATTCACAACTTCTCTGCCTAAGCCACAGCTCCTGCCGCCGTTTAAACACAGTTAAATCAATGAAAGTCGATTGCACATGTATTCTTACATTGAAGATGCAATGAACAGTTTTTTTTTTAAACAAACAGTTTTTCATACAAGCTTTTTTTTTTACTTAACCTCCGACTAATTTTAATTTTTTCGAGATCAAAAAATCGTAAAATGTCGCCTAATAGCTTACATTAAAACGGAGAGCTTTTTTCACTATTTCAAAAATTCCAGCAAAAAAGGGACCTCAAGACAAAGTCTCGGGTCGAACTTCCGGATGAGCATCGTGTGGAATCCCTCGTCCCACAGGAATCCTCTCGGGAAGAACGGCCTAGAGGGGACGGCGGAGAACAATTGTTGGGGTCCGTACTCATAGATGCCGTGCGAAAAGTTCACCTGAAATATAATTCAATTTTTTTTGGAATTTAATTAAGGTGGATAGTACCTTATTGTACCCGAAGGAGTATCCGATACTCCCGAGCATGTTCGACAGGGCGACTTTTCCCATGTCCATCTGGATCGTCGTGTAGTTCTGAGACACAAAAAATACATAAAATACAGAAAAGGAAGGAAAAAGGCATAGAAAAACAAAGTATCAGAAAATAAAAGGTCCCTAAAATGACTAGTCAGATTTCAAGATAAAATCAAGCGACAGTAGAATACGTACAGCACCGTCAGAAAAAATACGAAAACACAGAATTTTGGTCACAACTTTCTGGAAAGGAATTCCATCTTTTTGAAAATTTCTGGAGTTGTTATAATTGCTAATTCCAACACTCTGATGAAGTTTCAGTTCACAGAAAAAAAACGTAGCTTAAAAAACTTTCAGGAAGATTGAATTCTTTACAAGACCAAAGTTGGTTTTTTTCGTATCATTTCTGACGATAGTCTTTATAAAAAGCTATTTTTGAAAGAATCTTTGGTTTTCTCTATTTTTCTTGATCAAGTAACATTTCTCTATGCTAAACTAGCCGGTAAATCACTATATATCTTTCAATTTCAGCTGTAAAACTTATCAAAATAAAAAAATTATATATTTTTAAAGTGCAAAATAGGAAAAAAAGACCTTCAGAACTGAAAGCGTCTGAATTTTTCTCTCGTACTTTCCAAAAAGAAAAATTTTTCCGATATATTTACCATTTTTTTGGTCGAAAATTGTGGGGATTCAAACTTCAAACAATTTTTTTGAATCTGAAAAGTCCTTGAAATCCCCCTGCAAGAAAAATGATTATAGCAAAAATCCCCCCCTCCATCTCAAAAAAACTACAGGCAAGAAATTTGAAGAAACCCCCCCCAAAAAAATCCTTAAAAAGCTACTTTACAGGAGGGAATTTTAAAGAAATCCCCCAAATGATCCAAAAAAACCACCTTTCAGGCGAAAAATTTCAAAAATATCTCCTCATTATAGTAAAAAAAGCCCTCCCCCTTCCAAAAAAATCCTCAAAAACCACCTTCGAAGCGAGAGAAAAAGGCGTTTTCAAACTTCTTCTCGAATTCTCCAGCCCTTCTGGCCAATTCCTTGTCGAACTTGTCGTTCTGCGCCGGCTGCCGAGCTCCAACCCCAAAAAGAGACATTTTAGAGGAGTTTCGTGATGTGGTGAGATACTTAAGAGACACTTCCAAGTCGACGGAATTCTCGATATTCAGCTGGACGGCGACAAAGTTTCCCTCGGTGGCCGCGTGGTTTTCGTTGAGGACGAAGACGATTTTCTTGTCTTTTTCCATGGCTTTCTTGAAGGGAATTTCAGTTTTTTGGGGAAAATCTACAGGAAAAACCGTGTTGGACAGGATATATTCGTCGAGTTTGTCGAGCATCAAATGATCGTCCAAAAGGAGGGTGGAGTGAGAAATACTGTCCATTTTGCTCGAGTCAACGGAGACCTACAGAAATATTCTTTATTGAATCGAATGATCTCTTGAAGAGAGTTCCAATATTTTTTTTCATAAAAAAAAGATCTCTTGATTCTGATAAACTTGCTTATAATGCGTTTTGAAAGCCTTTTATAACTAAAAATGAAATTTTAACTTTATTAATAGACGATAATCCTTTCGATTGAACTTTGTGAATTGGAAAAGGTTCTACCTAAAGCTTTGAAAATTTCAAAATATAGCCCACGAAAATTCAAAAGAAAAAAAACAGATTGTCTCTAAATTCATATACTTTCTTTTTAAAAACAATCTGAGAGAAATTATTTTTATTTTTAGATTTTTTTCTCTCTAAATAGGAAAAAAATCCAATTTAACTGAAATTCCTAGTGATAAAATGTCTATGTGAAAAAAATAGAGCGAATATACTTTTTTTGGATTTATTTGTTTTTTTCTTCTTTGGCAAATTTCAAAAAAAAAGCAAAATAAAAATTTCAAGCTAAAAAAGTGAGTGAAAAAAAGCTTATAGCAGAAATCACCTAAAAAAAAAATCAAAAAAACAAAAAAACTTTCAAGAAAAATATTCTTCCTGAAACCCATAAAAAACCAAAAAATCTGAAAATCCCAGAACATACCTTCAAATCGCCGAGATAATCACTGGTTCCCTTGAAAATCTCGCTCAAGTGAGTCCCAAGGCCGAATCTCGCATTGGAGTACTGAATATGATCTCTTTTCGGAATTAATATTATTTTCAAACTTGAGAAACGAGGTAGAAAATGACGGAATAACGCCGGCCCTTGAGCATATTGAAACTGATACGCGCCGTGAATCCGCCCTTGTCGTTGATCCAATTCGTTCGGATTGGCCCCGTTTTTTCCGTTATATTTTGCATCCCGAAACTGCGCCCGTCGGCCGCCACCCAACCATATCGGGAAATTCCATCGCCTTAATATTGGCGGTGAAAATCGAAGTTGAGCTTGAAATAATTATCATTCCATTTAAATACATTTCCTTTCTTCCCTGACCTCTAAAATTCATCTTAAACGAATGGAGGGCAGGAATAGAGCTCATTTTTCGCGCAAAAAAGTTTTCCTTTTGATAAAAATAATGAGAGTGATGAAAATAAAACGAAAAAAAGCTTGCCTCCAGGAGACCATGATAACAAGATAGAGCCCATTTTTTAACGCGCCAATTTTTTTGATCAATATAAAATAGCAGAAGAAATTTATTCAAGATAAAAGAGCCCTGTCTTCATTAACGATGACGTTACTCAAATTTCCGCTAACCACTTTTTTTTCGTTCAAATCGAATCTTCATGGGATTTCTTATACTTATATGAAAAAAAGATAAAATAAAATGGAAAAAAAGCCTCGTCTTAAGAAAAACCATGATTAGAAGATAGAGCCCATTTTTGAACGCAAAAAGGTCTTTCTTTACCGAAAAAATAAAAGAAAAGTAATTTTCCAGAAAAAAAAGCTTTGCCTTTAACAATGAAGTTACGCAAATCTTCCCTCAACATGAAATTTTTCGTTCGAATCGAAACTCAGAAGAATTTAAAATCTTTTGAAGGTTCAAACCTCGATTTTTTTCGAATTTCTGTTAAAAAAATCAACATAGCCTCTTCTTTAGAGTTGAAAAACTCCTGAGCTCCTATCTTCCAAATGAAAAAATATACAATTTTACAAGTTAAAGTTTTTAAAATTCATTATAATCGAGTCAAAACAATTTCCAATAAAAAAAAAATCCACATATTTAAACTCAAAATTGTGCTCAACAGCGCCCTGAAGTTGCTCCGAGACATGACATTTTTTGAAAAAAACTTTATTGGCCTTATTAATTCCTTAAAAGTGGCTCTTCTTTTTAAGACCATCATTATATTTCTGCCTATGTTCCTTTAAACAGTGAAAACCTTGATTGCACCAATGCCGGATAGCGGGCCTGATAACAGCATCCGGCTGTTCATACCACATCATTCCGAACAACGGCGATTTCGGGTCCCGTGTCCTCAAGCCAAAGTACATGTGCGACCGGTAGGTTCCCCAAAGTTTCTGGAAAATCGTGAACTTCCCGAAAAATTTAAGAAAAAACTGACATTGTCATAATCCGGACCTTTAATCGGAGGCAATTTATCGAGTGACGGCGCCAGGGTCACATACAAAATCATATAAGTGAAGCCGAAAAGGACCGTGAATATCAAAACGATTGCTTCCCATCTTTAACAAAGAATATTTTTGAGGAAATGATCCATTAATTAAGGACCCAAAAGTCTTCTTTTTTCTTCTCGATGGTGGCGCCGGAATAATCGCTGAAGGAGTTTCTAGATTTTGCTTCCGTCTATAAGGTGTGGGTCTCCTGTCTGGTGGCATCTGAGAGATAGTTTTAAAAACCATTTTCTTTTAAATAAAACATGAGGAATCGCGTGTTTGAAAAAAACGAATATATGTTGAGGAACGGAAATGTAAGAAAAAATAAATGTCGACAGCTGGATAGTTTGAGAAGCCGGAGCGAAAAACAATGAAACGAGAAAGTTGAAAAAAAAAAACAATAATTCTAGTGCGAACTCCACAAATTCGCCTTAACTTTTTTGATCTCAAAACGATCCTTGATCTATTTGAGTTATTTATCTCTACCTAATTGATGTTAAAAGTTCGATAAAGCTTTAAATATATAGGAGGTCAAAGGGAAAATCGACGGAAACTGAGAATTGAGAAAAACAAAACAAAAAAAAGTCCTCATCAACTTTCTTGAGCTGGGATTCTTGACAAATCATCCGATTTAACATGCGATTAATTTTTTTTTTTTCAAACACTGGAAAAAGACCTTCAAAAATTTGGTTTAAACTCAACTAAAAAAACAACACACCTTAAAAAAATTAAAAAAAGTAAAATTCAAGGATTTTTGTTGATTTTTTTCCAATTTGATCAAACGTTTCCTGGCGATATTTTTACTCGAAAAACGATTCCCAGCATCTCAATACTGTATTTTTGAAAAGCTGAGTGAATATCAAGTACATATCACGTAAAGAATAGCAAAAATTAAAACAAAAAAACTTTCAAATATTTACGTCATGCATCATTTCGAGGATGTGCACTCGCCAAACTCGTCCACAGTAACCTTTTGTTTTTTTCAAAAACCAGGACTCGCAAAAAACTTCGTTGTTCGAAATCATGCAAGCAAATGAAGAATGAAATGAAAAAAAAGCGGGTAAGAGACAAAAAATAAAATGAAGAAAAGCTCAATAGCGGACACGAAGAGCTCGTTCGAGGCTTGTAGCTTCGAGCCGTCTTTTTGGGTCAACGGGTCCCCAATCGCCAGTTGCTCGGAACATTGTCTAGAAAAAGCTCGATAAACTACCATTTTATCCAATAATGAATGGTAAAATTTGCATATTTTCATTAAAAACCGTAAAAAAGTGAAAATTCAGAGCAATTTTTTTAACGTTTTGAGGATATAAAAAAAGTAAATTTTCGAACCCAAAAGTTCAAAATTTTTCTATTGAACGATAAACTCGAATAAAAATTTTAAAAAAAACTGCATGTTTAACATGAAAACTGAGCAAGAAAAAAAAGAATGAAAAAATATCGATAAGAATAAATTTGAGGAAAACAATCGAAGGTTTTCGATTGTCCTTTCATTATTGTTGAAAACGGAAAAAAACCAAATGCCCTCCATAAATTTTTAGGCGTGTTCAAATTACGAAAAAACATCTGTCGGTCAGAGATTTATTGCTCTGAATGGACAAATTTAATGAGAATCTCAAGGAAAAAAGCCTTTTTTTGGGTGATTTAAATGTCAATGACTGTAAAAACATATAATCTTTTGAAGGAAAAAAAGCCAAGAATTGTCAAAAAAATCAAAAATAAAATTTGAAAAAAAGCCAAAAAAATTCACAAAAAAATTACGTAATTTTTCAAGTTTTTCTTCACCTTTTTTTCTCAAAAATTTCTTTGAAAAAAATGAATAATTTTTCAAACTTTTTCAGAGCATCTTGATCTCGTCCTACTTTTACATTTTTGTTCAAAGAAAGATCAAAATCATCAATTTCAACAAAAAAATCAGTGTCTTTAAACAAAAAAATTAATCATAAAGTTCAACTTCAAACGTCAAAAAAATAAAAAAATAATACAAATAATACAAATTTACCCGAAAAAAACACGAAAAACCCACTCCAAACGGCTCATTATTGCGGCGTCGGTCGACATCTTTCAGGATAAAGTAGATGATCACCCAGAGCGTGGCCAACGACAAGACGACCCAGCCGAAGATCTCGATTTCGAGGGGGTAGCCCAGAAAATCGGGCGCATTGTGGCCAAAGGTCATGATAACGCAAACGAACAACGCCTCAAAAAATATGTTTTTGATCTCAAAATTTTCCTTAGATCAAACTACAACTCACGAAAAGGGACACCGGCGTGATGATGACCCAATTGACCCACCAGAAAATGTTCAAAGGACCAGACCCGCCGATCATCGCTCGGATGTTTCTGTAACCTTTTTTTCAAGGTTCACTCCATTTTGGAGTATAGTCTATTCCGTCTCCGGGGCTACAATACTACTCAAAGACCTTAATTGATTATATAGTGTACGGTCACGTTTTTTAAAGCTACAGTAAACCCAGCTTTTTTTGGGCTTTCGTTTCGAGACCTTTCAAAAAAACTGAAAAACACTTATTTTGGAATAAAGTGTATTCCGGCTCAACTCCGCCTCCGGGGCTACATCACTACTTAAAAACCTAGATGAATTATACAGTGTACGGTCACTTTTTTAAGCTACAGTAAACCCAGATTTTTTTGCGCGCTTTCGCTTCGAGACGCTTAAAAACTGAAAATACCCCATTGTTCAGCTTCAACTCGGTTCCGGAACTACAGTACCTTTTGCGCGTGACGATGATCCTTTAATAGCGCTACATTTTCGACTTTTTTGAAGATATTCGATCAAAAAAAAAACGTAGCTCTATTAAAGAATCATAACTAATCGACACGAAATGGTAATTTATCCGCAGGGCGGAGCTAACTATTAGAAATCCAAAATCTAAACAGATCGTATAGTATATGTGACAGTAACGTTTTCGAAGAAACTTCAAAAAAAGCTACAGTAATCCCAACTTTCATGTGAGCATTCGCGTCGGGACGCTTCAAAAACTCAAAAAACACGGATTTTGAAGCGAATCCAGCACCAAACGATATGGTTTTTTTCCCTAGAAGGCTATATAAAGAAAAAAAGAAGGATATATATATTTTCCTGTATAAAAAACGTGACAAGCTTTCGTGAAAAGCTTATAAAAGTCTTTTGAAAAGACAGAAAATTACACAGAGAAGCGTCGGAAGCCGTAAAGATGGGCTATTGTGATGACTTCGAGCAAAGCGACGAGGATCGTACCGTAGGAGGCGTACTGTTCCATCATGATCATCATATAAACACCGCCTCAAAATATTCACTTATAGCCGCCATTGACTAGGTATTGAAGCTGAAACGCAATTCGAAATCCAAAAAAAATCTAGATCCCTTTGGGTGACAGGAAAACACTTTAAAACGTGCAAAACGCTGGTAGTTCTCGTTCTAAACTTTCGCTTTTCGAAGTTCAAGGTCTTGAAAATCTTGGACCAACAGGTCTTACAGCTCTTCATGAAGCTGCTTCTTGACGCAAAAAGAAGCTTTAAATTTGTCATTTTGACACCTAAAATGGTTCAAAACTGACAAACGTTTTCTCAATGTTAGGCCGTCATGAGAAAACGAGTTAAGGTTGATATTTCAATCGATCAAAACCTACCAGTGGTCAGGAAAGGCAGGGAGGAAAGAAGCCCTCCGAGGACGAGGCCGGCGATGATCAAAGCCCTTCGGCTCCAGGTCGTCAACGGCTTTCCGTACATGCGGGAGCCGCCGTTGATCCGTTCGACGATCATCGAGGCCACCACCCAGATGTAGGTCGCCTGGAAATGGAATCGAACATCCATTGGGAGTCGTTGGAACTCGCCATTCCCTGAACACCCGCTATAAATCCAGCTGAGAAGAAAAGCAAAATCGCGATCCATCCGAAGTTCCAGGTCGTGAAAATCTGAGAAACGTGTTGGTTCGTGCTGGGCTGTTTAAAGGAGTATGGGCTTGATTGATAAAGGTCTCGGAGCGAAAAATGGTTTTTAAAGAAGCCACAAAATCGGCAAAACTTCGGAAAATACTCAAAAATAACTTCGAAATTCGGTCAATTTTTCAATTCAAACTTCAAAAAGCCATTGAAATTTCAGCTAACGAGCATTACTGCAAAAATTTTTAGTGGCCATTATAGTAGTCAAATTAACGGTCACTCAAGGGCTTAAAAATTAGTGGCCACTATAGAGGTCTAAGTGCTACTACAAGACCACTAAAATTTTCAGTAGCCACTTTAGGGGTCAACGGATCAACATAACTGGTTAAATCTGGTTGTTTTAAAAATATCAGAGTTACTGGAAGGAATACTGAATGAAAAACTACTGAAGTGGCCACTAAAACGGAAAATATTGGTCACTATAGAGGTGGGTTCAGTGGCCACTTTAGTGTCCTCTCCAAGTAGTCCTTGGTGAGCCTCTATAGTGGCCACTAAAAATTTTTACTATCATGAATCACAGAAAACATCAAAAACTCAAAACTGAACCTCAGGAAAGGCTCCTTGAACTGTGAGCGGCATGGCGAGCAGGTGAACCTTGTAGATCAGACTTCCGGAAAGGTAGAAATACGCTGAAAAGGCTACTAATCAACTAATTGATCAATTCTAATTACATGAAAGATGGGCAAGGACACAGTACGAAGTGATGGCGATTAAAATGTGAAGAAAGTAAGAAACAAGAGATATCAGAAGGACATCCCGATGGAACTTTTGCTTGAACTTGTTCAGCGAGGCCATTTTCTGCATTCCTCCACAGGCGACGCTGAAAAAGTGTCCAAAATAGCTGTAAAGTTCATGAAAGTTTGCTCTAATGAACTAGGTCTCTCTCTTCAGCACTAAAGAGGCCTCTTAATGGCCCAGTATCATCCGAAAATCCTGATGCACTAATGCAAACCGGACGTTTCCAAGAAACTCTAGGGATCACTTAAGAGTGCTTTTTCCGCTAAAGTGCTCCCTGGAAATTCTACGTGCGACCAGAAAGTTTCAAATCTCATAAAAATAAAAAAAAGGTTCATGCGTTGCGGTCGCGCTGCGGATCCAGTTGAATTTTTTATCCTAACGTAACTTTCAAGTCGCTTCGCTACCTTCTCGCTTCGAGCCATTCTCATTGCGACCAGCTACTTCCAAAAAATTACAAACTTGAGAGAACGCAAGGCGTGCGCAGCGGCGTCGGCCCAGGCCGAAACGTCGTGTAGTTCATCTGCTGTTTTGATCTTCGCGAAGCTGAAGAAGGCCAGAAAGCCGTCCATGGCATCGCTCAGAGTCAAGGCTTGAAAAAGTCAAGTATCACCAGAAAAACATGTGAAAAAAGCGTTTATGAGAGCAAAACCGAATCTTGGAAAAAATATTGAGATCCCCAAAAAATGGACCTAAAATGATTTTTAGAAAAAAAGACGTCCTGAACACGTAATTCCGCATTTCATCTGCCTTTTAGGGCATTGAACATCTACAGCCGATTCCATTTTGAATTTGAAAGATTCTCGATTCAGAAGCTCGAATCTAAACTCACAAGTGACGAAAAGCAAGACATAACTCGAGGCGAGAACCACAAATGCAACCAATCCGGATTTGCCGAGGATCTAGGAAATTTATTCATGATTCTTTATAAATTATGCTGAAAGATACTTTGGAACCGCCCATCGCCAAAAAAGCCACAATCAACCAAACGACAATCGCGCACATGATGAACGTTGTCTCGGGCGGTTGCCAATCCTTGGTTACCAGGGATCTCTGGAAATTGGCCATTACATGGGTTTTTGTACCCTGATTCCGAATATGAGTCTAAAAACTGCTCCTTAAAAGTGAAAACAAGGTGATGAGCGCTCAGACTTCAAAAAAAAAAAATCAAGCTCTCCAAATTTCCAACATCTCTTCCGATAAATGACGAAATTGGCAGCCAAAAAAGTCCGTTATTAAAGGCGCATGGATATGCTCCGCATTTTGTCCCACCACGCCAATTTTTAGGCCCATTTTTCTTCTCAAGCTTCAGCATAGTTTACAAATGTTTTGAAAAATTCATAGAAAGATTTGATTTTTCAACTTTCTGTAGAGATTCCGGGCGATTCTATTGAACAAAAGGCTCATTTTATTAAAAAAAAATATGGCACACTCATCAAACCTTGACCATCAGATTCGTGACGAAATTCATGAAAGGCGGCCTTTTGATGTACATTCCGCGCGTGTTGATGGCCGCCTGCTGGACTTGGTCGCAGACTGCCGACGAATTCGGAGCCACTCCCAGACATTCGTCCATGTATCTGATTAACAGAAGGAAAGAATTAGAGCTACGAATTTTGAGATTGAAGACAGTTTTTAACATCTTGAAAATGTAACCTGGTTGAGAAACGAAATAAAATTTACTGAAAGGTACTAAACAGCCCAAATTTGAACTAGCCGAAAATCCTCTAATATGAGCAATAATAAGCAAGTATGATGTATTAGATTTTTAAAAAGTGCATATAGTTGATTCACAGCTCACTTGAGCCATCGAAAAAAGGGTCCTGACACGATAATGCACAAGATAGCGCCTGGCTCGTGGAGAGCGCAGACAGGAAACGCCCCCTTAGCGTCCCAAGCTGACCATGAATCAGCTATATCGAAGGTACAAAAAATGTATAGGTTTTGAAGCGAGTACAACAAAGAAACTTCATATACTGTAATTTTCATTTATTTATTTTTTTCTGAAAACGTGCGGACTGCACTATAACTTTTCAAAAGACTTTCTGTCCGACTCTGATAAAATATTTCTAAAGGACTTTTCAACTTTTTGTCAGCTCCAAGAGCATTTTTAGAGCTTATTTTTGCTCCTTTACATACATCGGCTGGATCGCGAAAAAAAAGTTTGAAAATGTACTGTGATAGGCCGCACTTTTCGGGGGTAGGCCGCACTTTTTTTGGGGGGCGCAGTTTGAGGGGGGGGTAGGTCGCACCCCGGGGTGGGATCCAGCCGGCGTATGCTCCTTTAAAACACTCTTTTGAAGAAGACAAAACAAAAACCAACTGATAATCGAAACAGTAGGGATCTTTGAGCGAGCAGTGCTTCCATTGCATTCCTTTCCAACTTGCTGAAATATCGGATTTTCGCATTTTCAGAAAAAAAGCAACCTTCGATCGCGTAGAGCGATAGGACAAACTCGAAAACGGTCCAAACGCTGAGGCACACGCACCGGAAAATCAACAGGAACGTCATGGCCGCAGAAAGGCCTCAAAGTACAGATTAAGACCAGAATATTTACTAAAAAACCAAATTATCCCGGTTTATTATTTTAAACTGACACTTCATCGAGGAGAAGTTCTACTTTTTGAAAAGTTCTTTTAGACTTTAGAAGATCATAACTTTTTCAAAGGCGTTTTGGATCCCAAAATCAGGATCAACGTTTATAAACATCGATTGAAAATTCATTTAAGACGCTTCCTCTTAAAAATATAGTTGATTCCTAGCTGCTTTGAGCATTTGAAAAAAGGGTCCTGACACGATTAAAAAAGAGATAGTGCATGATTGGTGGAGAGCGCAGACTAGCCACGCCCCTAAAGCTAGCTGCGACTTGGCTACATTTCCGTCGGTTCACCGAATAATAGTATTTTCAGACTCGAAGCTCGGTAACGAAAACGCGCTCCGGACTTCCTGGCAACTCTAGGGATCACTCAAGAGTGCTGACTTTACTAAAGTGGTCACTAGGAATGCCACACTTCCGATTCGCGTCCCGTATCAAGTCCAACGATGATGAATGTCAAGTAAAATGACGTCATTCAAAAACGCTCTGTGGACGGCTTTCTCTCTGATTGGTTTATGCCACCGTTAGGGGCGGAGCTTGAACGATGAGTCATTAAAGCAAATGAGCTCTTTAATGTTCTTTCGTATCAAATCACACCAACCAGCCATGGCCGGAACCATTCTCGAGAAGACGGAAAGCGGAGAGGCCGAGGCGTACTGCCCGAGGGCCATTTCCAGGTAAAGGAGAGGCATCGCGAGGAGTACGAAACAGGCCGTGTATTGGAGTGGGAAGTATCCTTAAACATGGGAAAATGCGTTGAAAAGCCAAGTTTTAAAACAAGGCCCTTTACTTTGCGGTTGAGATCATAGACGATTCAGGAATGGCTTGCGCCATTGGGAAAAGGGTCCAAGCACGATAAAAAAAGACAGTGCCCAGACAGGCCACGCCCCTTTGTGTCCCAAGCTAGCCATGAATCGTGCTGATATACAAAAAAACGCAGAATTTTCTCTAGTCTCCGAGGAAGGTCAACGAAATCAACAAAAGCCCATATTTTCCAAAAATCTGGATTTTTAAATCTCAGACTTCCGCCCAGTACATCAAAGAGTATTACAAAACAGTTTTCACAATTTTTTTTCAATTGCAGAGTAAAATGGCCTGGAAAGAAAAACCGGTGTTACGCTAAGAACGAATTTTCCATTTTCGATGGGTACGGTATGTGAAAGTCCGCAATCTGCGTATGCACTTTGGGTGTTTGCAGTTTCTGAGTGGTGCGCGTTTTTTTTCCATTCTCATCGTAAATTCAATCGAAATGGATTACAACTACAGCAGAATGCGTACTTTCACATACCGTACCTCTCGAAAAAACTCGCTCTTCTCGTCGAACCGAAAAAACCTCCATAAAGAGCACAAATGACGGGAAAGAACCAAATGTTGCCGGTGGACATGACAAACGCCAGGGCGCTCAGAATACTCTCCCAACGCGTCTCCCATTCCAGTACTCCCATTTTTTCCTTCAAATAAAATTCGGTCAGTTTTTTTCATCAAATTTTTTTTTTTTTTTCTTTTTTTGTCACGATGTAGTCGCAAGTGGAATGACTCGACAAGAACCGTTCTTAACCCACTCAAAACGACTTTCGCGCTGTGTTAACTATACTCATAGAAGGGCTCTGGAAAAAAGAGAAACGCGGCTGAAGTTTTGATTCCCACCACAGCGCGACCGCGACGCTTCGAGCCATTTCAAGTGCGACTGTTTCAAAACGCATCACGTCTTCAGAGTGTCTGACCTTCCTGCGCTCTCCTGATCTCAGTGGCTTTATATAAGCTCTATTTTCCTTTCAGACGAGAAAAAGAAAGCGCAGACGGTCAGAAAGTTCATTCACCGTTAGCTTGAGAAAAAAGCACTATCCAGACGTCTAGAAATCTTGTTTTTCCACAGTATTTCTGTTTAGAACTTAGAAGGTGTGCTCTAGAAACGTCTGCCCTGTCTGCGCTCTCCTGGTTCCTCAGCCGAGCTCTCACACTTTTTAGTGGAAGGCAATGCGAAACAAAAAATACGATGGGCGGAGTAAAAAAAGTGACGTCATGGGAGGGCATCGATTTGGCTCTAAGAACGTATTAAAGGCCCCGCATTGCCAGAGGTCTTTGAAATTTAAAAAAAAATCGAATTCTCACTACATAAATCCCTTTTTTTTCTGCGCGGGAGCGACGCAGTGCATGCACACGAAACTTTACGGAGAAAAAAGCTTTGTTTTCTTCCGGAGAGATATCAAGAGATCGTAGACAAGTAGTTGCAAGTGAAGTATAGTCTGTTTGGAAATTTCACTAAACGACGCTCCGCTGTTCCGCTGCGTGCGGTCGCGAAGCTTCTTCGTCTTTGCGAATCTCGGTCGCGGTTTCAATTAGTTATCTCCGGTGGTGCACCTACTGTTCTCTTGGGATAACGAGGTAGTACTGAAAGGGAAGAAAAAATTCAAAGCGCGACCGACGTTCGCAAAAGCGCGCAGCGAAACAGCGGAATGTCGTTCCTTGAAATTCCTGGCACACAGACTATACAATCAGATTTTTTTCGTTGTTTGAAATAAAAAATATATAAATTTACAAAGGCCAAGTCGGTGACGCTCGTCATCCGAACGACTGGAGGAACGGATTCATCGCTTTCTTCGGTTGTTCTCTGACAAAAAGGTAATAGAATAATCATACTGGCAAGGAAACTTTTTTAGCCTTCTGTTGAACTTGGCTCAAAAGTACGAGGAGTTGGCTTGGCTTGAACTTGACTAGAAAGAAGTTTAGGACTTTCTAATTCCATTAAAAGGAAATTATGTCTCTCAATAGATTTTTATCAAGTTATGCTTCCCGGAAGTCCGTGAAATACAAAAAACAAGGTCCTGCGCCGTTTCGAGAGATTTTTTTGATCTGAGGAAGACTTAAAGAGCCAAGTTCCATCATCAAAAGTTCAACAGGGGACTTGAAAAAGTTCACTTGACAGAAAAAAGAAACCGTTTTCCTTGACGAGGTAGGCATGGGGAAATGAGCAGCGTTCCACGTTTCATTTTATTATCGGGAAGGTTTCTAAAAATCTTCAAGATCGGGAGGGTGCGAAAAGGGCCCATTCTGCTGCCTTTTTGCAGCCTTTCTTGGTTGGCTAAAATTTCAAAGGGTCAAGAAAGGGTGAAGAAAAGGAAGAGGCGGAAAAAAGAGTAGGAGTAAAATCAAGTAGTTCCTAAAGGGAGAATTTTTCGAGAAAGTAAGTTGGAGAGCTTTAGAAGTTACAAGAAAGCCGGAAAAATTCATAAAAGGCCAAAAAAAGCTTTCGCCTTTTTTGGGATATTCAAAAAAAGTTGCATTTTTTCAATTTCTTAGCAAACTCAAACACCTGAAAGGGAGAACTTTAAAAACCTAGAAAATGACAAATTTCGTGTTTTCATGAGCCTAAGAAAACCCCAAAAAAGCCCTAGAAGGCGTCAAAAACTAGACATTTCCCATTCCCACCTCCCCCAAGCCAAAATCCAGGTGTTGGCCGTCGAAAATAGCAGGTTCCCAGGTACACATTACTCATTTTCTCAAGGATGCGAGGAACTGAAAACCGTTTCATAGTCTCCTGAATAAGGTGAAAAAAATGTTTTATTTGTCAAATAAAAAAATTAGTATAGACAAGGTCACCGCGTTGAAGTTCTCAATACAATTATCATAATATATATTCAATATGTTCACACGGATTTTGTAAGCGAACGTATACTTAAAAGGCCACTTGGACAAAAAAAAGGGAAGGCAGGTCTCAATATTCGACTGGGAGCAATGTTTCCTGGGAATGAACAGACGAAAAAATGATGAAAATCAGAGAAAATATACATAATCAAGTGAGGTGCAATTATCACATTAAACTAAATATTTATCGACGAGAAAATGGTTAAAAGTGAAAAGAAGGTGGACAATTTCAGAAATAAATCGATCCGGAAAAGTCGGAATGTTGGCGAGGTACTCAGAGAATGTTCATGCTGCAAAATAATCAATCAATATAGTAAATTCATCCGTTTTTAAAACATGTCACACTGAGAATAGCTCTATGCGTCGCGGCTGCGAAGCGGTCAACATGAAAATGCGCCCAACCACAAAGCGACTTTTACTAATTCAACCGCAACGCGTTAATATCATTTCACATGTAGATAGAACATTTCTAGCCAAGGCCGCATTTGGAATGGCTCAACGCGATGCGGATGCGAAGCGGTCAACGTGAAAATGTGCCCGACCACGAAACGACTTTTGAAACTTCGACCGCAACTCGTCGAGGTCATTTTACATGTAGTTAGAAAAATTCTAGCTAAGGTCGCATTTGGAATGGCTCAACGCGTTGCGGCTGCGAAGCGGTCGAGATGAAAATGTGCCCGAACACAAAACGACTTTCGCAACTTCGACCGCAACTCGTTGAGGTCATTTCACACTTAACTAGAAAGCCAAGGTTGCATTTGTAATGGCTCAACGCGTTGCGGCTGCGAAGAAGTCAACGTGAAAATGCGCCCGACCACAAAACGACTTCGACCGCAACTCGTTGAGCTCATTTTACATGTAGTTAGAAAAATCCGAGTCAAGGTCGCATTTGGAATGGCTCGAAGCGTTGCGGCCGGAAATTCTCCACAGAAAACTTGTCTTCTGCCAATTTTTTCAATCTACTATTCTATGCCATTGCGCGCAAACCGTTCAGGGTCGGGCGCAATAATTCACCCCGGCCTTTCGTTCAGAGTTCAAGAAAACGGATTTTTAGCTGATTCTTTTTCTCAAATTCTGACCTCAAAATGAAGTTTGCAACTTCGCCCACAACTCATTGATGTCATTTCACATATAACTAGAAAGCCAAGGTCGTGATTGGAATGGCCCAAAGCGTTGCGGCTTCATAACTTTCCCTAGACATTTGCCAATGTAATATTCTATCCCATTGTGCGCAAACCTTTTCGGGTCGGTTGCAAGGGTTTCTTTCTGCATTTCCTTCAAAGCTCAAGAAATCGACCCAATAAAAACTGACCCAGCGCGTTCCTCGTCGATCTCGTCATCCAGATCAGAATCCTCGCCCAGGCCCTCGTTCAGAGCCGCCAGGAGGCTTTCTATCCGCCTGTTGGCCATCTTCAGCTCCGTCGCCGACACTTTATTCTTTTCTTCTAGCTGTTGTAGTTCCGAGCGCTGAGAAAATGATTGAATGGAGGAAAACATGTCGATTGGAAACTCGAAATCGATTACAGTTCGAAGAGGTATCAAAAATTTTAGAAAATAGAGATAGAGGAAAAAAAGAAGCAATCTCACCAAAACTCTCAGCTTGTGAGCCGAATCAACTTCTCGCTTTTTGTACTCCTCCAGCGACTCCATCACTTGGAGCATCTCCTTTCTGAGAAAAAAAACCATAGTTAAAGTCAAATTTTGCTGATCACGGTTATTTTGGTAACTTGTTTTGGTTGCGACGCGGCTCAGCTCACAATTCATCTAATTTTTTTTTCGTCAGTTTTTGGATCCTTTTTTGCCTACTGTGAAGGCATCATTCGAAAAAAATCAATCAAACTCTCATGCTGTTGAGGGTAGACCCGCCGGGCTGACACGGGCTCTCAGCGGGAATACCCGTATCAAGCCCGTATATGCAGAGCTGGGCATTTTTTTAAGACAGCTCAGGAACCATTCGAGGACAGTAGGGTCTCAGATTTTCGAAATGAACACGGTTAGGCCACTTGTCTTTTCTTACGCCCATTTTTCTCCCATTTCAGCACAATTAAAACACATAGAGCCTCAAAAAACGGAGTCATACCTGGGCTGGATCACAACCAAGCCTTTTTCGCGCTAAAAAATATTCAAAAATATACTGAAATAGGCAATTCGTTCACCCCGGGATGGGATTCAGCCAACGTATGAGCCCGGGTATAATGAGGGTACATCTGGCCAGTATGAGAGAATAACGACTGAGAAAAAAAAAGGCATACCAGCGCACAGGTCCTCAGAGAGTGTGCAAAGCGAGGAAAGTACGAGTCTGGTCACTCCAAGTTTATCATTCTCTCTAAACGGATGTCTGCGCGCTGGCCTGTCGTTTTTCTTCTGAGGATTATGATAAACTGCCTTGTTTCTACATTTTTCCCGCGCTCGCGTTCGAATTTGTAGTTCCCGCCAAAAAAACGCATCGCGACCGCAACAAATTCCCTTTCAATCCATAAGATAATCCAAAAAATAACCGAATCTTCCTCGCGGCCTCCACCTCCTTGTCTCTCGACGTGTTCGCCTCGCCCATCTGATCTTGCAGCGCGTCGACTTCTTCCGTCAATTTCGTGACGATCGACTGAACTCTCCAGGTTATCAAGACTTTTAGTGCTCAAAAACCTCGAGACGAAGTTTGTGAGCCGACTCGAGGTCGAGCCGTGCCTCGAGCTCCCTGGCCTTCTGCTCACTCAGGAGCAACTTGTGTCGCTCCACCGTACTCTGGTGTAGGTACTCGTTTTGAGACGTTTGCTCGTGCAAATTCTCGGCAAGCTTCTGCTTCGACTTTTCGAGGTCGGCAATCTAGAAAGAGGCTTCTTTTTTTTTTTCCAAAAAGGTATTTATCTGATTCTACATCACTAGCCGCTACTTGAAACAGCCTGACCTGTCTTCACTCTCTTTTCCCTCACCGAAAAGGTCATAAAAAATTAAAAAGTCAGGGGAATTCAGGTAGCAGAAAAATCAGTCTGTTTCGGGTTGGCAATTTGAACAGGGGCTTATTTTCATCCAAAAAAAAAAAATCGTATTTTAAAAAGCTACGTCATTGGTCGATACTTGATACATCCTGACCTGTCTGCAGTCTCTTTTCTCTTGCTAAAAAGCCATAAAAACATGAAAAAAAGAAAATCAGACTTTTCGAGTCAGCAATCTATGAAGAGGCTTTTCGTATCAAGAAAACAAAAATGGTATTTTTCTTCTAGCTGTTGTTTACACCGCTAGCTATGACTTGAAACAGTCTGACTTGTCTGCGCTCTCTTCTCCCTCACCGAAGAGGAACATGGAAAGCCGAGGGAAACTAGGACACAAAGAAATCAGACTGCTTCAAAGGTGTATGAGGAAAATTTTTCAAGTCAAAAAAAAAATCGTATTTTATCAATTATTCACCACTATCTTGATTTTTTGACATACTTCCCCTTGAACTTCGAAAATAAATCAGAAAAACCACCTAATTTTTGATCTTTTTCCTAAAGTTTAAAGCTCAAGGAACATTCAAGATTCTCAGGCTTCTAAAAACCTGGAACGACTCGTCTTCTAGAAAACGCTTTCATACATTTTTTTTTTAAAAGGCTTCCAGTGAGCTTATTTCTACTTGTAAAACTTTTTTTTTCTCTTTGAAGAGTCTTCTTGTACTTCCCCTAAAACAAATACGATGATCGAACCTGCTCGAGGTGATCGGCGATGGTGATATGATCGATCTGGTTCTGCTGGACGGCGGCCTTGTACTTCTTGAGCAGGCTCTGGAGCTGCTCGTCCTTCTCGACGATCAACGCTCCGCAGGCGTTCTTTTCCTTGAGAAGCGAGATGGCCTTCTCTTCAGCCACGTTCTTCGCCACCAAGGCTTGTTCGAGCTGGAAAAAACGCGATTTTTTTTAAAATCTCGAAACGTTCTTTTGAAAAATACCTGAGCTCGAACTTCGTTGAGCTCGCTTTCAAGGCCATGTCGACCTTTTTGGGCGCTCAACTTGGCCGCCTCAGCGTCCTCCAGTTGTTCTCTAAAAGCTCAAGTTCAACATGGATTGTCACCCTTGTGAATGGTAGTGAAATATTCATTCAATTCTGATCTATGCCGAGAAAAAGAAGTAAATTTCTTCTAGTAATAAACTTTTACATATATTGGCCTTTTTCTCCGCTCAATATTTGTCTCATGAGTATCAAAGAGAGGTACCAAAGCCATCCTGAGTTGACTTGAACTTTTCGAAATTTCCCTTACGACAGATTTGTGCTGCTTCAAAGTTCCTAAGCGACATAAATAATCGAAAAAGGCATCATTTGAAGATTTTGGAGCGTCACACAGGCAATAGGAACATTTTTATATTATTTCTAGATTCAGAAGACCCTGGAGTTCAATTAAGCCATAATTCGACAAAACACGTCTCCTAACAATATGAGCTTGGAAAAGAGGAAAAAAAAGGGAAGCTTTCCGATTCCACCTAAGCTGTCGAATAAGACTCCGCTCATCAAGAATTTTTGTTGAGATACTAGTAATTTGTACAACAAAAAATGCGCTCAAAAATACATGGATTTCAAGAAGGAACATCAAATTAAAATAAACACTTTCAGGATAGCTTCTTGATCTCACCTGAGCTGCCGGATGAGACTCTGCGAGGGAGCCGTCTCCCTCTCGTGAGCCAGAAGCGACTGCGTGTCTTGGAGCAGCGCCATGACGCGGCGGAGCTCCCTTTTGGCCTGACCCCCAGAAATATCCACACTAGAACACAAATCCGTTATTGATTTCGGGTCGATGTCAAACGTGTTATAAGAGCTATGCGACTGGGTGACCCTCGCTTCGAGGACCCGATTCTCCTTGATCAACGACGAGTTGCTTTCCTGGGCGTCAGCCAGCTGATCTTCCAGGGCTCGTAACTAAAAATTGGGTGCCTTTTATGAGATTGGACCATTTTTCAAGTCGTCAAAAAACAAGCTTCCACCTAAGCGCTCGTCCCATTTATTAATTCTCCAGAAAAATCAAAATTGTTGGAGAGAGGTTACCAAAAAGTCGATAATGGCGAAAAAAAGGCCACGAAAAGGTTGGCTTATGAAAATTGCGTTTGAAACTCTGGTCTTAAAAATCTCGGGTCGAAGCTTAATATTCAAAATTTTGGCGTTATAAATCTGGTGATAAAGCTTAATTTTTGAAATTTCGGTTTTGGAAATCTTGGTTCCAAGCTTAGTATTAAAATTTTCAGTCTTGAAACATTCAACTTTTGGAATTTAGGTGTGAAAAACTGAGTCCGAAGCTCAATATTTTAAATTTTGAGCTTGAAAACTCTGTGTTAAAGCTCAAAATCTGAAATTCGACCTTCGAAATAAACTCTAAAGTCAGTCTTTGGTTGAAACATTCTGAAACCAGCTCAAAAATCAGATGTTTTTGAAGCCAATCAAGTTCCTAAGTTTTTAGAGAGTTCCATCGCGAAGAAGGTCCAACCCGTCGCTGGTACTGGCCGCGGAGTTCGTCGATCTCGCCCTCGCGACTGATCGACTCGCGGTGGAGCTCGGTCCGCAGTCGTTCCTGGCCCATCTCCAGTCGCGTCACGTTCTGCGCCTGCAGCTGGTTGGTTCCGGCCATGTCGTCCAGCTCATCCTCCTTCAAAATCGACGTTTACCCTCCTTTCTTGAGCTTCGCAACTGAACCAGCTCTCGGATTCGGGTCTCAAGATTCCGGCGGATAAGTTGGAGGGAGGCGAGGTCTTCGCCAGCGACCGAACCTTGGCTAGCACTTTTCTCGGCTCTTTCTTCGGCGTCACGTTTTAATTTCGAGACGGACACGCGCAGGTCGGCATTTTCCGATTTTAACGTCTGCAAATTCATTTTTGACACTCGTTTGGAAATCAGTAAGGAAATTTGCGTAACTGTTGACTCTTTGGGACCTTCAAAAGGTCCTACGTAAAAAGTATTCTACAAGTAGATCCTTCAGAATACCTGAATTTCGGCGACTTTCCTCGCCACAGCCGACGAATGCTCGTCGCGCTCCTTCTCAATCCGTTCCTTATCCGACTTGACGTCCTGGAGCTGTTCTGCAACAACTCGGACGTCGGCATCAAACCTGAAACTCCATTTTCCTCAAAAAGTCCAGGAATAACTGGACCTTTGCTGTTTCTTCTCCAGGATCTCATTTCGGGCTCGAATCTTGACCAGCTCACCTTCTACGTCCTGAAAGTCCAAAAGTGTGAATTTCGTTTTCAGGTGTGCTCTCTACCTGTAATTGAGCCACCGAACGTTGGGTCTTCACTCGCAGTTGTTCTTCATTTTCGCGCGTTTTTTGGAGTTCGGCTCGAAGTTCCGTGATCTTTTCATCGGAGGCCGAAGATTCCAATTTTGCACTCGAAGAGACGCGGCTGATGTTGTCGCCGCCTTGAAAATTTAGGTAAAGGAATCATTTTTTTTTTTTCAAAAAAGTAGGTTTGGTGATAGTTCTGTATAGTCCGTTGGCGGCGAAATAAAAGTTTTCGAAATGTCTTCCCTCTCCGGCGAGGTTAGAGGGGCGTGAAAATAGCACGTTAAAATGAGAGGGTCGCAAGAAAAGAAGAGGGTGCAGAGAAGTCCCCGAAATCACTTTTTAAGACGACTAAAGACTTATTTAAAAAATTGGCTCTAGGTATTTCTATATATCTGAGAAAAGTTTTAGTGGCCACTATAGGGTTTTGACTTTCAGCGGCCACTATAGTAGTCAAAATAGTGGCCACTTTAGGGATTAAAAATTAGTGGCCACTAGAGAGTCCTAAGTGGTACTACTAGATGACTCAAACTACTACAGTTGCCACTAATGAACAAAATAGTGGCCACTTTAGTGTTCTCTTCAAGTAGTCCTTGGAGAGCCTCCATAGTGGCCACTAAAACTTTTCCCAATGGTCTTTCTAGGGACGCTCCAGTGGTCACTACAGTGATTTTCCCACCCCCTTTTCTTGAGAAATAAATCGATGATCTTGTCCTCTATAAGGGTTCCTACAATCTTGTAACCCTAAAACATCCCGAAAACTAGAAATTGAAGATCACTGACATTCAAAACGATGAGAAACGACAAAACTCGTGGAAGATATGCACTCGACCATCACAAGGGATAGAAATGAAATGAGCAAATTCAATCAATAATGCCACGTGTATTTAATAATTTTTCTTTTACCATTCTCTTTCCACTGCTGGAGTCGTCTCTCGATTTGAGCCTTGTGCTGGGATTCGTTCTCGAGGGCGACGCTCAGTTGTGCGGCTGTTTGGGTTTGTCGGTCCAACTATAAAGAGATTTTCTCAAAAAAAACTGAATGATGCTCACAATTTTATCACAACGGCTGGGACACTAAAAAAAAGCTGAAAATATCTACAAAACAAGCGCGATTTTCACTTTATCGTGTCAAGACCCTCTCTCTGCTCGAGACAGTCGCGAATGAGCTAAAAATTCACTTTAAAAATTTTCGAGGATTCTGGTAAAGACCTTGTACGGTTTCTATTTGTCAAAATCTCGAAATTTCAAAGTTAGGAAGCTTCAAATTTTTTTCTCTTCACGTTGACAAAAGATGAGAAACTGGGAAGATTCATTCCCCTTAAAAGACCAGGCCTGAGGGGCTTCTAAAACTGAGATGTCGAAAGTTTTAAAGGGCCCGAGATCACTTCGAATTCCTTCGAGCCCGTTAAAAATGAAGCTCCAAAATATTAAATGTTGCCTTTCTTAGCATTTTGACCATTGACCAGGATTTCTGAGCTTTTTGAACCTTCGAAAATTGACAAAGGATGAAAAACGTGAAAATTTTTCTTTCTCCGTGCTAATCGGACATGTCGGAAGGGTCGAAAAAGGCTCTTTCTTTCTGGGTGCCTTTTTGCGCCATTTCATCGGCTCTTTTGCACCATTTTTGCTGCCTCTCCCTTTTTCTACCATTTCATGAAGCCCAGAAAAATGAAAGGCTGGATAAAGGGCTCTTTTTTCTGTCTTTTGGCGGCCTTTCCCGCACCTCACTCTTTTAGCGCAGCTATCCCTGAGATCTTACCTCCTCCTCCAGCTCCGCCGCCCGTCCATCCGCCTTCGTCTTGGCTATCCTCAGGTCGTGGATCTGCTGCTCCAGTTGCCGAACTCGCTCGTTCCATTCTCGACTTTCAGTTCCACTCCTGGCGACGGCTAACAACGGCACGACCCTCGTGTAGAGCTTCCACCAGGGCCATTCGCGCACTTTCAGGTAAGACTGGCCGTTTTTCTGAGAAATGCCATCAGTTTCCAATATTCATGAGAAGCTTCAAGTACTTGAATGCATCGGATGGCCGTGTCGAGGACCCGTCTTTTCTGGAGCCATTTGGCGGCCAAATGACGTCGGCACTCCATCTGGAAGCATCCGATCAGGCCGGAAAGACACAATTCGCGTCGGTCTTCCAGCTCATTGAGCACATCCGAAGCGAGCAACACCTGGAAGAAATTGACAGTTAAAATCGAACTTTTGCCGATTTGCTATCAATCCGTTTAAATGAGGGGTCATTAGGTCAGTCAAAAATCAAAAAAGAAAGATGGTAGGTTTGAAGAGACGCCAGCCAGACAAGTAAAAATTGCTAAGTCTCTTGGCGCCTCCTTGAACTGCGACCAGTCAAGCTACCTTTTGATCTTGAAGAACCAGGTATGTGATTATTCATAAATTATTTGAAATCTGCTTGCTTTTTACAATCAGTGTGACTCAAAAGCCAGAAACTACAGGATCAGCTATAGTTCAAAACATATAATTTTTCTTGAGTTCAATGATTTAAAATGAATGATTATCCTCGAAAACTTGTTGACCTGGCTGATGCCGAGCCGGAACCTCTGATCGTGGATATCCATCCGCTCCATGATGCCGGCGACGGCGGCCCGGTCGTCCAAGGTGTCGTTGATGTTGCTTCGCGACTCGTCTTCGGCAAGGCAGCCGAACCGACGGCGGAAGTCGCGGAACGAGACTCGTTCAGGGAACCCTCAAACCATTAAAAATCCTTATCACAGTGACATTTTGGACTATTCACTAGAGCTCTAAGATCCTTAACTTACAACTTTGATCAAGGACTTCAAAAAAAAAAAAAATAGCAGATGAAATGGTAAGAGCGTTATTTTTGTATGGGGATTCCGAAAGAAGCTTCTTTTTTTAAACAAAAATTGCTAACTTCCTAAACCACGCGGTTAGGCCGCGACGGGGATCGAACCTGTGACCCTTTGGACCGTAAAAAGGCTTACCCATTTACTTCTTGTCTCTCTCTCTCTCTCTCTCTCTCTCTCTCTCTCTCTCTCTCTCTCTCTCTCTCTCTCTCTCTACCCTTACTAAACGAAAATCCCTGACTTCTTGTAAAATTATTTTTCTCAATTTTCCATCTATCCAGTCCGAATCAGACCACTCCGAATCTCTGTACCTCGATTGTTGGCGCGAACGGCGTCGATGAGTGAGATGGAGCGCAATTGGTTGCGGATCATGGGAACGTCGACAATGTCGTGATGCTGCACGGCTGACGTCATCGTCGACTTTGGAGACGGCGGCTGCGGTTGGACGCAGTGCACGAAGTGGGACCGTCGCGCTCGACGCAGCGATGAGAAGACGTAGTCCTTCAAAATGGTTGATTTTTTCAAGGGAGTTCAGCGTTTCATTTAATTCAAATTTGTCAAACCAGAGTGAGAAATTTGAAGTGAGAACTCATGAAAAATAAACTTTTGAGCTCGCAATAAGTTCAAAAGGGTCACAATGACAAATTGATCGTGAATTTAGTTGCGAGCATTTTTTCTGAAAATTAAAAAAAAATATCAAAATAATACAACAAAATTGGCATTTCTGCGCTTTTTGGACATGTCAAAGGTTGATTCAGTCTTGTTTCAAACGGTAATTTTTTTCAATCAAAAAAATTAGATTATTAGTTAAAATCCTTCAAATCGATCCGAGTTTCGGCCAATAAAATCAGGAAAGAAAAAGCTCCGATCATGGTAAAATTCAAAAAACGGAAAACTTTCAAAAATCCCAAAAAGTGTCACATAACCTACTTTGGGGAGAATCCCTCAAAAAGCTTCACTCAAGCTTTTGAAGACCGATTTTTAAAAATTTTTTTCAGGTCTTCCAACATGGGTTTTTCTAGATGTCAAGACCTAGGGATTTTCTCTCGAGACAAGATTGAGAACAACTCGAAGATAGCAAACTTCGGGGCTTAAAAGGATTGGAAAACTATGGGACACCTTCAGAGAATTAAAAAAAACCTCTTATTTTTCTAACCCGAAAAAAAATGCCACAGATTAATAGACCCAAAAAGCGTCTAGTCGGATAATCTGATTCGATGATTTCGACGTTGAAACGACGTGATTACGCGGTCTGAACACGTTTTCCCCTCAGAACATCTACTGGCAGATGTGTTCGGAGAGGGCCGCTCGCTCGCGAGGAATATCACCTCGGTTAGAAGAATTTCGGGAGAAGGAAATTGGCGACGAAGGGAGAAACCAACACGTCGTCGGACATTATCGAGATGTACAGACTGCGCGAAATTCGCCAAAACAAGCCAATATATTCCGTCTAGACTTGTGAACAAGCTTCAATTAAGAGCGAAGTGAAGTTTTAATTTATCAGAAATCAGTAGTTATACTCTCGGGTAAAGTCGGAATGGTGGATAATGGCCGCTAAAAGGAAGAGGCTCAAAAAGGCCGCATTAAGGCAGCAAAAAGGCAACAAAGAGTCTCTTTATCGAGTCTTTCATTTATGCTGGGATTTTAAAGGCTCAAAGGGTGGAAAAAGAGAGAGGCAGCAAAAATGGTGCATAAGAACCGATGAAATGGCCCAAAAAGGCAGCAAAAAATGAGCCTTTTTCCACCCTTTCCGACTTTACCTATATTTCATTGGCCGCAACTTGAAACTGTCTAATCTGTCTGCGCTCTCTTTTCTCTTAACGGTCAAAAAAAAACGAGAAACTAGATAATGAATGCCAAGGAATGAGAGAGCGCAGAGAAATAAACTTTTTTTTTGAGTTGTGAAAAAAGTGACAAGAAAAAATCTTTATAAAACATCTCCGAAACAATATTCCAGTCGGCAGATACCCAAAAGTTTGTTATAACTGAAATTTCAACTTTTAGCCAACTTTTCCGTTCTAAACAAAAAAAAATAGCACAGAAAGTAAAGTTCAAGACTTCTAAGACAGATCAAAAGCCTCAAAATTCAAAATTTCAATCAAATTTCTCAAAAATTTGCCCAAGAAGCTCTGAAAAAAATGAAAAAAATGATGCCCACGGAAACGCGCGCCAACCTTGTTTAACACGGTTCCAGTTTTGTGCAAATTAACGAAGAAACATTTTTTCAAGGCGGGCGCTTTTTCAAGGAATTTTCAACTGCTCCTGTTTCAATTCTTCTTTTTTGAGGAAATTGAAAGAAAATGAAAAAAAAAACCTGATTAGCCACATGAATGGTGAAAAGAGGGAATAGTTTGAATTTTTAAGGTTCGAAAATCCTTTCTGTACCAAATTTTGAACTTCTTCTGATTCTAAACTTGTCAAAAAAGATTTTGGGACCTTCTATAAGAAAAAAACCAGGCTTTAGGAGGACACAATAAGGAGCCATTTTAAAATTATATTGCCAAAAAAGAAGCTTGTGACTTTTTTTCTGAAAAAAATTTTACCTCAACTCTGTTTTAGTTTTTACAGCTTGTGACACAGTTGCTACTTCAGATCCAATAATCAATAAATGAAATAAGAAGCAAAAAAATAAATTTTTTTGAGTAACTTTTTTTGAACAAACTTTTCGTTTATCTAACTTTCAAAAAGTATAAAAAGCAAATAGATCGAGAAAAATAAGTTAATTGATAAATAAAAGAAGCTGATTGGGAAAAAAAAAACAGGAGGACAATCGCACACGTGTAAGCAACTAACAGAAGTTCATCCGAAGGCCAAACAAAAAGAAGGAGAAAAAGTCGGTGTGGCGCAAATTTCAAGTCGGGGCAGACTTTTGCTTTTGCCTCAAAGTTCTCACTGAATGGCTTTGGGTTGTATTAAAGAGGATTAATGTTCTGTTGGTAGGTTTAAAAGGAGTGAAAAGTGGGGAAAAGGGAAAATTTAAGCCTATATTGAGTACTTTTACGAGGGACAAGGAAGTGAGAAGGAATAAAACCAAGTTTGAAGCTTCATTTTTCCAAAAAGGGGAAATTGTGAAGGTTAAGAATTTCAGGATGTTCACCTTACATATCGAGAAGTATTTTGGCGAATTTTCAAAAATTCGGAGGTTTAAGTAAAATCACGTTCCTTATAGGTATTAATACAGAAAGTTTAACAAAAAATGAAAGTTTTAAAGAACCTAGTGAGGAAGTTAAAAGGAAAAAAAACCAAGTTTGAAGCTTAATTTTTCAAAAATGGAAAATTATGAAGGCGGAGATTTTCAGGAACTTCACTTGAAATATCTTTTGGTAGGTTTAAAAAAGAATAAAAAGTGGTAAAAACACTGAGAAAAATCTCTCTGAAAATATGGAGTAAAGTTGAAAAGATTGAAAAACCTCCTGGACGACGACACCTCGACGAGCATGGTAAACCTCCATTTTTCAGTACAACTGTCAGAAAATCATTCCAAGAAGCCGTTGAATATGGAAAGGAAGGCGAAAATAATATTCCGAGGGCGAAAGGACGCCGTCGGGTCGGAGGATATAGGTGAGTTAACTAGGCGATGAGATCTCTTCCTTCGCCAAATCGTCGTCTTCTCCCGCCCGTTTAGAGGCGCCGTTCGCACCCATCCGACAGCATATTTCCGCCCAACTATGTGAGAGAACCTTTGGCGTTTTCAATGGGGGTGATAAAATGTTTGGAAAACGGCTGGCGGCGGGGGAAGAAACAACAAACGGCCGGGTGATTTCTGATTGATTAAGCCTATTCTGATCAAGCGACGTACACGAAGAACGATGCTTTGTTGTCATTGCATCAATTAAGCTGGCTTGAGGAATGTCCTTTTTCGGAAGAAGAGGAAATGGTAGTTCCCTCAGCACTAGCTTCAGAAAAATTTTTCGATTTTTTTCAAAAATTAGAATTTAGATGTCCTAATAATATTTCCGCTCAAAACAGTGGTGAATAGGACAAATTTTTCAAGGGAGAGTGAAATTATTGAAAAAAGGCTTCAGACTCAAAATTTTTGAGAAAATTTAATCGATCAAATATTAATTGTTCCAAAAATCATAATCATCATTGCAAAGTCTTCTTTTTAACTTCTTTCTAAATCAAATTTTTCGTATGAAACAAAATCCGAAAACGGATAAGTTCAGACACACTGAGAATGGTAGTTCATTCCTTTCAGAAAATATTGAGGACTCATTTGAAAAATGATGTCCCAAAAGAGAATTTTAGATGTCTTGATAATATTTTTCTTAAGCTGGTGATGTACAGAGCGCTCATATCAAAGGAGAGTGGAATTTATTTTTAAAAAAAGGCTTTAAATTCGACAGTTTCAAGAAAAAAATCAATCATTGTTCTAAAGTATCTTTTTTTCAAACTCCTTCCCTTTTGAAGTTAGATTCGTCTTATTTAGTATGAAATTAATCTCGAAAATGGATGAGTTCAGACTCACTGAAAATTTTTTCGAAATCCCGCCTTCTCAATAATATTTTTTTGGACGAATTTTTGCACTTCTATAGAAGTAAAAAAATAATATTTTTTTCAATTATAGCACTAAATTTAGGCTTTGTGGGTAATTAAAAAACTTTCTGGATGTTCAAAAAAGCATAGCCGAAATTTAAAAACTTGTCAAAATGCACAATATTTTCAAGTTTCATCATAGCTGAGTTCTTTAAAAAATGGCAAAGCTGAATCACATGTATCAAACTTAACGCAGAGTAAATACGATGATGGAAATGAGTTTCCAAAAAAGAATCTTCCTATTTTCACGTTCATTTCAGAATTTTAGCCTACATTTTTGCATGTAATTGGCCTCTGATGTAAAGATTCTTTTGCCCAACCCTCAAACTCACAATCTGCCCATTGAGATTCGCGATGAACCCTCCAGCAGCTCTCCGAGCCGAAAGTTCCAACTGGGCGGCTTGAGTCGCCCTTCTGAGCCTACTCGAATCACCGCCGGCTAGTGAAACGTTGGCGAAGAGAGTCGCGATGGCAGAACTTAAATCGAGAACTGTTTTGCTGATCTCATGGCGATTTCAGACTTGGAGCTGTTGGCGAGCAGCGGACGGGCTGCCGCGGAGCTCTCGCAGGGCTGCGCCAGCTTCAGCCAGCCGCTGATGTCGTAGGTCGTTGGCTGGCAGTCGTGAACATGAGCCAAGACAAACTGTCGTGGTTTCCCAGCTCGACGGATCATGCTAAAGGAATAGGGAACTGCCGATCAAATATTAATCTCTTCTCATTTGCTCTGTTTTTCAAACAGTGGTCAGTAAAGTCATGACAACCAGTTCTCGTGAAATGAGGGCTAAAAGTCTGGAAATCACCCTCCAGGGTTTTCCCCGTTTTTTGAGCTATTTTATCGAAATTCGTGAAGGTTGAGATTTCCACGTTATAACTTTTGTGATATAAAAATCTCCGGTTCCACTTGATAATCAAGAAAATCACGTAATTATGTCATTTTTGTGAGAGAATAACTTCTCATTTCAAATGAGTTCTTGAACTGAAAAGTTCCCACAATATGCTTGAACTCTCACTTGGTTTCCTGGCCAAGGTGGACGAAAATCCGCTCGAAAAGCGAGTCATCAGAAGCTCCAGGGAACATGGACTCCTCGTCGAGGATCGCAAAAAGCCCTCGGCGTTCTTCCGACCTTTTCTCAATGTCCGTACTCGTCAACTGAAACTTCGAAAATCATGAACTTCAAAAGAGTTTTCTTGAAAGTCAAGCTGTGAAAAGTTGAAGAGAAGCTTCTAAAAATGTCATCCATGACAAAAAAAAAAATCTTCCTTAGGGTTCTAACTATGAATTTGAAAAACTAGAAAGCGCTTGGTCGCCTTTGGAATGGCTGACCGTGATAAGCGGTCATTTTTCACTGCGCCCGACTAGAAACGGCTTACGCGATGAGGCTTGGGAAAGTGTTAGTGAATAAATGTAGAATTCACGTCGCTTCATAACCGCTACGCGACCGTAACGCTTCAAGCCATTCCAAACGTTTCTGATTTATAGCTTTGACTTTTTTACTTCTGGAACTCAACTTGTTCATTTTTAAATTCTCGGAAGCGTAATGGGGATGGCTTAACGCGCAGCGGTTGCTTCAAATTGCGGCAGACGAAACTACTTCCGTAAGGGCAACAAATACTAGAGAATTTTCTTGAGGTCGGCTTGATACAAATTTTTCTCTAGGCGCAACGCGACCGCGACGCATTGAGCCATTCCAAACTAAACAATTTTCATTTCCTGGCTCAGTAATTGTTCATCGAGCAGTCTGTTGAAATTTCGATTTCTTTAAAGCGCGACCGACCTAAACTGACTTTCGCAATTGAGGACACAATTTTGAGAGCCATTCCAAACGCGACCACAAGTTCTCTCACTTTCCACAGCTTTCTCCTAAAATCCCTACCAAGTGCTGTTTTTCGTCGAGCAACCTATTGAGGGGATGCGGCGAGCTCAGCGGTACATCAATATGAACATCTACCTGTTCTTGAGCATACACCTGGACAGAAAATTATTTACAACTATGTGCAACTTAATGCAAACTTCTTGAGGCTCAACAAAGGAAATGTCATAGAAGAGCTCGGAAATTCGTTCATTCACATAGTTCATCACCAGGTCGTTCAGGCCGCATGGTCGGTCTCCAGCCCAGGAGGGCACGAAAGTCGAGCCGGGATAGTCGAGGACCTGAGGAATTTCAAAATATTTTCTGATTAAGAGTCCAGGAAGATTCAGATTCAGGTTTCATCAAAAGGCATTGAACGAAGGTAGGCTGAAAAAATCATTTTTTCAAAAATTATCAGTGGAGCGCTTTTTCACAAGACTTTTCCAATTACCTAGTCGGGAAAAATCAGGAAAGTTTATGGTATCTTCATTTCTTCAAAATCTTCTAAGACCCCTTTTTTCATTCATATAAGCCAAACTGTCCTAAATCCTTTTAAAAGAGAACCGAAATCCAGGAGCAGGCCGAGTTGGAGGAGAGCGCCCTGTTGACGTGTTCGACGATGTTCTGGAACAACTCCTGGTACAAGGCGGCTCCGAAGGCGTTCAGCGCCTCAGGACCGTCACAGCCACGGGAAGTCAGAGCGAAGCGACTGAAAGAATCCCCTTCAAGGCAAATTTTCCTGTTATTTCGAACTTGATGGCAGTTCCCGTAGTGGTGCTAGCGCCGCCGCCAACGATCTTACCACGAAAAACTGCTTGGGCTAGGGCTTCGGAAGTGACGCCGAGAAGTTCGGCGGCCACCTAAAACTTCTTTTTTTAAGATTTTTTTTCGGTAGGGGTGTACCTGTGCATGTGAGGACCGAAGGAAATGGGCTCTTTGAGCACTTCCAGGGGTGGAGCCAGCCGCTTGGAGGTGCAAAATCGCGCCCAGGACGTTCCGAGCGGCGTACTGCTTCGACTCATCCATACCGATCTCAGCCATCGCCATCGTTAGTCTTTCCCAGGCCTAATCAAAATGGCTATATTTTAAAAGCGTCGCAAAAATTTTGAAAAGCAGGCTTCCTCTACAAGATTCGATTCAGTAAGAAGCAATTTCAGCGCATAATTTGAACCGTTCGCCGTCTTTATTTCGCACCGGAACAACTTTTAAAATTTTTGGAGCAGCTGTTATCACGAACATTGGTGACGCGAAACGTGCGTGCTCTGGGCGATTCTAGGGATCAAGTTCTTGAGAGTTCTGAGACTACTAAAGTGGTCACTAGAAATTCCCCGACACGTCCGATTCGCGTCCCGTTCGCGTAACCAAGGTTCGACATCCTTTTAGATTATCCATAGAGCGCAAAAACTTCAAAATCTTCTCAAAACCGCGGCTATTTTCTTTCAATTATTTTTCATATGGCTCTGACAAAAGCTTTTTTAAAAACGAAGTCTATTTGAGGACTTTTTCAATTATCCACAGATCGCGAAAACTTCAAATCTTCTCAAAACCGCGGCTATTTTTTCTCAATCTTTTTCTCTCGCTCTGCCAAAGTTTTCCTCTCATTCATCTTTCACTTAACTTTGCTGAGAAAAATCTTCGATACAACATAATTTTTCCTCTTTTTTTCAGAGAACTTTCTCTCCAAGGACGAGATCTTCTACCTCTTTAGCCCCCAACTGCTGCTCCTCGTTCTTATAAAGCCGAATGGTGGAAGATTCGATGGAGTCGAGCTGAAGACGTTGTCGGGTTTCGGCGTCGGCGCCGTGCATCAGATAGTAGAAGACGTGGAAATTGGATTCCTCGTCCGTCGACCGCGTCATCGTTCGTTCCGCTTCCAGCATGCAAGCTTGCACTCTTCCAGCTCTTTAAAGTGAACAAAATGCGATTCATTTTTCATGGATTGAACATAATTGATATAATATAACTGATATATATATCTCAGCAAAAGTACAGAGAAATTCAAAGCTTTTACGGTTAATGATCGATGATTGTTTGGAGTTAAGTAACAAATCGAAATGAGGTGAAATTTTGCGATGTCTTTTTGTGAGAGAAAAATGAGGATGAGAAAAAGGATCATAATGACCCGAAGAGACGCCAGAGAAAGGGAAACAGTCTAGCTTCTCTCGCGTCTCTTCAGGAAGCCATTGTTCTTTCGGTTCCACTTTTCAGTTTGAAAAAAAAATTAACGGAAACGACCTAACTTTTCGAAGTATGGAAATCGAGAGCCGCTTGAAAATTATAGTATCTTCAGGTATCAACGTGAAAATTTTTCAAAATGAGGCGCCTTGATATTTTTCAATTTCGAGTGAAAGTGCTTATCTATTCAAGTATAGAGGCCCATTATGTGCTTAAAAATCAGTTACAACCCAATTTTGAACCTTCTTCAACCGAATCTGAGATTCCTAACCATACCCTCAAAACTTTTCCGAATCCGAACCGGTTCAGTTGAAAAAAGGCCCTTTTCCTCTCATTCAAATCTTTTTTTTTGATGCAAGTTTTTGTTTCTCTTTTTTTTTTCCAATAAAAACCTCAAGGCAGCGGCTTTATCGAATCCGAGGGCAAACATCTGAACAAAACGGGAGGAATCGCGATGGAAACGCGTCGAAGCATGCCCAAAAGCTTCCAAAACTCCGAAAACCAGCGATAGTTTATCATCTGAAAATCGTTTAGATTGGTTTTTGGACTAAGAAAAATCTCTTAGGTACGACTTTCGTGACATTTTATCAGATCTCTCATTTTCTTCGTAGGCTAGCCAAATTGAGAAGTCACCTTCTGTTCAGAAAAACTTATATTTTAACTTCTTATTTCTATTATTGAGCTTTGCTCATAGACTTCTTCTGACCAATTCTTGAAACTCTCACCATCCTTCTTTCATTTTTCAAGTCTTACTTCTCGATTTAATTTCTAGATTTTTTTTCCTGACGCGGATTAAAGTAACATAAAAAACGAACAAGTCAACGTTTTAGTCCATCCGGCGACAGCTGAAAGGTACTGCGCCAAAGCCCTCAATTGCGTCGATTTTCCACTTCCCGTCACGCCGGTCAGCACGATATTCTGATTTTGGCCCGTCATTTGGAGGTTTCTGAAGGAGAAAATTCGGATGTATATTATCAATAAATTCTCGATATCGACATTTCAAGCTTCTATGTTTCTGGAAGTATTAAAAAAAAGTTTTCTTGCGTTTTTAGCCGGAAAAACTCTTGGAAAATCCATTTTGAACCGGCTTTATGTAGACGTCCGACCATGGCAAGCTTGAAAAAAAAAAATCTTTTTTGCGTTTTTTTTAATAATCTCATTGCACCTCTTGAGCAGAGGTCTATGACTGTGAACAATTTCCCTCAGATAAAGCCCAAACAACCCTAAAAATTGAAAAATAAAATCTCGAGTTTTCCCGGTTCAAATCTTATTTCCCTAACTTGAACAAGGAAAAAGAAAAATTCATACCGATAAACTTGTTGGGCGGTGGCATAGAGATGAGCCGGCATCTGGCCTCGTCGACATCCCTTGAACAGGGAGACGAGCCGTTCGGATGACGTCGGCTCTGGTGACGTCATCGCCACGACCGACTGAGTGCCGGCGTTGGTGTACAGCAGGTTGCTTCCGAAGCTGTTAATTTCACATATTTAAAAATAATTTTTGGGAAATGTAAACCGGTTCCGTAGTAAATGAACGGCGCTCGTTTCATTCAAGTACATCAGCGACGCGATATCGCCAACCTGAAAATGAAAAAATGTTTCATCAAAAAAAAAAAAGTAGTTCTTCAACTCTTCCAACGGCTTCTCCAACTCTACATTCATTTTCTTTCTTCGAATTTTTTCATTTCTTTTCAATATTTTCTCAGAAAGCAATCCATTTTCCAAATTTTTTCCGCTTCAATTTATTTTTTCAAAACCTAGACACTGGCAATGCGAACTGAAAAGCGCCCTGGATATTTCTGATCAAATTGAAGGCCCTTAAGTGGGGAAGGCTCAGAATCGTCAGGTTTACATTACCGAAGTCCTAGAGCTGGTAAGGGAAACCATAAATGTTCTGGACGTTTCTGGGTCATTTTGTGATTACTTCAGGGACCACTATAGGAATTACTACGGTACCGGCGTCTGAGAAACTTCGGCTAACAGAGCACTTTGAAGGCCCTTAAGTGACCACGACTTTGTGTCCCCTAGTGATAACTTCAGGGGTCGCTCAAGGAATCACTACGCTTTTCATTATTGAGTTCTAAGAAATTTCGGTTTGCAGTACCGAGGTTCTAGAGCTGGTAATGCAAACCATACGTGTTCTGGACTTTTCTGTGTTCCTTAGTGATAACTTCAGGGGGTTACTCAAGGGATCACTCCGGTTTTTGGTTAGTCTGGGATATTTCAGAAAAGACAAGGAAAATCTAATTTTTTTTTTTGTTACTTAATATTTATTTTTAGCAATTATTGAAGCTCTACATTTATCTCTGAAAGTCCCCAAGATTTTCCAAAAAATAGATGAAAATTCAAGGACGGACCCTATCCAGAGCTCACTCCGGTTATGGTTAGTCTGGGAAATTTCAGAAAAGGCGGGAAAATCTAATTTTTTTTGTTACGTAATTCTTCTTTTAACAGTTATTGGAGCTCTAAATTCTCATTCATCACTGAAAATTCCAAAGATTCCACACAAAACGATGAAAATTTAATCACGGACCCTATCAAGAGCAGTCGGATTGGCTCGGTCGATATCCGTGGAATCGACGGTCATCGTCTTGCCGGCGACAAGGATCGTCGCGCGGCCGTCGTCCAGCATTCGTTGCATTCGCGCCATCGTGTAGCCGCCCTTGTGAAGCAGCCAGAATCGTTCTTCCTCCGGGATGTCCTCAAAAACATTTATCTTTAGGGGCAGAAGTTTCCCATCTTAGCAAATTACAAGTGTAAGAATCATGAAATAAATCAAAAAACTATCATCTTCGTTGACCAAAAATGACTGGAATAACGGAATAAATGAAAATTCGGCCTGTTTATTTGACCAATAACGACTTGAAGATAATATTGTCCTTCTTAGAATATTGACGTTAGAAAATCAAGCTTCCGATTCAACAGATTATTTCAAAAAAGGCGAAACATCATAGCGAATTTCAAGCTTCACACCAAATTAAAACTACCTCTCGTAAAGAAGTGTTGACGTTGGGAAGCAGAAGCTGGTCTCCAGAATCCCTGACGCCGCCAACTTTCTTTTGGCACAGCTCCGCCAGTTCCGGTACCGCTTTCACCACAAGTTCTGGACGAATAAATAATTAAAAAAAGTGACAAAAAAATTACCATAAAGATAAGCTTAGCAGAAAGATCGAAAGATAAGTTTGAAAATTGAGATTCTCACCAACTTTCGAGCGAAAATTCGACGTAAAAACCTCAAAATTTTCTCTTCTTTAAAAAAAAGTTTTCGGGAATTTCGGTCTTGGATTTTACTCTGAATTTCCTTTAGAAGATAAAATAGGAGATAAATTTGACATTAGGGTCCAAGAAAAAAATAAACAGAAAAAAATTATTTTTTTCTCAATGCAAACTGCTACACTGTTGAGGCTTATTCATCGCTTAAATTTGGAAGTTTTGGAAAATTTCATTTTTAAACTAATCCAGGGAGTATGAAATCACCTATACCCGTATATTTCAAGATACACTGATAGTAGAGATTGACGAAAAAAAAAAAAATGTTTTAAAAAAATTTCAGGTTCCACTGCTTGAGAAAAGTCAATAAGAATTCAAAAAAAAAAAACTCTACTTGATCTTATGGCTTCAAAAAATTTAAATTGGGATTTTTAAGTAAACTTTCTCAAAAAATAACTTCAAAACATGTACCAATGGTAGCTCCAGCCCTCCTGACAGCGTCCTGGAGCTCATCGCGGCTCATTTTATCGACCCGTTGGCCATCGATTTCTAGTAATTGATCGCCAGGCAGAAGACCATTTCTAGGAGAAAAAAGTTTATTCACAGGCGGACAAACGACCTTAAAAAGGCCTTAAAAAGAAGAGGCTTCTAAAACTCCTTTTTGAGTTCCTAAAAAGGTGTCAAAAGTTTCTCGGAATCTTCTTTTTTCCATCTTTTTTCCGCCTTATTTTTTTGAGAACTTCTCAAAAGGTCCTTTTCAGAAATAAATCAAAAAAAAGACGCTTTTGAGGGCTTTTAAAGGACTTTTTTCCAATAGACCTTTTTGAGACCCTTTGGACATTGACCGTTTTCTTAAAATTGAAAAAACCTGAGATCATCAGGTCGGGGAGGTCCCGATCTGTAATCACTGGGCTCAGCGAAGACAACGGTCCTCATGGCGCCCCGATTTCCATAAGGGAATTGAACTCTTCGGATCGAGAAACCAAAGTCTCCTAAAAACGAAAAAGTAATTTTTTTTTTGATCTGTTGAGGATTTTTTCTTGCGCTGTGGACAAGGAGGAGAAAGAAAAGTGAGAAATTGTTCAAAAATACATTTTTTCCAGTACTTCTCTTCACTTACATATGTCTAGGAAAACATCTTTTTCTTGAATTTTTTCCAAAAAAAATTCGGTCAAAACTAAAATTCTTCAAAAAATAGGTACAATTATTCACTATTTTGATATTCTAATGAGGAAAAGTCTTCAAAAAGGGATTTAGAAACATGCAATGAACAAAAATTGATACTAGGAACCAGAAAAAAATGTAGAAAAGTTCTAAAAAAATATAATGATGTACACACTTTTTTTAAAGTTTTTAATCAGAAATATAGCAATTTTTTTCGATTAACCAACAGGTTTCGAAACTGTCAAATGAATAAAAAAACCTCCACGAAAATTTTTTTTGAAGAAATCCGAAGTAAAATCATAAATTTTTTTTTTTCAATATACATACATCCTCCCCTGGGTTTGGATTCACTGTGCCCATAAAAATCCAACTTTTTCTGACCAAAAACTCCAAAATCAAGGAATTTTTTTCAATATACATCCTCGCCTGTCTTTGGATCCACTGTCCCCAATAAAACCCCAACTTATTCTCCCCAAAATGTCCAAAATCCCACCTGTCATATTCTTCCTCAAAGTCAGCTTTCTGACGTAAACTTGGACGGCTGCCAGGGCCGGCAAGGCCAATCCTTGGATATCGAACTCTTTGGGCGATGGTAGAGGTTTCGTTAGAACTTCGGCTTTCCGGACATCTGAAAGTCGAAAAAATGAGCTTTTTCTGATTTTTACTTCAATTATCAAAGGCTTAGGGCTGTTTTAAAGGCACAGGGAGGTATTCGCCGTGTGACCTTCACGAAATCCACTCTCTGCTCCTTTAAAATTAAGCAGAAACTACCAATATTCCATTGAGTCGAGCCACTTTTTCTGATTTTTTTTTTCAAACTATCCAAGCTTAAGGGCTAGTTAAAAGCAGATATTCGCCGTGAGACCTTTTCAACACCTCTGCTCCTTTAAAATCGAAGAAAATACCAATATTCCACTGAGTCGAGGCGCTGGAATCAATACTTGAAGACGTCAAGGCGTGGGGCCTTCCTTCATGATCTCCTGTACCAAAAATTAGAAATCCTTCTGGAAAAATGAAAACCTGATCCATTCTCATTACGATGTGCAGGTATCACTGTGACGTCACTGCTCCCGTGGGAACTTTCAGAATCTCGACTTCCATTTTTTCCGAAGCTGAAGAGACTTCGCTTTGGAGGTACCTGGAGTTTGGAGAATTATATCTTCGCGAAAAAAAAGTTTTTTTTTTTCTTGCTATTTCATAGCCCCTTTTTCCTCGAATTTTTATAAAAAAATTAATTTTTTTCAGAAATTCAAAAAAAGGCATTTATACGTTATTATGAACATATTGCATCACAGACAAAGAAAAAAACAACTTTCACAATTTTTTTCTTCTTTTTCTGTGTATTGAAGTGTTTTTTTCAAATAGGAATAACCAAATATTTCACGATTTTTAAAAAAACCCAGCTTTTTTTATAACTTTTTCTTCAGAAAAAAATGCTTTAAATTATATATTTTTACTAAAAAAACTCTCAAAACCTCAAAAAAATCCTCAAAACTACCAACAAAAGAAAAAAATCAATCAATATCACATATTTCTTGCACATTCAAAACTTCATTCCAAAAAAACCTCTAAATTTTTTTCAAAAAAATCGACCATAAAATCAAAAAAATTATTCAATTCAAACCGGCGGTTTATTTTTTTGGCGACGACGGACGTGTCCTCCCCGTCCTTCTTCCTGTTGAAGAACATCGACGGCGGACGACGTCGTCTGGAACTTGCCGGCGGTCAGTTTACACAGAGATTAGCGCCGTTCACAAGTTTAGTATGTTTGTGCGGACGGAACGGCGAGAAACAACACAGTATACATATACGAGAAGATAAACTGTCAGAATCGCTTTCATTCAAGCTCAAGTAGTAAACAAATAAATTTTCCTAGCTTCTTCAAACTCTTCCAGCACCTTAAAGAACACCTCGAAGTAGTAAAATTAACCTTTTTAGTTGTTGAATGGCTTGAAAGCGCAAAATTTATTCAATTTAGTCATTTTCATCGTTGGTTTGAAGTACATAACCAAAATTTATGGTCAAAGAACTTCAGGAAAATTTAAAATTTGGAAATTTTCAACGTTATGCCTTCAAAATAGGTATCTGAAGCCTTGATCAAAAAAACTTCCGCAAATTTATCTCTGACTCTCCAAAACTTAGTAATCTTTCTCACTCTCTGACGTCTATTTTGAATGGGAATCCATTTTAATCACCATTTTTTCCTTTAATTTTTTTCAAATTTCTCTGATGAATTTATTCCTTATTTTATATAAAATGGAACTGAAGGCCAAAAGGGACATTGTTTCGACCATTTTTTCAAAAACAAACTTTGAAATTTCAAGAAAAAACCAAAATAAAGCTTTTCAGCCCATTTAGCCTCATAAAAACCCATTCAAATGGATAAACATCTATTTCTGTAGAATGAAAAAATAGAAAAGCAAAAAGAGAAGAAATGAAAAATCGAATCACTGTTCAAACATGGAAATACACACACACAAAACTTCAGCATTCCTCCAATTCTCCTTATCACGCGTGCAAAAATGCTATAAGAGCAACTCGAATGATGCTGATAAATAATTAAGATAACATCACTTTGCGTACACAAGAAAAAAGGTACAGAAAAACTGGTTTTCATTTTAAAATTTCGAGTAGGAATGGCATTCCAGTAGGTCGCGTTTACTATATGCGTGTTCCTGGCCCGTTTTTGGTGTCCATTTTCGGCAACACCGCTCGGAAATGTTCTTTTCTTTTGACGTTTAGAAACACAATGGGAAGAAAATTGATGCGATTCGACTAGGATCACAATCGTGACAATGAAAAACGGAAAAAAAGGAGATTATTCCGTGAAAACTTCATAAAATAAATTAAATTGAATTCAAAATGAACGTAAAAAATGCCAAAAAATGTTTTTTTATGCTCTGTTCAATCTGATTCCGCGAAGTGCAAAATACCTGATAGAGAAAGGAAAAAGATCCTGAATCTTGGAGAGTCAGAGATCATTTTGCGTTTCGCGGAATCAAATTGAACACGGCATCACACTAAAATTTCAAAAAAAGCCAACAAAATTAATCATTTTTTTGAAGCGAAATGTTAAAAATTAAGCCATATTTTTCAACTTTTTTTCTTTCCTCAAATACAAAGGAGCCTCATAAAATAAGATTATTGAGATGTGCCTAGAAAAACCTGAAAAAGCACTGAAAAATTTTTCAAAAAAATGATTGATAAAGTCTTTGATTTTTTTCATAGAGAACGAAATTTTTGAACGAATTTCGAAATTTTTTTCTTTCCACTCGAACTTTTTAAAAAAATACAATAATAAAAAGAAAAAAAAGCCTCAATTTAAAAAAACTCGAGATTTAAACAAAGTTAGTACGAATTTGGACAAGAAAAAAAGTCGAATAATTGGAAAAAAATCTCGATTTTTTTATTTTGAAAGCTTCTGGCTCATGAATTGAAAATTAAAGGAAAAAAATTATGACTAACTAAGGTAAACCGAAAGTTCTACAGTTCCGAATTCAATCTCTAAAAAATTAATGGAACAAAAAAAAAGAACCGAAATAACAATAGCAGTGAAACAGGACCATTTTGAGACCGAATTTATACTTTTACGTTTTTTAAAATTTAATTAACACCTAATAAACGAAAAAATAAGTGATGATTTTCATTTCAGCAAGAAGGAACGTTGAAAATTGGAGATGCGAGATAAGGAAGAGAACGGCCGACGGCTGTTTTTTCTTCTCTTTTCTGTTTAGGCGAAAGGGGGGAACGGGGAGGTCAGCGGCTGTTTGTGGGAAGTGGGTTGAGTGTTGGTTTGAAGGAAATCTCAACGTCTCTTTTAGTTTCTATTCGTTTATCCGAAAGGAATGGCCTTTCTAGTGAGAAAAAAATACTACATTTTTTTTTTAGAAAGCCAGCATTTAATAGAAAAACTAAGAAAATAAGAGAAAAAAGCGGAATTTAAGCATTTTACCAAGTTCAATAACCGCTTATTGGAAAGGGGTTAGTTAATATTTAAAGAATATAGCCCTAGAATAAAAACTTAAAAACCTTGAATATGAGTTCAAAAATCCGAAAAGTCCTGAAAAAAACAACCTTTGAAATAATGGCCTTCAAACGACCTTCCCATCGCCTTTTTTTACGATTTTTCTGTTGGAACGTGAAAAAGGTGTTTGAAGGATTGGTCAAAGAATTTGTTCATAAGAAAAATAATAAAGAGGTACTAAAAGGAAAACTTCGAACTTATAACAAAACTTTCGTCTTCTTTTTGAGATTTTTTTTCAGGAGAGAAAAAATAAAACTAAGAAAGAAACTTGTAAATCACAGATTTATTCATTTTTTGGATCAGAAAATTTCTTTCATGAGGATTATGCGACGTTTTAGTCGAATTGAAGCTTATAAAAAAAACTTTTTCAAAAACAAAAATAGAGAGAAAAAAACTGACGTAAAAAAAGATGGGAGCAGGAATTTTTTTCCAAAGAATCTATATTTTTCTCTGATCGACAAGAAACCCATTGTTCTTCTTCTCTCATTTTTTTGGAAAAAAAGTAATGATTAATTGTATTTTTAAATTGAAAAGTTGAAGGAAATAGATGACTTATTTGAACAACTTTCCGGGATTTTCGAAAATCTACGCGTTAATTTATTTGAAAAAAATGACAAATCAATGGTTCAACCAAGGTTTTAATTTATTATTGAGATAAAAATATCTAAAACTCGAGTGAAAAATCACAAATTTCAAACAAAAAAATCTCATTGTGAGTCTCACTAGTAAGATGCTTTTTCCATATTCTGTTTGAATATTTGAAAATCTATTAAACTCTGATACATAGAACAACATGGACTAGAAATAAAGAGGCATAACTTGATCAAGAATTCAATAAGAGTGAATCAAGCACCGGTTTTTATGCCCTCGTGAGCGAATTTACCAGTACAGGGGAAAAAAAAACTGTTCAAAATTCGGTTGTTCATTGGAGAATAAATTTTGTAATCACCATTCGAGGATTTTGATGATTTTTTCAACATCTCAGAAAGAATTTTTGAACAAACTACTATTACAAAAAAACATGCACACGTGTAAAGCTTCCCAGACGGTCAAGGTAACACTTAAGTGACCCAAAAGCCTCTTAAGTGAGCACTAAATGACTTCAAAACGTTCAAATTACCAGGATGACACTCTGGAAAGCGTTACCAATTTCTAAGAACACGAACAGATGAAAAAAAAATCCAAACTCGAGTCGAAAAGTCCGACACTCAAAACGTACGCGAGAACGACAAAAGCATAGACAGAATTGGACTCGAGGGCGACCTCAAGAAAAGAAAAGCCGACCGAAAAATAAACACATGACCGGACCATATAAAGAGCATAAACTTGAAACCATGTTCTATAGAAAGGTTACTGAAAATCCGAAACTTGATGTAACTCGGAAAAATGAAAAAGTCCCAGCAGTCCTCAGCGGTGTAAGACCCATTAAATGAACTTTGAGCCATTCAGCAATCACTTAAGCAAGTTATTTAGCGCCCTCTCCGCGTTTCCTTGAACTTGCAGAACACTCCGGAAAACGACACCAATGTCTGAGATAGTTCAAGAGCCGATTCAATGCAAAACAGCCCTTCTAAACCGTGACATCAATATCAAAGCAGTAAGATTGAAGAAAATGTACGCGGTAAAGGAGGATGAGGGCGACGTTTTGCGCGCCGACGCCAAACAAAACTTGACCGACAAACAATGGACACACACGGTTTTTCTGTTAGGAAATTGAATTCGTCATCTAAGTTCAATTCGAGAAAAAAAACGAGGAAACTTGTTCATTTTTAAAGCCAAAAATTGAAATTGTCTCAGATCGAAAATGTTAATTAGACCGTTTTCCTCAATGTATGCCTCAATAATCATTTTATGATCTGGCTCATGGAAAATAAAGAATAAAAATATGAAAAGAAATCGAAAAATTGAAAAAAATTATCAAATATAAGAAATCGATCCGAGTGCCGTGGCGCGACTTTTCTCCTATCGTTCAAATAAAAAAAAATTAAAACCGCGAATTTTCCTTTTTATTTGAGTTTCTTTTTTTTGAACCTTTATTTCATGAATACAACGTACAAAAATACTCAAAAAGACTACTGAGAAGTTTCAAAAAGTGGTCGCTTTGGTTGCGGACGGCTTCGGCAGGTTTACAGCAGCTTAACGAAACAAGTTTCTGCAGATCCGGGAAATCAAGGGAAGTTGCATGAGTCTTTTACATTTTGAAACTGAGATAGAAAATGTAGGAACTACTTTAAAATTCGTGATTTAACGAAACTGTGTCATAAAGTGTTTAAAAAGTGCGTTTTTTAGGAAAAAAAAGATTCTTTTTTTTAAAGGTCAAATAACCTTCTTGGAAAATTATATGATTTGAATTGATCGATTTTGATGGCAGAAAAGGTGAAGGAAATACAATAATGAAGGAAAAGAAAGGGCTAAACGCAAGGTTCCTAAAAAATGTCAGAATTTCGAAGTTATCACAAAATATGCTTAAAAAATCGAGTTATACAGCATATATTTTGTTTTTTTTTCCCATTTTATAGTTTTTTTTTCTTTGAATAAACTCGAAAAATAACTTTCGATAACTTCGAGCAAAGTTATCACAAAGAATGCTTTTAACTGTTTTTTGCAGTCCTGTAAGTGACTTCTTTGCATTATTCATAATGTTTATTTGTTTTGAACCAATTCGAATCGGATTTCGCCGGCTGGATATGTGTGGGTGGAGACGGCAGGCTTGATCTCGAGCCCTCAGGGCGATTCTGCTGCTCGCCGAGCATGCTACGGCCCGCTGCTGTAACACCAAGCGACACAGGGTCACTGACTTTTTATTTTAGACCCTCCTCTAGCCTCTTTTCTTATTGTTTTTGGCTCATTTTTACGTTTTTCTTGTTCAGAATTATTTTGAATGCTTCAAAAGCTTTGATCTGTCTGTTCGAACTTGAGCTCAAAATTTTAGTTTTTGTTGATTTTCTAGTTGAAACAGTTCACTCAGGGAAAGACATGTGCTTCTGAAGTTATATTTTTTTTTTCGTTATGAATATTTTTCAAGGAAGTTCTTTTTTTGCGTTCAGAAGTTTTTCAGAAATCCTAAAAAGAACGGAAAAGGTCCAGACCTTTCTCTTATAAGTTTTTTTCTGCAAAAAGTCTAGGTGATTCAGAAAAAAAGTAGATGAAGACGTCTCTGTGTGAATTCCATTCAAAAACAAGTCGCAAACCTAAAAATTCAAACATTCGGACGTTCTACAGCGGTTAATAGATCATATTGTTCCTTTCCTTTTTTCGAAAAATAAAAATCTGAACCTCAGTAAATGGCGGACGAAGACGACGACATCGAGTGGATCCGAGAAGAGGCCAAAGAATCGACGCCGCTGACCCCAGCGACACCCGCAACAGTCGTCAACAGTTTCTCGACGGATTTCGTGGCACTGAACAACCCTAAAACCATTGAAATTTTGGCTCCCGAAGCTTCTGAGGAAGAAAAACCGAGGAAGGAAAATTCTCCGCCTGGTTCGTTTCTTTACTTCATTGTTTTTGATCTGTTTAGGTTTAATAGGAATTTGAAAGAAAAGTGAAAAACTGAGAAGCTCCTACAGAATAAAAGATATTCATAAAGTTTCCGAAAAAAACTGTTTTTTTGAGCTGAAAAAAAGCTGAAATCTTCAATATACTGCTATTTTTGGAAAGAAACGTGCTTCAATTCTATTTTTTCGTCAATTTTTCTAATCCAAAGTTTTAGGATTTTTAAAAATCAGGCAGTCGTACAATGACTATACCAACACTTATTTTCATTTGGAACTTTTTCAAAATCAGAAATTTTCTCAAGTTTCCTGTGTCATCTGCATTGTGGACGATAGCTCTGGATAAAAAATCAAAAGCGAGATAGAAAGTCATCTGAAGAGACGGCAGAGAAGTAGGGGGATTTCTCTTTCTCTGGCGTCTCTTCAGGTTCTGTGACTCTCTCTTTTCCGTTTTTATCTTTTCTTTAGGTCCTAGCGCTTATTTCGAACTCAAAATGAGATTTTCTGAGATGACATATGAAAATTTTCGACCTAAAAAATCTTCTACTCTGGAATTTTTAGGTCTGAAAAGACTGAAAGACACTTTTTTCCCCAAAACGTTCACTAAAAATCTTTTCCATGCTCCTTCAAAAATCATAAGAAACGTTTAAGAACTAAACAAAGAAATATATTCAATTCAGAAGTGACCGACTCGAACCTCCTTTCCGCAAAAGGCTTCGGCCAGCCGCCAGACACGCCGACCTCCATCGACGACAGCATTTCTTTCGATATCAGTTGAGTTTCCAGCTTCATCCGTCGTTGAATAGGAGGTTCAGGCGAATGCGAGCGACAGCTGAACAACACCACGGCCGAGGCGAAAGAACTTCTTCAGCGACTCGGCGAGAAAACGCAGCTCGCCACGGAGAACAACGCAAAGATCTCACAAGAGTACGACATTCCAAAAATGATTTGAAGGCCTTGATTCAGCTTGGCGGAAGCTCAGAACGACGCGAGAAAAGTTCGATGGGACGATACCGTCCATAAGACTATCGACGATCATTTCCAAGTTCCACCACCTCCTGAGCTTCCTTCTGGAGGGTTTGTAATTTTTTATTGGAAGTTAAAATTTTTCTGGAAATATTTATTCACTAAAAGCCTTTCAGTATTCTTGAGAGAGGTCCTGAAATTGTCAAATCGGAAAGTTTTTTGCTCGACTCAGTCCTTCACAGCAAAGGCTTTACTTCAAAATTTGAGTTTTATCATTTTTTGGGTTCTTCTCTAAAAATAACGTTTTGTACTTGGGAACTCCAGAGTGGTCCCTATAGGGGCAACCTTACTTCACCCCATAGGGGTCATTTTCGCAAGCTTTAGTGTCTTCTTTTTGGTTAGTGGTCCTTAAAGGGTTTTTGGATCTTAACGAATTAGCGTTCTATGAAAGAAATAAAAAAACTCAAGAAAATATCAGAACAAAAAAAATTGAAGACCCCTAAAGTGACCACTTAAGTTTTAGGAGCTTTAGCGTCAGACTCAAACCCCTATAGAGATCACTCTGGTCTTCCTCAGTGTAAAGAGACACACCGGTAGTAGGATTTTCGGCATTAGAAGTTTTGAATCTCATCTTTTTCTTCGGGCTCATTTCTTTTAGTCATCTTTCTACTATAAAGCAATGGGAAAATCCCAATTTCATACCAAAAAATGCCAGAAAATTCAAACTTCATACCAAAAAAGGTCAGAAAAGTCCACAAGAATAAAACAATTTTGACAGTTTTAATGAAAAGAAAGACTTTTTCATATTTTATTGTTGGTTAGGAACGACTCAAGGAGCATTATATTAAATTTTGAATATAAAACTGTTTTCCACTGACCCCATGACGTCACTTTCCTCCCTACAGCCTTCCGCGGAACGTCGAGTCGGTCCTGGTCGGGGAAGGACTTGTCGAGGCGGTCACAGGGACTCTGGTGCTGCCTAACGGGCTCGTCCTGGTCACCGACGAAGTTCACGGCGTCCTTCTCTTCGACATCCAAGGCGGCGTCGTCGCTAAGGTTCTTTTTTATTTCCCTTGAAAAAAAGTACTGCGAATCTTCTTAAGGTTCAAATAGCGCTAGAGATCTTTGAAAAGAAGAATTTTTTCCCGTTTTCCCTTGATTTTTTTTTTCTTGTCGTGATTCTCCTATCTCATTTGTATAAGGACACTGAGAGCCAGGAATTTTTCGAAAAGTCGGAAATTTTTTCGTGGGACAGTTCTCTAGCAATATGAAGACATTTGACATGGGAAATCGGTGATTTTTGACTTTTTTCCAAAAAAAAAAGATTATTGATCTTACTCCTTACAAGGAAGGTAATTTTACTTTTACTCCAGTTGGGAATTTCCTGAAATAAGGCCTGAAAACACCTTGATGTTCCAGATAGAAAATCCGGAAACTTTCAACCTGAAAAACTTCCTATTTTTTGAGAAACGGCGCCTCAAAGTCGAAAAAAACCTTCAAAATCCGCTTTTTTGGACCTTTGGGCTCTTATTTTTCAAAATTTAGACATTTGTGCAGGTTGAAACTTTCAGAACCTTCTTCCGGTACATCAAGAAGCCTTCTGGCCAATTTTCAAGAAAATCCCAACCGAAATTAAAATGACATCCCTTGCTGAAGTACTATAGATCCGCTGAAATTCTTATTCATTCTAAAAAAATCATATAATTTTCTTCGATATTCCGAAGTTTCAGGTAAATCCGCCAGAATTCAAGAGGTTTACCAGCCCCGTCTACCACAAGGAACACATTTTAGTGAGCTTATTTTGAAAAATCCCTTTAGAAAATCAGAAAAATACTAGATGTTAGCAGACGCCAAGGACAACGAAGGACACTGTGCGAGATTTGTTATCAAGGTATTTAAAAAAAAAGTCAAAACTGTCTTTCTAAAACTCAAAGGTTACAGTTCTCCCTCGGACTCCAGTATGTCGGCCGGATCGAGTGCCCGAAATGGCTTCAGGAGCACACGATTCTCCGAGAACGGCTCAGCATTGCTCATACTGACTTTTTATACCTTTGCGTCTGTGGCGAGGTTTGAACTTGAAACATTTTCTCATTATTTCGTTTTTGATCTCTTGAAAGTTAATCCAGAAAAAGGTATTCGTCGCTTTGAAAATTATAACCTTTATCAGAAAGTAGGTCATCAGGGGAACTTAGAAAACTGGGCAAGATACTTTTTTCTGTCGAAAATAAAGACATTTTGATAATCATAGACCTACCAGAATGTCTATTTTTTATAGAAATGTCCCTCGCAGAAAATCATTAAAAAGTTGTTTTTTCAAGACTTTTAGTCCTAATTTCTCAAAAATTTAAAGTTTCTCCTGGTTGAGGTTCTCAGAATCTAGTAATTTGACCAATTAAGAAAAAATGCCTAGGCGTGAGGCTTTACATTGAAGATATCGCAAAAGTCATAGTTTGGTCTCGCATTTTCATTAGCGCGATATCGCGTTTTAATTGGCGCGATATCGCTTTCAATTTGACGCGATGTCGCGTTTTAATTGACGCGATATCGCGTTTTCATTGGCGCGATATCGCATTTTGATTTGCGCGACATCGCTCTTTGAAAATGTTTAAAATTTTCTTGAGTACGTGAGAAAAGCGAGGGCGATATCGCGTCAAGAAAAACACTCCAGCGTTTCGAAAAAGCAACGTCTTTGCGATATCGTCAATGTACCGCCAGCCATCGCTATTCTCTCGCTTCTGTTTAATTTATCTTCTTATTTACAGATATTCTCAGGCCTCTACGAGCTGACTCCCGTGGGCCAATGGACCGAACTGGAGTACAAACTTTCCGAAGCTTACATCGACATGCTGGCCTTTGCCACCGTCGGTCCAATCACCCAACTTCTTGTTGTTGAAGGTTTCTTTTTGAAATTTGAAATTACCAATTTGAAAAAAAACTGTCGATTTCTATACTGTCTTTTTTGCTCATAATCACCAATTCAACAATAAGAAACTGCTTCAAATTGGATTTTTTTTGTCTTTTTGAAAATTTTCGCGCGTTGCCAATGCTTCATTTTATGTTAGGATATGATGATCTTAAAAATTTTTTTTAAAAATACCGTTCTTTTTTTCCACTTTTTAGCCCATTTCACATCTCACATTTCCCTTCAAAACTACACTTTCAGATCGTGATTATATAAAAAAATCCTATAAAAATATTTTTTCTATTCCTCTTCATAATCGCGTCACTCTACTTATAATTTGAATCCGGTGACGTTTTTTTCTGAAATTCACAAATTTCTGCAGAAATTTAAAATTACGGGTTTTTTTGCGCCCTCTTCAGCCTTTTTTTAATATTCCCTCTAAAATTCTCTAGAAATCTAGCAAAACTACTCTCTCTTTCCCTATAATCGCATTGCTCTAACCATAATTCGAATTATATGACGTCACTTTTTTTTCGCAAACAGGAAGGAAAAATTACGTGTTACTGATATCGGTTCGAGAGTCGCAGATTGTCGACAGAAAAAGGATGGCGATTTGTGAGAGGCCAGGCGCCTTGGCGCGAGATGAAGCCGGTGAGTCGGACTCCTTCAAGGACTGAAGAAAACGCTATGGAAAAGTCAGAAAATCAATCAAAAGTTGAAAAAGCTATCCCTATAAAGCTCACTTTCCGAGTAGCCACTTCAGTGAGTTTACTTGAATTGAAAGAAAAAAATGAAATTTTTTATTTTTTTCTATAAATCACTTTCCTTGAAAGTTGGACCAGAACAAGCCAAGCGAGAGATGAATAAAGTCTGAAGAGACGCCAGAGAAGCAGACACTTTTCCTTTATCTGTCGTCTCTTCAGGCCCCCTCTACTCTCTCATTTTTTTTTTTATCGATTTATTTTTCAGAATATAGTCTAAAGCGTTCAAAATCTTCATTTTGATTGTTCCTCATGTTTTAAAAAAACCTCTAAAAATTTTCAGGACGGTTATTCGTGGCGAATCGTTCCTCGGCCAGCATTCAACTCGTTGACACGATGAAATGGGCCAGCGCCAGGAACGTCGCCATCACTGACGCCATGGTAAAGTCTATTCACTTCTTTCGGGACCTTATTTGGCTTGATGATCATGCGCCTTTAAAATCGAATGCGATTTTACGACTAACTGGGAAAAATTTTTAATGGCCACTGTAGTAGTCAAATTAGTGACCACTTGAGGGGTTTAAATTTAGTGGCCACTATAGAGGTCTAAGTGCTACTACTAGACCTCTAAAAAACTTAGTGACCACTTTAGGGGTCAATGTATCAACATAACTGGTCCAATCTGTTTGTTTTAAAATTATCAGAGTAACTGGAAGGAATACTGGATGAAAAAACTACTGAAGTGGCCACTAAATAGAGAACCTCTATAGTGGTCACTAAAACGGAAAACGGTGGCCACTATAGAGGTGGGTTTAGTGGCCACTTTAGTGTCCTCTCCAAGTAGTCCTTGGCGGGCCTCTATAATGGCCACTGGAAATTTTCCCAGAATTTATCGATTTTTTTTTCGAAATCCCGGTTTCCTTCTTCACACCCAATAACCATTGCAACATACTAAATTTAGCCGAAAAAAATACGATTAAAAAGCCGCGATTTGGGAAGTTAGGCCTCGAAGATCTTTTAAGAAGCGTCCTTTTCCAGGTCCGACACTTCACGGCCTGCTGGGGCCTTCTGGCCATTCCTCTAAAGCACGCGATTCGTTTGCAGCGGTACTCATTCCGGTGATCGTCAACACTAACGAAACATTTTGAAAAAAATTCTGTTTAGTAGTTGAAAATGAATTTTATTCGCTATCTTCAAAGAAGTGTGACCTAAGCATGAAATCAAAAATAACCGCGCAATCAGAATTGACTAAATAAATTGAATTTGAAAAAAAAAAAATAATAATGTGTCCTTGTGTGAGAAGCAACCCTAACAAGAGCAGTATAAGTAAAATAAAATGGGAAAGAAACAAGGTTGTGAAAAGCATGAAAAAGCTCATGGTGGTACATGGAATGGCTCGATGCGGAATGGTTGCAACCGACTTGAAGCGACTTGCGCGCAAAGGTGTCTAAAAGCATATTGAAGCCGTAACGCGACCGCGGTGCTCCAAGTCATTAAAAAATCTTTTATGGAGTAAATAAGGCTTCCGAAACGGTTGCACCCGACCTGAAACAACTTGCGCTCATGCCGCTTCGAGCCATTCCAAACAGGAAATTATGAAGTAAAGGGTCATCAGTTCAAGTCAATTTGGTAAGGTTTCGTCCAATCGTAACTGAATTTCAGAAGAAAAACTCAATCTGAGATCGATAGTTGCGGCTAACAAATTTTGAGAAAGATGACATTTGTCGAACTTGAGGCACTTGCTAGTAGCAAAGGGGGGACAAAAAATCAGGTAAATTGAGCGCGAGCGGAGGAGCAGAAGTAAATAAGAAAGCCAAGGGACCCTAAAAAGGAAAAAAACAAATTTGATCTCTTCGGTATTTGTGATATAAAGAAATATGCACGTATGATTTTGATATCGCAGACAGATATGCAGTTATCTCGCTAGAAAAAAAAAATAGAAAATGGTAGTACCAGTAGGAAAATTTGAAATTTAGATATTCTTAGGTTCTATCTATAGCTCTAAGAGAAAATAGAAAAGGAAACCAATAAATTATTTTGTATGAAAATGTACAGCTGGAAATAGGCAAAAAAGATTGGCTCAATTTCAAAAAGCCAAGTATGCTCTATTGAGAAATATTTCAAAAAGTTCCCAGCTGTATATTTTTCCAAGAAAAAGCTTTCTAAATTTGAAACCACCTTATAAAAAAGAAATGAGCAATCATCATTGAACAAAGCGAATGGTACAGAAAAACGAAATAAATAGACAAAAATAAAATTGTTCAGAACAAAAATCCCTATCAAAATAGAATATAATTTGTAAGAAACCGGCATTTTTAACACATCGGAAAGAGGAAAAAGTAACAAAATACAGAAATATAACAGGATAAGTCGAATCACAGGCTATTGAGACTGGGCTGTTCAGAGTTGGTGACTGCGGAGGCGCTGCTTCTGCGCTCCACGGATAAACTGGCGCCTTTGCGCATTTTCGACGGCCCGCCCAGGTCTTGGGACCCGGCCTTGTCCCGGAAATGTCCCCGGGGCTTTGTGGTCGTTGTGTTGGCGGACGTGGTGGCGTTGCTGTGTCGGGAGGAGCGTCGCTTTTCGTTGTCCTTTTCTCGGAGCTCTTCGATGGCCGACTGCAGGAAATGAAAGAGTTATAGTGTGTTTCAAATATCTTTTTGGAGATTTTAAAGAAGCATAGGCAGGTTTTATGAAGGTCTCGAGACGAAGAGAAGTTTTCAGCGGTTATTTTGGTCCTTTATGAGCTCTGGATTCCGAAATTTTAGACCACGCAATGAAGGTTCAAATTTTCTGATATTTCTCTTAGAGGTCACTTAAAACATTTGGAACAGTTTTTGGGATTGAAGTTCATTTGATTTGAAAAAAAACCTATTTTCGGTACCTTTCATTCACTGCCCAACTATAAACTTGAAAAAAGCCACCTTTTTCGAAAAAAATAACATATTTTCAAGTTCTTTTGTGAACAAAATGTCCCTTGCCAATTCTGACTCAGGCCTGATTTTTTTTCCAAAGCGTTCCAAATAGCAAGAATGACTGCTAATTGTGTTTGTCGCACACAATTATTTCTGATTCACAATTTTCAGTAATGGCGGAAAAAACGGCGTTTTTTGATCTTTCATAATCTGATTTCTCTCTCTTTGATTAACTGGCAACCAAAATAACTATTTCCAATTTCATATCCGAGAAAAAAAATGCACCTGCAATCGTTTGACGTGTCCGATTTTGTTGACACCCAAATCCTTGAAATCGCCGCGTTCCAGATGAATCAGTTCATTTCCCTGGAAGCAAAAGGAGAATAATTTTGATTATGATATCTCCAAATAATCTTTGAAATGAAGCCGAAAAAATGATCTAAATAAAAAAGAAGGGGCAAAAATAGTTCTGGGCGGAAAATGGCGAATATTGAAACAAAAAGTCCTTAATGAGCTACTTTTCATAACATTTAAAGTTTCACGGCTTGAAAAATGAACCAAAAATCTTCTTTTTTGGCTCAAAATTTCCGATTTATTGAATCTGCTCTTACATATGTTTTTCAAAATGCACTCTTTCATAAAGATTAAGTACTTCGGAACAATTAAAATAAAATAATTTCGTCTTTCCAGTCTTTCCAACAGTCCAAATTACAAATATATGCTTAGAATTTGGAGCCAAACTTAAAACACGGATAACCTAGAGAGCCCTTAGGTGTTCCCTTACTTCCAAAAAATGTAAGGACTGCGTTACCAGTGTCTCAGAGTACCATATTCGAAGTTGAAAATTTTCCCAATTCCAAAAATCCATTCCTAATCATCTCCAACCTGAACGTCATTGTTCTTAAACTGCGGAGAGTACTGTGAAAGGCCGAGGGAGTTCAGCCAGGAGCAGACGTCGTCCACCGACCAGGATGATACTAAAATATTGCTGGTTAATCAAAAAAGTCGAGCCAATAGAGGAAACCATTGGAATGAGGAGCGCCGTGTCGTCGGCCAAACTTGCGGCTGAGCCAATCGGCGAGGCGACTCCGTTTCCGACGTCCATGGATGAGGTCGCGGTTTCGAATCTCTCTGAAGGCCGCCTCTTCTCGGGTCATCTCCTGCCGGATGCTGTTCATCACGTAGCGCCATCTGTCCGGCTCGTCTCCCTGTAAATGCCCAGGTGGAGTGAACATCTTGATAGGAACTTTCTATAATCTCTTTCAAAAGCTCTATCTAGGTCGGAATGAAGATTTCTGAACGTCTTAAAGAAAAATTTCATTTTTGGAGTAAGGAATTCGGAAAGTTCCTCATGAAACTACTGAACTCTAAACTTTTGACTAGAACATTTTTCTCTCAAAAAAGTACGCTTAGCTTTTGAAAATGTGAGCTAAACCTTTAACGGAGAGATTCTCAAAAATGCCTCAAATTTCTAGTTTTTTCCAATATTCCAGTCGGTTCGATCGTCAATTTGACCAGGCCTTTTATAAAAACAGTTTCAAAATATTCCGGCGACCGCATATTTTTTATGGTTTTTTCAAAGAACTCCGACTCGGACCTTGGTAACGCAAACCGGACGTGTCAAGGCAATTCAAGTGACTACTTTAGTAGCGTTAGCCCTCTTAAGTATTCCCTAGAATTTTGCTGTGTCAGAACTCTTAAGTGATCCCTAGAATTTAGTAGCGTCAGCGCTCTTAAGTGATCTCTAGAAAATAGTTGCTTCAGCACTCTTAAGTGATCCCTATAATCTAGTAGCGTTAGCCCTCTCAAGTGATCCCTAGAACTTACCATTAGTAGCGTGAGCACTTTTAAGTGTGATCCCTAGAACCTAGTAGCTTCAGTACTCTTAAATGATTCCTTGAATTTAGTAACGTCAGTACTCTTTAGTGGTCCCTAGAGTCTAGTAGCGTCGGCATTTCAGTGATCCCTAGAGTTTAGTTGCTTCAGTACGCTTAAGTGATCCCTAGAAATTTTCCGACACGTCTGATCCGCGTCCGGTTCGCATTACCAAGGTCCAAAGAGTTTCACGTTCTTAACTTACCAAATTTCTGTTTCTTACTTTCTCAAAAAAGCAATTTACGCTGTTTTGAAAGAAAAAAACATTTTTTTTTTGGTCTCAAACTCTTTGAGACCTCATGTTGTTCTAGACTTGCTATGGAAGACCTTCCTTCTATTTTCTCATCGAAAAAAGACGAACATGGATCTCAAAGGTGAACTGTGGAGCGGGGCCAAGTCTCGGCTGTCCGGCCGGAGGTTTGCATCGTTCAGGCCAGCCGAAATGATCCTCCAAGAGTTCGACGACACGTTCCACGGCGGCCAGGGCCTCTTCTCGGTTACTCAGGTCGAGTTGAGAATCCGCCTGAAAAAGTTGTCTTTCCTTTCACTCAGTTATTTTGTTGACACCTTTTACACATTGCTCAGCTCAAAGTAATATTTTGAAAGCTTTTTCTTTACAGCAGAAAGTCTCTCACGAGCCCTTTATTATCTCATTAGCTTTTTGGTTTTTGCAGGTCTTTTGCTCCAAAGAGCCCAGAGCAGAAAGGTCGAGTTTCGCCAATATGATAATTGGCGAATGCCGCCCTTTTCCTCCTTTTTGCACTCCCATTTGCATTACTAGGAAAGTCTAAAAAAGCGAAAAAAAAAGCAGGAAAGCTATGATTCTTGTTTTCCAGCTTATAGAACTAAAGAAAGGAACAATGAAGGAAATAATAATTCCTAAGACCCGAAAAATGGGTCTAAATTGATGCTATGGTAAGTTTTTTGAAGTTTATTGGACTTCCGATTTTTTTTTTACGTTGGCGTGCCCAATTTTTGACAATTTTGTAGTAGGCCATGAAAATTTTCAAAGAGAAGTTCTATACAATGATTTTTCAACCCTCTTTTTTCGTTAACCTACTCCTTCAAAGCCATCTTTCTTTCAGAAACCCACTTTTTTGTCCCATTTCGAGCATATAAAATTTCAATGATAGGAAGTTGGATTTTCCAACTCATTTTTCTTTTTAATTTTTCAAAATCAAATTTCTTTCCTTCAAAAACTACATGAACGCCCAGATTTTTCCACTAAACCACCAGAGTCTTAAAAAGCTTCAAAAAAATAAATAGACATATTTCTTTCAAATACCCATAACTCTTTAATAGACGCTGTCCAGTCGGATTAATTTAATGAGTCGTCTTCTTTTTCAAGGCCCCGAAGGAATGCAGCAATATGGAAAGGATACGGCTCGTTATAATTAAAAACGGCTCTCTCTTTCTCTCTGTCTAAATATATATTCTGCCCCTTCTCGTGTCCCTCGAAACGGGAAAAAAAGGAGAAAGAAGGGCTCGGACGACGCCAACCAATGGAAAAATTGTGGTGGGGCGACGAAGATTAAGCGTCTTTTGAGCCCGTTCCAATCCGGCTCCACAAGCCTGACGTACGTCGTCCCCACTTTATTCTTCACTTAAAAAATCAACACCTCCCGAAAATTGCACTGGCTTTAACCCCTCTTAAAATCCTTTTCCATCGAAAATTTGATTTGAAGATTTTCTGATAACTATCTTCGTGCCCTAAAAATAATCTTCAACCATGATTCTTCTCAAAATTTCAAACGTCAAAACTAAAAATCACATTTTTTGAAAATTGAAAATTACAAAAATCTTTTTTCAGCAAACTACACGGTATGAGACCCGTATATTTTTTTGAAAATTAGTTCGAAAAGGTACAAAAAGTTAATTTAAAAAGGTTCAAAAGGTACCTAAAAGGCATATGGCGGTAAAAATTGATAATTTTTCGAACCATTTTACAAAATTTTTAAAACTAGATTCTTCAATTTTTCTCGAATATTCCCTTTAATGTAGGCTTGTGTACACCGTTCCTTCATTCATTCTGGCGTAATCTTGAAAATTAGTAAAAAAAAAATACGGGGTTCTTTGCTTTTTTGATTCTAAAAAACCCAAGGATCCGCTTTGAATAAAATATAAATTACTCAATATTTTACCGGAAATACACGTTCAAGACATTCAAAAAAAAATTTCAAGACTTTCTATTTTTTCTCCTCGAAATTCCTAACCATTTCCTTTCCTTCTTCTGAAATTCTGATCAAAATTATTTGGTCAAAGTCATGAAAACCCCTCGAATTAATCACAAAATGTTTGATTCAACCTTCAAATCTCAAAACCTAGCCCAAAATTTTTCATTCCACGCAAATCATCGATCAGCCCAACTTTTTGAATAAATTAAGCCGCCCGGAGGCAAATTGTTTTATTTCCTTCTCGTTTCTTATTTTATTTATTTGTTCCGCTTACACACAAGACCACGCCCGGAAACCACATTTTCTCGTCCTTTTCAATTAACGTCTCATCGCAATTAACAATCCCAACGCCTTCAGGAAAAAATTCTGTTTCAGACATTTCCGACACATTCTGCTTTCCTTGTTGAGAATGTTTGAAACACCCAGGTAAGTCATTTGAAAAATTCATTTTAGAAATGTCTATTGAAAAGTTTCTGGAGAGAAAAATCCAGACTACCTTTTTAGATCTTCCAAGTCTTCTTTTTGCTGACTTTCTGCTTTCATTTTCGCTTATTTTAATTAAAAAATGCCCCAAAAAAGCTACAAAATGAAATTTTTTGGCATCACGATTATTTTAAATGTATAATGGCTAGAGGCGGAGTTCACACTAATTTTTTCTTTCAGCATTTCCGCAAAATATCCCTGGATCGCCCGGGCACGATGCACTATCCTTCTCGAGCTCCTTCTCTCCCTAATTTTCGACATCGCAATGATCGAATCAGTGATTCGGGGTCAATTGATGAACCTCCTACTAGTGATTATCCTCTCACTCAACGTCTTCGCCTCAGTCAGGTGAATTTCAATTCTTTTCTGTATGAGAACTCACAAGGCAGGCGAAAAAACGACGGAGACTTGGATCTTTTTGATAATCGGCAGAGTTCTAAGTACTCTAAAATCTATCTGAACAACTTCTTCCTCCATTTTTCCCTTCTAATAGACTTGTGGAGCTTTCAGGACACCCTAGTCTCCACCTTAAAGTGTGATATTCAACTTTAAGCAACAAAAAAACTTTTTTTATTGGAATCAGAGTACTCCAAAGTCGATTACATCAAACTTTTAACAAGCTTTGAAACTTTATCCAATTTTTCTTCTTACAAGAAAGGTCGTCTGAGAACTTTTGAAAATTTGGTCAGAATACTCCTTGATGAAATTCCTGGAAACCTTAACCTTCCAGTTTCGAAAAAAATAAGAGCTCCAAGTTTGGAAACGGCTAATTTTATATCCTATTTTTTGAGCCCTGGTTCTCGGAAACAAAGTTTTGAGCCGTTTTAGACTTTTAAGATACCAAACTGCCATTACAAAGGATATTCTGAGCAATTTTCAAGGATTTCCAAACCAAAAGCTAAGATGACCTTCCTAGTAAGTACTCTAATTTCAATTTATGCTTTTTTAAAATTGTTTTTCAGTCCAGTCCTTATTCTCAAAGCATCCGTTTCACTGTCTCGCTAGTTTCTATCGAAATAAGGTACAAGAAATATTTTTTTTCAGGCTTCTGATGAAATTGCGCGGCGCCAACTGTGCCTCCTCCATAACAGCCTACGTCGCCTGGAAAGCCTTCCAGGAAATAATCATGGTGCCCGTGCTCGTAGTTTTCACATTCTTCGTCGTAGACGTAAATGAGATTTTTCAACAAGGAATAACAAAATACTTTCAGAAGTACATAAAATCATGGATGAGCAGTGAAAAAGCCGTGCAGGTTCTCGTGGTTGCCTGGCTCTACGCATGCTATTCACTATTTATTATTCTTGATCTTGGTGAGTTACCTTCATTCATTTTCTGAACTTTCTTTAGTATGTATTGCAAACATGACTAGGTACTCAGATTTCTCTTTTTTTAATATTAGAAAGTTCTTTAAAAAAAGTAGAAGTTGAGTTGAAAGTCTCAAAACTAGGGCATATTTTTGGATGACAATCTCCTCAATCTTTCTTCAGTTAGTCCTATAGAACCAGATTGAACTTTTACAAGTTCTTCTGGTGTAGTTAAAACTCAAAATATTACAACTATAATTCCAGGAAGCTTGGCTCGAGCCCTGTGGAAACGAAAAGAGAAAGAGAGACGGCAGGCCGAAACGATTTCTTGCATTTCCGACGCTTATGAAGAACTATCCGGTCGGAGAGAGATCTCGGCTTACTCCCAAATGAGGACATCCCAGGAAGACGGCTTCGATCCAGAACCACTCATAAGTCCGATAGAGCAGAGTTCGAAGAAGAAAAAGAGCAAAAAACGTAACTTTTCCAACAGCTACAGCAACAGCTTGGAAATGAAAGGATTGGAGGCTTGATTGACGAAAAAATCTTTCAAGATTTTGGAAAAACATAGTTTTTTCAACAATGAAACGAACCGATCAAAGGTTTGTCCCGGAATAACTAGAAAATCTTCCAATCGAGATCGATTCAAGAAGAAGACGTCGACGCAGAATCTTTCAAAATTCCGTTAAAAGAGAAGGAAACCTCAAGGACAAAAACGAGCAAGAAACGTGGCTTCTCCACACCATGAACACTCTGGGAAACCGATTCAATCTACGAATGGAAAACATAACAGAAGGAAACGGCTTTGATCAAAAATCTCTCATAAGTCCCTGTCAGAACTCTTTCCAAGACCAATGGAAACTAGGCTTATTCAAAACCAACATCTACAGCTTGGAAATTATTTTCTTAGATATCCGATTTAAGAAATCTTGGCGTACTTCTGAAGGAGAAAAGGTCAGTCTACCTTCTCCCACCCCTTAAGTAACAACTTGAAAGTCAAACCAACCACTTCATCCTCATCGGCTGATCCGTTGCCACGGAGAGCTGTCGAGGCCGCGTCTAGAGCTTCTAGAAAAGCCGAGGAGACGCCGAGTTGGGCGATCTCCGACTCTACAAGCCGCACGAATTCAGAAGCACGTCTTCTGAAGGAGACGTCCTCCTGGGCCGACAGGGCGGTCGGCGTCGATGGCGCCGTCGTCGTCCGCTCCTTCTGCTCCTCCCACTTTTTCAGAGTGGCGTCGAAAACCTGTAAATAGTCAATTTAATACGAGTTTGTGATAAATGTGATAATGAACTGTTGTTCTTTCTGTTATAAAGTTTTTGATGAAATGAAAAGGTTTTTTGGTATTGATGAAAGATGAAAAGCGAGATCAACGGCTTTCTGAAGAGACGACAGAGAAATCAAGTATCTCTCTTTCTCTGGATTCTCAATAATCCGCCGCTGTCTATTCGAACTCGACAGTATAGAAAGTTGGAAAACTGTCAAATTGAAATAGGTTCCATATTCCAACGGGCTGTGAAACAGAAAAAATCAAAAAGAGAGGGGGGGGGTACTTTTTTTTTTCTGTACTTCATTCAAATTTATCAGACCTATGTTCTCTTAGAAACATCGAAGGGGTCCAGCTCCCTTTTTTAGTTATAACAAACTAGAAACCGTTTTTTGGGTTATTTTTCTGAGAAATTCACTCAAAAATTGGAAAAATAAGGTGAAGCATGAGTTTCTAAGACTCCTACCATACAAGTTATCAATCTCAATTTCCAAAAATCCAAAGTTTCGCCATTTTTCGGCTTATTTCTGCAATAAACACTGTTATTTTAAACCACTAAAGAATCTTCTCTAAAATTCAATCAATAAGTTAAAATGTAACGATTTTTCTGCATAGAATCTTGAAAACCAACCGGATTTCGAACCAATAATTGAGCCCGATTTTTTTGTGGACGATTTGCATGATACCGGGCGGTTGAAGCCACGGTTCTCCGTCCACCTGAATCAATCAATCAATCAATCAATCAATCAATCAATCAATCAATCAATCAATCAATCAATCAATCAATCAATCAATCAATCAATCAATCAATCAATCAATCAATCAATCAATCAATCAATCAATCAATAAATCAAATGAGCCAATTTCAATAAGCAGAACTATCATAAAAAGCTAAGAAACCTGAACAGGTATCGATTCATCGCCGAGGATGACTATTCTAACATGGCGACACTGGGCGATGCGGTGGTTCTGGAGTCGAACAACGTTGGGAACACGGCTGGTGGCCACGTGGATAACTCCGAACAGAGCTACCACCTGAATTCGAAGTTTCTTTGGAGTCTTTTCAGGGTTTGAAGTCCTGTAGAACTTCAAAACTACCTCCAGAACGCGATCATCAAAGCTCTGGACAGTGAACGTGTCGTCTTTGGCGTTTCCCCAGAAGTTGGCTCCGCCAGAATAGGAAGGGATATTGAGAATGACAATTCCTGGAAATCATTTTGAAAGATGAAACGTGTTCAAACAGCCCTTATAAGGGACGAAATAGGGCTCCCTGAAGGGATGAAATTTAAGTGACCCATGGAGGGGTTTAGGGTCTTTTAATTATTTTTTATTAGAAAGCCTTTTTTTCGGGAACTAAAAAAGAGAGGAAATTGAGAATTCCGGGGAAGGCGGAGGAATTTCAAAAAAAATCTTTCTCAAGAACGTCAGAATGGTCCCTATAGGGGTTAGGGAGAAACAGCCATTGTAGGGGACGAAATAGGGCTCCCTGAAGGGATAAAATCTAAGTGTCCCCAAAAGGGGTTCGGGCTATTCTGATTACTTGGCGGAAGGTGTAAGAATTTCAAAAAAATCTTTCTCAAGAACGTCAGAATGGTCATCTATAGGGGTTAGGGAAAAACAGCCCTTATAAGGGACGAAAGAGGGCTCCCTGAAGGGATAAAATTTAAGTGGCCACTAGAGGGGTTTAGGGACTGAACCCTAAGGCCCCTAAGTCGTCCCTACAGAGGCCTCTTTAAGAATTTACGGTCTTTCTATTATTTTTTGTTAGGACTTTCAATGAAAATAAAAAATTGATCGATCAGTATAGGGCTCCCTGTAGGGATAAAATCTAAGTGGCCCCTAGAGGGGTTTAGGCTCTTTTAATTACTTAGCCCCTTGTTGATGTTTTTCATTAAGAAACGCCAATCTATTATTTTTTTTTGCACGGAAATGCTTCTTATAAATTCATAAGAACTTCGAACTAAATTTTTTTTCTAATAGTTTCAACCAAATTTTTTCGCTCACCTTGCAAGGAAGGCAAATCGATTGGAACTCCGTCGCATTCCAATCGAATCCTTTGGTCCAAATTTCGGTAGGTTCTGTGCATGAGCTCCTTCCCGCCAAGCATCCCATACCACATGAAAAGCTTCGATCTGCTTCTCGTCTGAAAAAAATGTCAAAATCAAAGAAAAAATTGTAGATTTTCGACTGAATTTCAGGTTGAAATCAACAAAAATTGAGTTTTCCTTGTAAATTTCCGGTTAAAACTTTCAAAAACTAGTTTTTCCGACTAAATTCAGGTCAAAATCTCCAAAAATTTACCTTTTCGTCTGAATTTCAGGAAAAAATCTCCAAAAAAATCTAGTTTTACCTGTAAATTTCCGGTCAAAACCCCTTTATTCATCCTGAAATGGAGTATCTAAGAAAAAAATGGTTTCTAATATCGGTTAAAAAGCTCTTTTTTATGAAAAAAACAAAATTTTTAAAAAAATAAAGAACTTTTGATATAAAACCCTTACGCGCTCTAACACAATATGTAGTCACAAAATCTCGAAAAAAAGCCATTATAATTTTTTCAACCAAGTTTCAAGTCAAAATCTCAAAAAAATTGTAGTTTTTCCGACTAGATTTTTATGTGAAAACACTTTATACAAGCTGAAGTGAAGTTTTTTTGAAGCGAAGTGCTTTTTTTAAAAAAATTCAGAAATCCTTTTTTTCTATGAAATAAAACTAAAACTTTTTCAAAATAAAAAGAATTTAAATATCAAATCCTTAAGGAATTTAACGCAACACGTAGTCGCAAACACCTTTTAAAAAAATTTCAGAACTTGAAAAAAAATAGACACTATTTTTCGAATTAAATTTCAGGTCAAAACCGCTCTCATTTTTTTCCAGCAAGTTTATGTGTAATCACTAACGATGATAGAAATGGATTCTTATCAAGAAAACAAGATCTGAAACTGAAAAATCGTCTATACCAACCTTCTCCGACTCCTCCCGTTTATTGTGAAACTCCAGGGCGATTTTCGCGTCGAGGCCTATTCCGAAATAGTTGTTCATCACCTTGAGCTCCTTGTACTGGTCTCTGGAAACTTGCTTCAAGTTGAAAAACCACATCTGGAAGATCTCACAGAGGAGTTTGGCATTCTCCAAAGGAATTGACGATGGCTGAGTTCGTTGCTCCAAGGATTCTGGAATTCAGGAGAAGAACTTCTGCGATTAGAGATCCTCCAGCGAATCCCGTCGCGCAAAGGAGGTTCCGACAACTGAAAAATTGGTTTTTAAAAAAAAGGAAAACTAAGGGCCGTTCGTCAGAAAGGAACAATAAACTTGTCTCTTCAAAAGAAAGGTCTCAAGTACTGAAAAAAATTGAGACCGAACAATGATCAAAAAAATTAAAGCCTCCCGTCAAAAACCATAATTTTTAACTTATTTTTTTAAAATAAAAAAATCGCATTCTTCCAACTTTCCAGATTCGAAACTTTGTTAATTTCGTTAACTGATTATGAACTGACTAAAATTAGTTTACTTATTAGCCCTTAATCTTCAAGTTTTTCCGGTCAAAAACGACGACTTCATATAACTTTCCAGCTTACATCGAAGCTTTTCCCTAAAATAATTCGATCGATAAAGGATTCAATGAGGAATCTAACTGTATACTTTGTGTACACGAAGCTTCTCAAAAAAGAAAGTTTCAACTGAGGAAAGCCTAAAGTTTCCGCATGGAAGTTCTATGAATGGTTATAATTAGTTTCATTACCAGCTTTCTAAGCTTCAAATGTTCGCATCAAACTTGATGACGTCATAATATCACAGCTTTTTTCCGGAAAAAATCGATCGGTAATGAGTTAAAAGGCGAAAAGAACTGTATGCTTCCGGAAACTTTTCAAAAAAAAAAAAATTCAAGATGAGGCAAGTTTAATGCTTCTGTGACATTACCGACGAGGGAAAAGAGGGCGCAGACCGGTCAGACATTTTCAACTGCCGCTGAGGGAAAAGAGGGCGCAGACCGGTCAGGCATTTTTCACTGCCGGTGAGAAAAAAGAGGGCGCAGATCAGTCAGACATTTTTAACTCTCGTTAAGCGAGAGGAGGGAGCAGACAGGTCAGACAATTATCCTTCTCACCGAACCTTCTCAAAGCATTGCTGGTACTCTCAATCTGTCCGGCGTTGCTCTGCCGTTTCCTCTCCTTGACAATCCGTCCCCAAGTTCCATCGGCGGCCGCCCTTCCAGAGTGTCCGGCCGTCGATTCGGTGTGTTCTCAAATCGAATCCGTTCTTTTTCGTTCTGATTCCTGTTTCCTACCGTAGATACTGCTGTCAGAATGGCTCATTTTGATGTCAGAAGGGCCGCCGCGGCGGTGAGACCGAGGCGCGTAGAGTTGGCAATCGGAGTTCGGTTTGAACAACGGAGCCGAAGCCGTCGCGGATTCTATTCAATCGATTGATTGATTATTGATTGTTTTCGCCGAAATGCGAGATTTTCGCTGTTTAATATAGCTGATTCACGGCTGGCTTGAGCCATCGAGAAAAGGGTCCTGCCACGAAAATAGACGAGACAGTGCCTTGGTTAGTTGAGAGTACAGACAGGCCACGCCTTTTTTGCGTCCCAAGCTAGCCTTGAATCGTCTATACAAACACTCTGGAAAATTAGGAAGCGCATAAATAGGGGGCGCAAAGCCCCGCCCCTTCATGCCACCAAAATGACGATTTTTTTGTTGCAGAAACGGTTTTGAGGCGTTTATACTAGCTAAAGGCCCACTTTAAAAAGGAACTGTTTCTGTTAATCTATGTAATCGACAACGCTCTACAAGACTGAATATCTTTTTAAAACTATGTATTTTTCAAAAATAAGCGAAAAAGTAAGATTTAACACGAAAAAAACTGACAAGTTTCACAAAATCGTCGCGTTTCTGAAAACCAAGTGAGGAACGCTTCCGAATTTTGAGTATGTTATACATTAACACTTTCTTTATTTTTTGAATAAAAATTTAAAAAAATCTAACGACGCGAAAAAAAAATCGAAGCTTGTAAAGTGACACCAAACTTTGAAGCTGAAATGCGAAAAAATTTCAGCGACATGGTATACTTTTTATTTGATTTAAAAACTCACAATGTGTTCAAAAATAAAAATTTAGAATGAAATTAATTATTGGGACAGCGAATTAAATTATATTTGAATTTTACCAAAACCTCCTTTTTTCGCCTGCCTCGTTGACGCATGAGAGAATAGGATCGCGTCTATATTTTTGATTATGTTATTAAGCGTTCAAAACTCTATCAATGAAAAAATTATGAAAAAAATCTAACGACGCGAAAAAAATAACGGCTTTGAAAACCTCGAAAAAATGGCAACTTTTTTTGAAATTTTGGAAGAATTCGTGCAAGCATTCGTAGCTGTGTTTGCGTCAAACACACCAATGCGCCATTTTAAATGTCGCAGGAGCCGTTTTTTTCGGAGTCAAATTGCACTTTTTTTCCTGTTTAATTTCGAATTAACATTATTTTTTTCATTTTTTTCTTTTTTTCTAAATCGAATGATAATAATTTTTTTCTGAGTAGAAAAAAAGAAAAAAATAAGCTGAAAAATTCCTTCTGACCTTTTTTTCTAAGTAGTTTTTTTGATATTTTATCAAAAAAATTCTTATGAGGATTGTACAAAAGATTCATACCAAAACATGAGGCTCAGTCCGGACAACCTCTCAGAACAGAAAACCGATTTAAAAGCGGTCCAGAAATGCGCAAAAACATTTAAAAAGAAAGCGTGCGGCAGCGGGTAAACCGTGAGATTTTGCCTCCAGTTGTACGCCGCGCGCGCTAGTTTTCTGGCCATAACTTTTTTCTTAGTGGACCTTTTTTCAAAAACTAAACGGATTATGAAAATGGACAGTCTCCTCTATCGAACAGTGTGAAAAACATATTTTTTGGATCGTTTTGAAGAAATGGCTTGCGGACCCTACGCATAAAATGTCAGAAGGTTGACTCCGTGTTTTCTACCTTTATAAAACCTTCAATCATCCTTCTTTCTGAAAACTTGAGGAAGGCTAGAAAAAAATAGAGGTAAACTGCTAAAAAAAGACGCTGAAAAGTACAAGCTCGAGGATTTTTTCTAGTTTTTTCGGAACAATTTTAGAAGATCTTGAACGGCCCTAAGTGGAGAAAAAAAAAAACCAAAAAATGGTCTTTGCGCCACGAATTGTCATTTCACTGAACGACACTCCGCTGCGCGCGGTCGAGTAGCGGCTTTGCCTTTGCGATTCACGGTCGCGCTTTCAAATTTCTCTTTTTATTCCAG